AATTGCCTGTTGGTTTGTGCGAGAGAATTATCCTGGCAGAACAATGCAGTTACGTAATTTATAGTGTGGTCCAGGTAGTTTGACATTTGAAACTGAAATGAATAAAAATAACCAGCACTTGCCTGCTCGCGGAAACGTAAGAGATTGCAATTGCGTAGGATGCGTCTCTTGCGTATACAAAGTGCTGAAATACTCTGGTTTGCATGCTTTGAGGACGAAAACTTTTTGAAGGAAATCGAATTGAAACATAACCATGTATCATCCCGGAATAGTCACGATTTACGAACACAAACTGATTTGCAAGTCTGCGATTATGTGATAGCTTTTCAGTTACCGGCACAGACGATATTAAACCTCATTGGTACAAATGCTAATGTATCATTAGGTGCAGTATTATGATTACCGCTTACGAACGAATCTTTTAGAATAACGATCTTTTAGACAGATATTAATTTTCATTGGCATTACTCATTTTTTCGACGGAGCCAAGAATGTCGTATTACGTAAAGCAAGTCCAAAGGTGCGAGTGGTTGCAGTTGCAACTCTACCAGTTCGCGACTTCGCGTTACCTTTGTCCCCTTTAACTTTAAATCAAGCAAGCGATTTCTGGTAGCGTTTTTATAGTTCCCCACGTCTTCAATAACGCAAAACTACTGGCTTAGCGAGTAAAATAAAATTAACCCTGAAATTCTACTGTCTTCTGCGATCTCTTTATCTGTTGGCGAATTGCAAAACCTTGTCAATGTATAAAAATTTACAAACAAAAGATGTAGATTCACATTCCCTAGGCGTATACAAACAAGTGTCACGGAAGTCTGCCACATTTCAGTTTCATTGCAACTAGCTAAGCGTGCAAACTGATCTGATTCGTATTTTATTCCGAAAGGGCAACAGGTTTTGTTGGCAAACTAAGAATGGCAAAGTGATTATGACGGCGTGCAGTACCACAGTCCTTCTTTACAACCAAAGTGACTTGACGAGACCAGAGACGCTGATCTGAATTCTGATGTTCTAGCTGTGTCAATTCAGGACCAATAAATTCCATGCTTACCTTCGCTGTCTACCACGTAAACAGCTTATGCGATAGAGTGGTACATTATGCGCAACTGTTTAATGGTTATACATCTTTCAATCGTAATGCACTTTGTATACCAACTGAAATTATTTGCTGTGGAACAGTTAAGTACAGAAGCGATATCCAATTTAGGCCATGACCTTTAAGCCGGATCATTAGAAAACCATCCTCCTAGTGCAAAGCGGCTGAAAACTAAAAACTTCTCACATGATTGCACTTAATATGTTCAAATTTCGATAGAATACTGTTTATGTGAACCAACAACGTATAAGCCTGACGAAATTTATGAACGGTACAAGAGAACATTACTATGTACAACAACTTTCAAAAGATCAGAAGTCAAAAAGTTTACGGAAAAAGTCAGAGTTGAATAAAGCACAGTGCGTTGCCGATCTTTTGGCCAAGCTGGCGACTATAACACAGGCAACCGAAGATGGTGTGAAATTGACTTTTTGTAATTTGGAGAGAACTTCCGAAACGGTTGCGCAACTGAGCCTGATCTACGGTTACCTCCGGTCATCGACTGAATGAAAAATTAAAACATTGCATGCGCAGCGGTTTTTGGCACATCCAGACACTGGACATGTCGACTCCAGTTTTTTGCGTCGTCCCAAAAGAAAAAAACATGTGCTTGAAGTAAACAGTGCACGTGTCTTGATTCACGCACGGTTTTGCAGTTGTATCACAGTACACACTTTTGTTACGGTTGTGTCGGAAATTCGGAAAAACGCTTAAAGAAAAATCGCGAGCGTGGGCGTGTTGTCCCTTGTCAGTATCGTGGAAAAAAGTGCTCGGTGTACTCGCAGAAGGTGGTCGCCTCGCCACCGTTCGAATGCCGTACGGCCAACTAATAAGCAGGCTCTGATTGTAAAAGCAGCGCTCTCAAAGCAACGCTCTTGATCTGACAAACTGGAAGTGCCGGTCCAGCCTTCGAACGGGATGCATCTAGCTATAGCGTCCTAGCAGTATCCTAATTTTTTCAACTGTGTGTTCTGATATATCTGTCTTTCTTGTTTTTGTACGATTTCTGTTATTCGAAGTTTCCTAAACTGTCACAGCCTATCTGGCGCCGAGGTAACCTGCTACTGCAACCTGGTGCAAGCTACGCCTAGCTGTTGACGCAGCCTTTTAAAAGCTGACAAGCAAATGCAGAAACAACCAACATGTTGGTAGCCTAGCTAAAGGTCTCCCTCCGTAATTACAACGTAAAGGTCACAGCCGCTCTCTTTTGTAGTATTTTTGCGGACATTTCTTATATAGAAGTATTCATAGCTGTAAAGACAGAACTCGTAACGCATACAATACTGACTGTTAAAACTGTCGCAATCGTTGACCAAATCATAACAACACTATGATGATGATCCAGTAGGTTGCCGCCGGATAAATGGCCCCGGGAATCTATTAGATGCGATAACGTCAAAGATTTTACCGGTTGTCGCATACATACTGGGACTTTATATGTATTTGATAGTGATTGAAGATGCCAAGTTGATGGAGATCATTTTTGAAAAATGATTTTCCGCATCAGAAATCAGTTTGATTGGCTGTAGGCTGTTGCGGCCTGTTGGCATGCATGGACAGAGGAACTGAACACACAGTACTGTACAAGTACACACGCGGCTATTAAGACGTCCGTGGGAGCTTCTTAGGCGATTAGGGCCAGTGATAAAACGCGACCGGCGCGCACAATCGGCTCGAACGCCCGCGAAACGGTATTTATCATGGCGATAAAAAAGAGCCGATTCGTGACAAATTTGCCCCCATCACAGCCGGTAATCAATGGCAAAAAACACCGCTTCTCCCGGCGTCATCCACAGTAGCACGATACTTGTAGGCAGCTATGGCGCATGCACGCGCCATAAATCATCGGCTAATGTGCAGTGGCCAGTTTTATGTATCCCACTTTATCGCGAGAAACCATTTGCAGATTTCCTTAATTCCTTGTAGTATTTTTTTTGCACAGTTGTCTTATTGTATATGCACACATCGGTAGCGTACCATGCATGACAGCAACTGGTCTGCTGTAATTTAAACTTTTGACTGCTCAATCAAAATTCTTGCATTCTACATGCACTACGACGGTGACTATGTACAATACATTTTTTACAGTTATAGTTATATTTTTGCCGCTAAAAACGTTCTGGCTTAATCACGCATGATGAAACTTTTGAAATACATGAACGTATCAAATAATACATCCATTATGACGTTTAAAAAATTTGTTTACACCTTCAAACAAAAATTCAAGAAATACAAAGAATCTAATGCAAAACGTGAATTAACTACTATTTCGTAAAATGCAATACGTTCTGCTTATTTAACTGCTTATTTACATGTATTTACCCTATTTTTAGTGCTCTCTAATTTGCACACGCGAACGAGTATTTTGCACCGCAATTACAGATACTCCGTGATCTTTATGCAGAATACGAATACAAGCACTTGTTCACTTTTACCGTAATACAAAAATTAATCTAAATCACATCTTGGGTTTGGAAAAAACTACAATTAATAAAATGCAACAAAATTTAGGAAACTGCGGTGTACACAGAAGCTTTAGCCTGCTTACTAGCTTCGTTGGACTGGCGCAGCAATTTTGCTTCTAATCTGATTTTCTTTTTCATTGTTTCTTAATGTGCTTGACTGACAACCGGCTTTCACTTAACTTTTTTAGATTGCATTCTTGAAAAACGTTTTCTGATACCGTCATTTATTCGCCCATAACTTGAGTGAAATGACGAAAATTTCCCGCCAGACTATTAACTAAGGAGGCCAACGAACCAAAAAGCCGGTGACGGGCTGCGTTGTACACGTTATACGGCATTTGTACTGGTACATACTACAATACGCAGTTTGCACACATCTGGACAATGTAACTGTTAATTCGCCGGGCCGATCGCCCATTAAACACCTGAAATTAGATTTGACTCGTTGAACACAGCGGAGAAATCTTAAAGCGCAGCAAGGAGAGCGAAAAGCACTTTGTCTTGGGATATTAAACTGGCTTCCATGCTAACGAACCGGAAAGTCCATAAAGCCCGGCGCGCGCGGGCTGCACTGACAATATCCAAAGCCGGCGCCCCACTGCACTGTGCACAACGGGCGATCCGGCAATCAAATGCTTTCACTACATGGGCTAATTCGATTTTTTGGGACCTTAACCTTTTCCCCAACCGACGTGGAAATTAATCGTGCAAACAATTTCGGCACTGTGTAGTTGCATTTATGTACACTGCGTAGAATCGTGGCGAACGCTATACTTAAGTTTGGTAGTAGTCGATCAGTTAGTGAAATATCGATTGCATCTTACTCATTACAAGTTATTTATATTAAAAAATACAATTTTATGGCGAATACAGCTGATTTTCAAAGGAAATTTACTACACCGAAAATTTTTGATAAATGTTGGTGGTAAGTGTTGAGTTGAAATGTTGTTTGTGTTAAGTTAAAATTGTTGAAATTTTTAGAACTCTGAAAAAAAAAATAATTTAACTCACATATTTTGTTAAGTCAAAAGGCGATCATGAATTTGTTCAGACGCTTTCTGAATACAATTAGCAAAGCGGAGGAAATCGATCGTTTAGGGATAGATGAATAGGGACGATGCTTGTGCCAACCTGTAATGAGCGCTTGTGGTACCGAGCTTTTTTCAAAACGTTCTCAAAGTCACTTTTAAAATGTGTTTTATGCTGTTAATGGCCAAACTATTACTTTGCGCGTAATTATGACGCAACGCCTACGCAAAAGGCGTCTATGAGTGACAAAGTAGCGATTAGAATATTGTAGGTGTATTTATAGGTGACCGCGTATATAATCCCGTTTAGCAGACCGTATCGCGCATATTTATAGATCCGCCCTTGTGGACCACTGCGCAAGCTTCATTGTTCCCGGACCGGAGCTGTTGGACTAAGCCCCGCCCCCTCCCGCCTGCACATTGTCCGGCTGAAGTACAGGAGACCCGACCAAATGGTGCAAATTTCCGCTGCTTTTCCCTTTCACCATCAATAAAGTACGGCGAGAATATTCAACGTGTACAACTGGCATCGTACTGCTGTACATGCAGGACTCAATCTGGGTAATTATTCCCGTACATATCGTGCCTTCCACCAATCTGCCAGCACCAAAAATCACGAATTGCCCAGTGACTGTACATGCGTTATACTACGCTGGCACGCACATCGTGAGTGCATCTTATGTTATAGACGTCGTATTATACAATCGACGCTCTGTACCGGATCCACAGTTTTCTTCACATTATATACAGTGCCAGCACAGCTGATGCCGGGGAAAAATCGGCAAAATCTGTTCCCATAACTAATGACTTCCTTTTTGACCGTGTTGGGTGTCACTAGTTGTTCGAGGAGTGCTGCTGCCGCCGCCAACAAATTGGGCTCGCTCGGCACTGGATTAATTCACACACCAGCGTATCTGTATCCTATATGTATATTCCTCTGCTTGAATTCCCTTGAGTGTTGCTGATCCCGGCAGTTTTATTTTGCCGGTTTCTACCGATAAATAAATAAATAAATATTCTATTTGGTGTGTGTGTACAGTATATCCTTGTGCTGTATTGGCAATGCGACCCTGGCTGCTGTATCCCATCGGTGCCATTGTGCCGGTTATCATCTGCATTGGCTGCGTTGGAGGTGAGTGCGGTGACGATTATTCGGCAAGCGGCGATTATTTATCACTGTACATTTCATAGTTTATGCAAGTTTAATTCGTAACGGGAAAGAATCGTTAATACGCCCCAGCCAAATGTCATCGATTTTTTTTCATTCGCAGCGTGGTCCAAATTCGAGATTTATTGTACCGGTTTGCATGGCTGGAAGCCACAGTGATTAATGGTTTGCTAATTACAGATTAATGACCTTTTTACAGAAACGCTCTATTTTTACAAAAACTTTAAAAATAAATACAAAAACTTTAAAAATAAATATTAACTGGCGCTACGAAACCTTTATGCATATTAAGAATATTAATATCAAAATGCAGGAATTGATTAAAAACACAATATGTAGATACGTTTCGTGCTGTGGTAACTACTTAGTGGATTAACTTGAGCTTAAAGAATTTGGGTCGAAAATCAATATGTCGGGTAAAAAGTTCTGGCATTCCCTGTTGTGTTAATTAGCCGGTTCGCTTGCCTGTCCCTGACAAGGCGATATATGTCCACACAAACATTCCCGTCAACAGAGGATGTTGTACGTTGTGTGCCTCGATTTTCTTGTGTTGAGCATTTTTGTCATGGCCCTCACATTGCACAATAGCCGGCTGCACAATTCTGTTAAGGTGCAGCCAAGCAGCTGACACACGTACTCACAGTCAGCAAGCAGCACAAATCGGCGCTCGACGTAACCGGAAATGAAGGAACCCTATTGCCGAACTGTATGCTCCTGTCACAGCGCGCCGCATTTTGACGTAGTAAAAATGCCGGGCCGCTGCTGAGAAAATTCCACCATTTATTTCCGCTATACTGGGCAACCTGTCAAAAACACGATCCCGGCAACATTTCCCTCTTATGACAATAGCGCAAGCGCGGGCACACTTGAACGCATTACGCAATCTTCGATGACAAATTGTCGGCGTCGCCGTGGTTGTGCAGTATATATATATGGGTCAATTGTCCATTGTTTCCGCGGCTGCCAGCCGGCTAATGGGTGCTGACAGCCGCGGCACCGGTACACTCGCGCGCGCGCGCTTCTTGATTAAACCCGTATCGATCCGTGTAATATGTATGTTTTTTTAAAATACGATACGGTGAGAAATCCTCCTAACTCGTTGGCAAGTGATTAAACCCTGCCGAGTAATTACACGATACATCTGCCGGGGTAAAGATAGACGCTAATGGGGAAACAAATCTTTGACCTACAGATACACTGTTGCAACGGCCGGCGTCCTGCAAAATGCTCAGCGACAGTATTAATGCATTGCCGGTTGCCACGACAAAAGACTAGTGATTTAAGAAAATGGGCTTAAGCTCCGATAACCATTATCCATGGCTGTTATATATGCGCCCGTGTAAAAGAGATTGACCTACTGTGCAACGGAAACTGGAATCTTCAATTAAGACGCTGCGAATGCGCACTGGCATGGATAGCTTGCCTTGTGCATATTGCTTCTTGGCGATCTGTGTGTATGGGAAATGCGAGTGTTTAATACAATGACCAGCGGAGTGGGCATATGCTCCCAGTCCAGTTTAAAGCAATCAAATCACCACGTAATTCACGCGGAAATATCGCACAATGACAAATGGTGGCCCCCGACGCTGGGCTCAAAGGGCCATTGCACTGAATTGGCTCTCAGGCCGTTTTCCTTATAAACCTTACACATAAATCGACTTAAAACATCGCTCTACCCACCGTATTTGTATAAATATGTTTAAAAAAATCTTCAAATTTTAGATTACGGTGATTTTGCTCTCACACAAATTTTTTTATAAATTTGTGTCACTTACTACAGCATTTTACAATCTCCCTTTCGTTGTTATATAATTTTATCTATATAATTACAATGTCGTTTTTTATATTTTTCGTTTTACTTTTGCCATTTCGCGCTTCCTTTTGCCAATTTTCTCCTTAGAAAAGGGATGCTAACGTAAAACTATATACCGGCAGTTTTAGTAACGTCATATAACGTGTTGCATAAGCTTGTTAACACAAATTTGCTTTTTTCCGTTGTGCCAATATCTGCGGGTAGATGTACATTTGGAGGCCGCGCGACTGGATCCGGTGCAAGGGCCATCCGGGTGAAATTGAGTATATTTTCAGGGGGAAGACGATGGTAATATAAGTGAGTTAGTCGGAATATGAACGACCGGCAAATTGTTTCCGTCAACAAACCCAACAGCGTTTTTTTCAACGGCCACTCACAGGCACACACATTCACACATATCCACACATCGCTCCATTAATGCGTCTGTCATTACTTACGGCTCATCAAAGATGTATGCAGCCGGGAACACCGGGCACATATCCATAATATACGCATATGCATATGTGTGTCCCCGAAAAGAGGTGTCGGAGTTGAACGAACACTTCCTGTATTAATACCCTTTTTAACCGGCACCGGTTTTTCTCTGTATATACCTGCATACACAAACCCGATGAAAAATCCCGGCAAATATTTGCCATATCGCTGTGCTCTTTTGTTCGGCATCATGTTATTCCATCAGGATTGTTGATCGTTGTATGTACGTATGTATACAATGTATTGACCGGCATTGCTGGCATCATCCTACCCATCAAAGTCAAATTTCCGGACAGAGGATATTTCCCCGGCCCGGCATGCCGTGATATAATCAAGTGTAGTATGCAGCGCGCTGCTCACTGGCCAGCGCTTATAATTAAATTACTATTTACACATCATTCCTTTCCATCTGATCCCCGCCGCATCTTAAATCGTCATAAAATGCCCAAATCAGACTTTTGTCAATATTCCCTTGAATTTGTCTTGCCAGTCGCGGATTGCCATATCGCTCCGGCTGTGCGTGTCTTATATTGTTTTATTACACGTTTCCCAATTAGTTGCTCGTTTATTGCGTCCCGTGTTTCTGTGTCAAATTGATGAGTTTAATGACCTAATTGAATAATTCAGTGATTGATGCTGTACCGGAAACCACGTTCTGTTATAACTGAACCGTATTTTATTTAAACCAGAAATTCTATATGAAAACTTGGTTTTGAAATGCGTTGCATTTCACCGCCTGTGTTTCTGCAGCAGCATGCAAGGGAGAAGTACCTCGATTATGGAAATCAGATCTAATTTTTAATTCAATAATATTTTGAATGTTAACGTTTTATTTGTTTTTGAATTATAATAATTTTTGAATGGATCTGAATCTAAAAAGGTTTTAATCAAATTTTCGATTTGATTTTTAAACAACATTTTTGCCGGCTATGGTAAGAAAGAGTGGCTTAAAAGACAAATTATGAAAATAGTCCGAAAGAAGAGATTACCCAGCCAATCTTGTGTGTCCCGTTTGCTTAATCCAGCTGCAACTAGAAATCAGCCAGACCAAACATATTTAAAACTTATCCGGCGCCCATCTAAAACTTTCTTCACTGGGAATTCCACCAAAATATTCCGTTGACCAGTATAATAATATTGTATGTATATACAAAACCTCCTACTGGGTGGGCATCGCTGCCGCTGCCGATTTGTAACCCCAAGCTAGAAAATCCTAACAATCACATTAGGAACACAGCCGATCACAACAAGTCCAACTCTTGCTTCCCATGAACGTATCTGCGTGGCTGTGTACCATCCCAGCAACGGGTCAAGGATTTCGGACTGCCGAGCGGCGATTAAGTGGGCACAATGACGGGTTAAAGGTCATCTCTCCTCCCAGCGTCCTAATGAATGCCATTCAGACAGCGCGGGGCCCAGTAAGCATTACAACATACTTCCCCGGAAGTGTAATTTTACCTCCCAATGACCGGCTATCAGTGCAATCCCGGCGACTGCCAAACAGCGGGATAGTATGCAAGGAAACACTCAATGCGTTCAACTACGTTCGTTTGCTGTCCTCATTGCTGCCTTTAACACATCATGACGCTGCGACCTTGTATTTCTTCCTCAACCTGTGTAATTTTCCAAATTCTTTGTAAATTCCTAGCACAACATATTAATTAAGAGCTTTCGTAAAATTAGAGCTACATAACTTTATGACGGCAAATTTGCTTTGCTATGGATGTTTGAAGAATAAAGTAAGATGACTGTTAATCTTGTTTTGGATAATCGTACAGTTTACATAGCTATTTTATGAAATTCGAAATACTTAGACGCTTTTGGTCGGTTGATATAACAAAGCATATATTTTGGTTTTCGTAGTAAATTAAAGAGCAGTTTGAAAATAAGCAAAGCGTGACGTAAATGTGATACGCCAGCGCTTGTCCGTAAATGTATAGACAGATTTGATTAGGTTTATTTTGAGCACGAGTTCACTGCAGGACCCATAATGTCAGTAGCCGACACGTGTGTCCTTAGATTGCCCGTAAAGTACTGCACCGTCGGTGAATGGGGCAATCAGCTGCGGCTAAGTCAGGACTCAGGAGCACAATGGCCACTGCCGACCGCATAAATCTGTTTAACCAGTTACAATGGGCATTTATCGCCAGCGTGCGAGGGCAGCCAGCAAAGTATCCCGTCTGGCGAAGTGTCAGACGGTAGCAGCAATCGTCGTAGACCACCTTCTGTGCTGGCACACGCCATCGATTAAGGCGATATCGTCCTGGAAAAAGACGGCAGGTGTACACACCCTCGTAGTCTCATCCATCGCCGTACAGCGCAGTTGATCCTTGACTGGTCACTGTACAAAAGGATCAGATTACAGCTGCCCATTCAATGCCTCTGTATGCCACGATATACAAACCACACAGTGGTATGCGCTATTGTCCCATTGAGGAGCAAACTTTAATATATTCCCATGTAAAAATATGTACACACCATCGATTTGTCGTTTTGTATCGAACTTATGATCAGTATTTTCTCAGATAATATCTTGGTAATATGCGTGATTCACTTATAACGGCTCAGCTCGTTGGTAAACAATCCACTTGGCCTGCAAACGGCTAATGATTACGTGTGGTGGTAATTGGATTGGAAACCGACGAATCAGAATGCAGAGAAAAGAGATGAATAGATAGGCGACGCGCAACCGGTAATCGTGCGGCATTATGCGGCCAGTGTAATTGCAGTGGTCAGTGTGCCGTGTGCGCGTTGGCCCGTTGATTACGTGTTACCGTACAACAGCGGATCGGCACTGCCCATTCATTACGTGTTGCGTAGGGCGTACGAACTGGCTATTTCGGTGCTGTCTTGGCTGATAAATACAATGTTACGTACGAATCGGCTCTGGATCATTCCATGATTCTCTTCCCTTCGCAGTACAACACTAGTACAATAATATCCGTGCGTGCCGTGCCCGGCTTTTGTCAAATTGACGGTTGCAACTGTCAGCAACATCTAATTGTGCCCAACTAATTTTAATTGATGGCACACTTATTGTGTATCAATTCGATCATTCCCGCGCCATGGCGGAACAAGTGCCACTGCTGCCGCGATCAGCGAATGGGGCCGGTTGGCCAAAAATGTGCTGCTGACACGTTCACTTTTCACCAGCGCCCCTTTTTGGCAACAATAAAAATACAACTTGACAGGTCGCGTGAATACACTGCGCCGTGCATGCTCGAACAAGTCCGGGATATCTGTGTTGTGCGGCGTATTGTTTCTTTAGCCCACTGCTTGCAGACAAATAACAGCACCAACCAGTGATTATTCCTGACCCACATTCTCCGAATCGGCTCGCGCGCGCTACTTTGTCATTTATTCCTTCGCGCTGACGCGTGTTGCAGAGAGGCCCGGCAAACTTTGCCTTGTAATTTGTCCTGTACAAATGCAAACACATGCCGCCAGACGATGAGAAACAGCCAAATGTTGCTTCTTCTCCCGGCACATGTCATCCCACAAGGGAAAACTAGATTTTTTTCCTCTAAAACAGCAATTTATTTAACGTGCTTCGTTTTATTTAACGTGATTTGAACTTCATAAAAATTCGCTAGGAAATTTATTTTTTGTGCTGTATATAAAAAATCTGACATTAACATAAATCCTGAAGTATACGTGCTTGTAATGTGTGAAAACAGTTTGCTTTTTCTGTGATAAGAAATGCCAAAATTTTCTATGATTTGTCGATCCGATAAATAAATTAACTTTAACTGTGTGGACGCTTACTTAAGTAAGCTCGCTGCAATTGGCTTATATATAGATATAACAAATTTCTACTAGTTTTTAGTTTTATCGTGATGACCGCAATTGCCCTGGGTTTACGTTTTTTCCTTGTTGAATCTGCGGATAAGATTAATAAAGCAATATTGACCTATCAAGCGCATATTCAACACGGAAACATAACCCTCCCAGCAGTGGCTGCGCGGCATTCCCAGGCGATTACGGGCTGATCGCGCAGCGCTCATCGGATAATGTGCGCTGCGCCGCGATGGGAGCCGCTGTACATACATCCATAAAAAGTATGTCAAATCGAAAAATTGTCCACCGTATACATATGTATATATGAAAAATATCCCAGCCACACAACACCAATACACACGGGTCCAGTGTGTATGGGAATTTAACTTCCGGCGTCAGATTTCGGCAAACCCGGCATCGGACGCGAGTAGTGGCCACACTTGAAAATCAAAGAGAGAAATCCCGCTGGAGCAGCGGATGAGCCCCGATAAGCCAATTAGCCGGCGAACCGAGCCGGGACGCTCGCAAGAGCATCCCATACTGGTACTGGCGCAGCTGCGCCCCGCCGGCGGCGGCGCTAGATAAACAGTCACTCCCATTAATGAGTCATTTAGGCGCAATTATCTGTCGGGCACTTAATCAGCTTGCCGGCATTTTAATTCAATTGCTTGTAATTCAGTATTGTACGTTTATCTATTGCAGTGCACGTGGAGGCGGCTAAGAAGGCGCATAAGAATGCCGCACACGGGAAGCTGGGACGGAAGCCGATCGAATTCGATGCCCAGATGGAGAACGCCAGTGTTCCCTTGGGCAAGGATGCCGTGTTCACTTGCCGGATTAATCAGAGTGTTAAATCTGCCGATCTACAGGTAATCACCGGATATGTATATGCCGCGGCTCCCTCATTGTGCGCTGCGATGTTCATCGTCCCGGTTGCGCAAGCTCATTTAAGACCAACCGACCAGAGATCCTGAGATCAAACTTATCCATATATTTTATTAAATTATTATATGCGTTAACATAATTTATTTATTTTACGTAAGCATGTCTGTTGAAAGTTTCCTATGACATTTGACAACCTGTAGCTAATACTTTACCCTTTAAGGATGCGAGTATGCATGTTTGTGAGTTAATTTTCATGTAACGAAAAAAGAGCGCGTACCACACAGATTTTAACCTGTGTTTCGTAAAGTTTGTATTATGATAATGTAAACTAACGATTTCGAAGCATGGAAATGGCAAGTGGTGCCGTGATCCTATTTATGTTTGTACATGGTAAATCTTTAGCAGAATTCCCTTCGTGATCCCGTATTCTTACTTAATGGTCAGCGCTTAATCTGTCCTTTATGATGTTGATGCTCTCTGTACGTATACACTCCTTGTGATCCTGTATGTATGTACAGCTCGTCTGGTTGCGGCTGGACTCGCAGACAATCCTGGCCTTTGAGAACCGGCTGGTGCAGAATAATCCCCGTATAAGCGTCAGCCACGAGGAGCGCCGGGAGTTCAGTCTGCACATTAAGAACGTCCAGCCGGAAGATGCCGGCCACTACGCCTGCACCATCAACACCAATCCACTCTCGCAAATGCGCGCCCATCTCGACGTTCTGGGTAAGCACTTGTCGTACACTGACCGATCAAAGGCCGGGGATTTACTTCCCTACCGAATGTGCCGGCCGCCATTAAGGCGATAGTGCCGGCCAAATGCCCACAAACAATCACTGCCACTGCCGGCAGTGCGGCATAATATACAATGCCCGGCATTAGTAAGTCCCGCTGCTGGACAATTACGTCCAGATTAATAATTCACGCCAACCCGAGCATGATTAATGAGCGCCCTACCGGATGGTCGCTAGATCGATGGACATAACGCTGTATACATCTCTAAATGACATTATGTAGCCACGCGCATTATGCGTTTGTTTTCCTGTCCATATGTTGAAAGAGACGCCTGTATGTACAGATGGTCAGCACGGCACAGACTGGACGCCGGTTTGTCCCGGCTTCCGCCACGCTCTAACACTTCCGTTGATATCCATCGTCACTTTGCTTTCAGTCATGCCCTGTATATATGTCCAAAACTCCGGCCAACAATCCCAAATCTACGAGTATATGCTTAACAAACCATTCTGTTAAAAAAAACTAATAAATGTTTACTGCGCGAAAAATAAGCATAACAATTTGTTAATACGTGACAAATTAAGCTTCCTTAGAGGTTCCATAGCCTACTCTATTGAACCTATGGCAGAGTTTTCTGGATACACATGTTGGCAGCCTCTCCCATTATCATGTACATGTCGTTTTCGCATCTTTGGAGTTTTTTGTTGTGCTTAGTTTATCAGCCCAGTTGGCGGTGTTTTGCAGAAGTCGTATAATCTCGAAAATATTCCCCATATAATTCAATTATGAGCAATATGCTTTGCGTTGTGCTGTACACTTAAGAGGGAACGTCAGACATGTGTATAATGGAAGATGATATAACTGTTTGGCATCACTTTGCCGGGCCAAATTATCGTCCCTTATATATTTAATTAAATATTGCCGGGAAGAGAAACTGACCATGTCCAATCCATCCCGGCGCGCGCCCATCTCCTTCCTGTGTTTACCCAGTGCGATAGCAAGCAAAGTGCCATCCATCATTTAGCGTCACAACGGCTGCTGGTTTTGTTGACGAGTGGAGCACATGCATACATATTGATATGCACATACACACAGTGGGTCAGCGAATGCCGGCTCTGTGTAAAAAACACCCGCCTGCATGTGACAATAAGTGGCCACTTGAAAAAACGCTACTAACACAACAGTCGGCCACTTGAACGCGAGTGTTTTGCACGCCGGGTGCTGCGGTTACTTGAGCCGCTGGTCGACGTCTTAAAAGAATGCCAATTGGGCTCGTTCTTGTTTTACAAATGTCAACAAATTTGATAGGGTTTTATCCAGTTAAATTTGTATAATCACACTGTCAATAAAGGGCAGTGTGTGCCGGGGAATCTGGGACTAACTGGGAACAATGTTTACTCTCCGGCCTCCATAACATGCACACTGTGAATAGCCCACAATGATCGGACATCTTGTCATCTAGATCTGTCCAACAGCGAATTTATATTGGTCTTCAATGCTAAGAAAGCAATCATTTACTTGTATTCCTGTACATGCGCGTTCCTACTGCCTATTGCAGGTTATTTTGCAATAGTTTTTGGAACTCGGTTTTACCAAGGTGCACTACAAATTACAAAGTATGCAAACATATACATGGAGGGCAAAAGCTGTACTTCTATGTGATGTTATCATAATGGAAAAAAAATTTCAGTCATACAAATGTCTGGAAACTGTACCCTGTACAGTTGATTTGCATTATTTTTTCGTGATTGTGCAGTATTCAACATCAACAGATATATTTTAGGCATTTACTTATCTATTTAAGCCCATGCAAGCTTTTTATTTCTTTTGGATCAAATGCACATCAGGTTTATATATTTTTTCCTTGATATATTTTGATATTTATTCGACAGGACGTTAGTTCATACGGCGTTGCATTTAATACCGACACTATATTCTCCCAGATTTTTCTGAATGTTTTAGCCTCTTATCCAAGTGTTATTCAGTCTTTAAGTGTAAACACAGCGTGGGCCGAATGATACTATCGGCATAACCTGTTTTGATCCCTGGTGACCTTTGATGGAAAGCCCTCGACACACCCGACGAGAGGCGCTCTTGAGAGTCGTTCCCCAACCGGCATCCTGCTATCAACGGTTGGCCATTTGGTCACCGGTTCTACATACGCAGCGATGCAATATTCTGTGGAAAATACTCATCTTATGATTCTCACTGCGCATAAAACACCCACGTAATCGACGTGCACTAAGTGGACAATCTGGGCAATGCGCTACTTAAAATGACGCTAACTGACCACATGGACGCCGATTACGTTGTGGTGTAAACACTGAGCAAATGATCGGATCTGTCGTATATATGTATCACAGAGTGTAAATGCCCATCTGCTGAATTTCCCGACAGTGATGAAATCATGTTATAACAAAAGTCCATTAGCCAGGATTCAGTATGAACTGTTCGCGTAATGAGCTACCGTATCCATCATAAGCGAAGTGAGCGACTGTAAATCAGACACGGTACATAATAATTAATATGCCGGCAATGGGATCCTGCGTATACCGGTTGTGCATTATGGCACCGTTTGTGCTTGATTGAGCAATCCATGGGAACACAGATGGGCTGCATTATTCCTTATCCCGGGCACACTTGACATCATTTTCGCTCTGGCGCAGTACGGTACCGCACCGGGCCAGCTGCAGTTCACTCGGTTGAATTGGAATATTCCAACAATAATGGTGACGGAATTAAACACACCGAATTAAATTTTTCCTCTTTCCTTTTTTATTTGCGACACCGTAATTATTATTATAATATTGTACGAGTACGTTCACTAGTTAGATTTCTTTAGGTAATGCACAATAAATATTTGCATATGTATTTACATAAATAAATATGGCACTTATAATTGCCAGACTGTTACTAAGTAAGTTTTGGTACTTTATTTATTTTGTCTTAATAATAATTTTACCGAAGTAAAAGCAATAAATACTACACAATACACATAATGAGGCAGAAATACTGCTAGCCACACGGCTCAACAATTATGAAAGTAAATCCCATGTACTCGTAATTTTATGAAAGACGTAAAGTTATAAACATACCAATCAAATCCACATACTTCCGCTGCGCTGTGGATATGCTGTCCGGCATCCGTCCGTGCGGACAGCCTATAGCAAAGCACGCGTGGAGAATATTGTAATTTAATCAGGCACTGGCAGTGGCATAATTAGCATGGCAAATTGATTTATGTAGATTAAACGAAGCCTAATCTGATCGGCCGGACACGGGCAACATGTTCTCCGTGAACACACGTACATATATATCTGTATATATCAGGGCATGTCTCGGGGGGCGATTATAACAAAAGCGCGATCATTTTGCAGTGCCTCCGCTGATCCTGGCCAACGAGACCACCGAGCACGTTGTTGTCCGCGAGGCCTCCAACGTCAGTCTCAAGTGCGCCGCCAGCGGACACCCGCGGCCGACCATCAGCTGGGTGCGCGAAGACAATATGTATATTACACCCAAAGGCGAAGAAAAAGGTACGACAATATTTGCTTCGGCTTCTGTATTATAAGAGTACTATGTTAATTGTAATATATGGTGCTTGTTGGTTAAGATGTTATCCAACAAGCATATAGTGTTTAATATTACTGTATACAATCCTTTTCTGCCGCCACAGCGATTTACGTTTTGATTTCTCTACTCGCATCGATAACTGAAAATAATTTGTACATCATAGGTAATGCTATATGGATACGCCAGTATATATAATTTTGGCATGCCGAAATTTTTATATACCATAATAATCATGATTATGTCATTTATTGTAATTTTTACTTTTATACTTTTCATAGCTTTGACATATAACGGATCGGTGTTAAGTCTGGAACGCGTGGGCCGATCAGGTGAGAAAGGTTGACCGATTAAGGCCATCTGCAGTATTATTCAGTGGCTGTTACTAGTGGAGTAATTATCTGGGTTGAATTAATTTTATAATTGCAGATATGGCCACGTACATCTGCATGGCCGCCAACGGCGTCCCACCGGCTGTCAGCCAGCGGACCACCGTCAAAGTCGAATGTACGTAAAGCACTTCCGGTGGCCTTAAACGCCGCTGTTAAGCCTACTCGAAGGAACAGGACAAATATGCTAACAGCAGCCGATTTGTTTGAATAGCCTAGTGGATTTTTAAGTCTGTAATTTCCATTATTTTTCAAAATGCTCTTTCAGTTCCGCCCATGATATGGGTCGAGCCGAAGCATGTGGCTGCCTGGATCGGCGGAAGTGCCACGTTGAAGGTAAAGTACATTAATATTAGCAATATTTCCGCATCTGAAGCACTCAGACTAATTTTTTTCATTTTTTGCAGTGCGAAACGGAAGCTTTTCCACAGGTAAATTCAATAGCATGATATACCTTTCGTTAAGGTATTTTGTTAATTGTTATGTGACTGTGATCCAAGTATGTAGCAAAACATTCTGTTGCTGATGCAACCAAACATTTGCGATAATGAAAAGTTTCTAGAAAATTACGGAAGAAAGCAAAAGTGAACGTGTAAAATGGCAAACGCTTTTTAAAGGCCGTGCATTTTTGGCTGCGGGAGGGCGTTATTCTGACCAACAGCGACAAGTACGACATCCGCGCCGAACCGGCACCCGAACCGCATGCCTACCGTATGAAGATGCAGCTGACCATTCGGAACATGGACGCTAAAGACTTTGGCGACTACACATGCAGCGGTATGTAAAGGAGATATCAGTCTTTTTCCTACGTTATAAACTGCGGCCTTTAATTGTAATCCTGGCCAACGAACGCGTGGATATTTATTTTGCTTGTGCATTGCAGCCTCTAATTTCCATGGGAGCGTCGAGGGAGCCGCCAAGTTGTACGGTGCGTGAGCGAGTATATATATATTATACCAAATCTATACTGTATCTTATAGAACTATATCCACATGCAACAATCCGAACCGGCAAATGGATGCCGCTAATTTCAGTGACCCGCGGCTTGGGCTGCAACGCTTTCATGCCATTACTTAATATAGTCCGCTTTAATCGTGTTGTGTTGTAGAGGTCGAAGCTCCTCCGGAGGGAAAAACAACACAGGGCAAAGGCAAGTCAGCCCAACGGCCGGGCGGTAATAAGAAAAGTAAGCATGAACCCGGCTCCACCTGCTGGTTGTGTTTGTTGTCATGTGCCGATGTGCGCGGCTTTTATTATTACATGCAGCCGATTAATGGCCGGTGTTTTTTCTCTCTTCTTCGATGGGATTTATAGAGAAAGGTCACAAGCATGCCATGCGAATGGGCGTCAATGCCACCCGATTAATTGGTACTGTCTCTCTTAATTTAATCGTGACTGCACAATTTAACCATATGATTTCTTCGATTTACGTTAATTTCTCGTTTTTTTATATAGGTATTTCGATGTTTGAATGAATTAATGTATACACAGTTATTAACTAATTTTATATGTATGAACGGATTTTCATTTATTCGTAAACGTCTAAATTGTGTATGTACTGATCGTGAATATACTACTGGCACTCGCACATTGAATGAAAGGTTCGTAGTTGTATGCGCAGTGTGTGCATGACGATCAGTGCTTGATCAAAAAATTGCATTTCACGGAATGCCGTTTGCATTTTTGAAATTGCATCTATCATACTTCTGGTCTAAGTCTGTTCACCTTTAGTGTGGATTTATTATAATCGATGAATTACGTATATTAATACTTTTCTATCGCAGGAAACTAAAAATTTATTGTCTAAATAAAAAAAAGTGGTATCAGATTTCTCGATTGTTCTCATGAAGACTGATGAAGTAGAATTTTGTACACTGTAGTGCAAAGTATTGTATTTTCATTAACTGTTATTTCTTAAAATTTAATTTAGCGCTTCGTTGACTGGCGTGGTTACTCGCACCAGGAATGACGTTATTGTTTCCGCAACTAATTTCAAATAAATATTTCTGCTAAGTTATTCTAATCCAAAAAGTCTAAAATCTGTAGTCAACTAACCTGTAGAAAATACATCGGATTAATCGATTGAATTTCTCAGCAAGCCGATATTGCAGATGAGAAGTCCTACTACGACAAACAGCAAATGGACCACGATCCGTCGATGCCGATGGAGGAGCCTCAGAAGGGGCCCCTCCAGCGCAAGTCCTCCAATGGCAATAACGGCAGCCCGCCCTTGACCTTTCGCACCGGCTGCCTCATACCGGCCTTACTGTTGTATTTAGTCGCCTTTCTCCTGATTATGTACAATCAAAGGACGTAGTCAACCGGGGCCCGCTCGCACGCGCCAGTCGGCCTGCAATCCCCTCAACAAATCTGTGATTATTGCCCTCGTTTTCAGCAACAAGAATTGCCGAAAAGTTACGGACCACAACCCCAACCAGATGTACCAGCAGCTAACAAAAAATCAACCGATAAATTTTGTTCAGAAAATTTCTGTTTTGATTTTTTCACTCTCATCTAGTGCGTGGCGCCGATCCGGTGGTGTGCCTAATTATACAGGGAGTATCGGATATTTGCACAGTGTAGAATAATCAACATTTTTTGTGGGACATTCGATTATCGAAGATCTTGGGAAATTAAAAAAGCGTATTTAAGCTAAAGAAAAATTCGAATTGCATTTGTCGTTATTCAGTTTTTCTTCGTACTGGGAATCTTGAAATACTAAAAAATAACTCAACTGCATTTTGGAATAGTTCGACTATGTGTTGGCCACAAAGAAGTCAATTCGATGAGGAGAACCGAACAACAGACACATAAATCTGCGACGATCAAAGTTCAATTCATGTTTCGTTATTGCTCCCGAGAAATTTCAGTTTTAACAAATGCTACAAAAATAAATAAAACAACAACAAAATAAATTCAACTACAACAACATGCAAAAGTAGAAAAGCAAATGCAACAAGAATCTGTTATGGAAAAAACTTTGGAGATCACTCAAAATTTGACGCAAAGGCACTGACAAACAAATTTATAAAATTAATAACAAAAAGCAGCTGTCAAATCACCAGAATTCGTTGGCGTCACTATATTGCTGGGATGCGGAGCGGTCGTATAAATCGCATCGTAGCCAGTCCATCAAACGACGAGGCCGTTTATCGGAAGCAATCTGCAAATGACAAAATACAACTGAGAATTCAACGCTTTTGCTCGTTTCGAAGTGCTGATAAATAGTAAACTACAGCTTTTTTCGGCTACAGAAATTAAGTCGTCGTATCCTTGAATGAATTCGACAATGATATTAATCAATGTAGAAACAGAAATGTGCGAAACTGCAGAATCAACAGAAGCTGGACCACTATCAAGTACTTAATTTCTTATTTTCTGCCTATGTAAAAGTTATCAGTACCCTATGGACTTGAGCTTGAACGGGTGATGCATTGTGGTAAGCAGGTTTTGTTTATGATTCCGTGACGAATATCATTGCTATAATCAACACAACAGCACAACGCACCTTGAAAACGTTCTTTTCCAGCGGATAAATCAGTCCATCCGCTAACAGATACACTTCTGAATGCGTTGAACTGTCAGCCACTGTCGGCCACTCCAGCGCCGCCTGCAGCCGCCCCGGAAAGCCCATCTCTTTGCGCAGCGGGAGCGGGCCGCGGACCTGATTGAAGTCGGAAAGCGGATGCAGCACCCAGTATTCCTCACCTACCAACACGCAACGCATCCGTCAGAAAAGATCTAGCGAAACAATGCAGCGTCCAGAGTCGCACCTTTAATGAAGACAATTCGGCCCTCGGTCCAGACAAACGCAGCGTCTAGATCGCCGGTTTCTGGCAAGCCGGGGAAACCGCTGGCGATATCTTGTGGGTAACCGTCCAGGGCTTCGAAACCCTTGTATTTCCAGTATAACTGGCCCTGTCATCGTAAAGTCATATTTAATTGTGGCACGTCGCATCTTTCCCAGTGAGAGTGAATTCACATGATGAAAAATTGATTTGCAGAGAGAAGATGTAGAATTTTCATGCTGTATTGCCTGTTCTGTCGCCTTAATAAGGACCATTCTTTGCTGATGTTGCCAGTTGGTTCCAGCGGAATCTCCCACCGAGCACTCCGTTTTGACAACGGTGCTCAAATTTTGGAATATTTTTTGAGTTTCCACTTTCGAAAAGTAATCATAGTCAAAACCCTGATCGAGAAGGATCCTTTTCCGACCCCGAAGCAATAGCAGAGGGTCTAATCATTATGGAAGGAAAGGTGTCGAGAGTGCTGCAGCTGCTTACTGATAACGCAGAAGAAAATGGTTTCTGGCACGGTATCATCCGTGTGGTGCAATATCGCGAAAATCCACAGATAAGCACCCCGTCCCTGATTTATTTTTTTTCTCGGCCTGGAGTAAAATTATCGTTCCACATTATTTTTCTTAGTTTACCTTAGTCCTTTATCTGTTCCAAATATTTCCTGGCTTGAAAAATTGTTGCGGGGCAAAAAGTTTGAAATTATGAATAACTGGAAGAAAATATCAGTACACCGATCTCTAAGATACCGCCTAATTTCTTTTCGAAAACGTTTGATGAGTGGCTGTTTAGCTGTTTGCGTTGTATAGAGATTAAGGGACATTGTTTTGAGAAAATACGAGGAAAGCGCTGATGCAATAAAAAATCGTGCGATAGTTATCATTACTTTCCGAGTAACCCTCGTATTTATTACTCCAAAAAATATATACGCGGTCTGACATGTGCCACACAGCGCGACTGTTTTGAGCAGAGTTGTATTATCCACCGGTTTACATCACAATGTAACATTAATTTTGCGTAAAACCTAACAAAAAAATGTAAAAATGTGAAAAAATTATAAACAGTATAAAAACAATATTAGTTTTCAAAAGAAATGGTTAGTGAGCCCGGAGGCTTACCTTAAAGAAATAAGTATGGCCGTTAATCCATGTGAAGGCCGCGTCGATATCGTTGGGCAGGTTCGGATAATACTGCTTAATAGACAGCACTTTGGAGATATACCGATGCGGATCCACCACCCAGAAGTGTTCAGCTGCAACAGTAAAGGTCAACTCATTGTCAACATCCAGAAGACAGCCACATCAGACTGACCAGCTTAACAGGCCAAACTCGTATAAGAGGCTCATAAAAAAAACGAAAAACCCCGCAGATATAATGTTGATCGAAAACCCTAGGGCTATGGACAGCCGGTAAGGAAAGCGTAGCTTATATGACCGAAAGGGTAAAACAGAACAGAAACAATGAAAATATTACGACTAGTTTTCTGATTTTGTTTCTAGTGATTCATCGATAATTTAACTTGCTAAAAATTCTTATGCCGACATTGTTTCATTAAATCAAATTTGTGCAACAGATATCAATAATGCACTCACCATGTACAGACTGTATGGCGCGATTCAGAACTTTTCAGCCTGCAGTAGTTTGTTTCGCTTACCGCTGAATATATAAACATGTCCGTCGTTGGTAGTCATAATGGCATTCGTATCGAAGAATTCATCGCAGGGATTGAGCAGACTGGCCACACCGGCTTGCTTCAGGGTGATGGTGGGGCGTGTGGGCGGCGGGGGCTCGGCGGTGGTGGTGGATGCCGGCAGGGTGCGTTGCCGGCCTCCCGGCTCCTCCTCACTGCGTACAAAGTTCAGGTATTTCACCATGTTGGGCGGGCGTTTGGCGGCCGGCGCGTACACACTGCCGCAGCCGTAATACGTGTTGATCTTCTCCGCGTCCACACCGCTCAGTTCGCGCCGCTGTCCCAGCATCTTCAAATTGATGTTGGTACTGGTCGGTGTCAGAGTGGGTCGGCGTTCGTCACGCGACTGCAAAACCAGAGAAATTCATGTCATACTTTACAGAAACAGCTGATTGTATTCCATAGCCTTATCCGATTATTCGCGCCCAAAATTATTAACAAATAAAATTAAGTAAAGTTTTTCTGGGCGTGAAATTACAAACAGCTGCGTATAATATAAGATTCTAATGATATTTTTCGTAACTGTACGAGTATGCCAGCATCACTCCGATCGTCTTAGACAGATCCAGAAAATTATCGAAATGCACTTGACTTACTGGATAATGAAATACCGAAAATATTTTTCGTTAAGAAACTAAAGATATACTTACAAATGCGTAAGCGGAATAGTGCATAACCGAATTGTAGTCATACTGTTTGCCCAGGTCGTCGATGCTGCCGACGGCGCGTTTGTGGAAGTTCACTTCGCGACCTATCACAGAAACCATAATAATCGACCTCATAAGGAAATACCCAGCCATTGTCAAATGGATACATTCATGATGCTTACCCGGTTCCATGTTGGACCACAAAATAGTGATAAACGAATCACGGTCCAGTCGCGTGTGCTCGTGGTAGAAGCCCAGCACGTGCAGGAGTTCATGCGCGACCACACCCATCTCGGTCAGGCACCTCCACGGGTCCAGCGTCACCACTTGCTGGCCGCCGCGCCGACCCACGTACGACGAACAACTGAAACGAAACACCAAAATGATAGTCACAAATTTCATCGAGACATGCTCCGCGTTTTACCCAATTGTGTTGGGGTCATACGGAGTACTTCCATATAATAAAAATTAATGGTACTCATAACAAAAAAGCGCCAATAACTGCAAACAAACAGATTCTGATACAAGTATGCATTAATTAATATTAGTTGTTAACAACTGACAATTCACAGAGGATTGTATTGTATTGGGTGTATCAAAAACTCAGTTCTCCCCGTCTTTGTAATATATACTACAGCATTTCAAAAATAATATACCAAGGGCAATGATTTCCGTACGACTGCGATAAACATTTCTTGTGATTAATTTAAAATGCATTCTCGATTGTTACGAAACTGACTACTGTTTTGAAAATGGTATACCGTATGTTAAAAGCTTATTTAAAAAACAAAAAATTCCTTAATTTTTACGAAGAAGCACGAAGCAGCAAATGTACACTGGTTGCTGCTTTTAGTGCTGTCTCGCCGGCGTGAATAACCGAATGGGAACTCGGTCAAACACCGGCCTTGACCGAGGCCGTAGTAGAGTCTAGCGTACTACGTACAATACAACGGCGACGTATCTCCGTATTAGCTAAGCCACTGCATTAAACACCGAAATACTGCGAATGTAGTGTATACTGCGCCGTGGCTAAACTATTTCACACTGTTCCAACACACCGGCACTCAACGGTACACTACTTCCGGTTGTGGCTAGCGCGCACTTACCCTTCACCCGGCATAATGCGCACATAATCCGCTTCCGAGGTCCTCTCCACAAAACTGATACACGTCTTTTTCTGTAAAAACCACATCACACGTGCTGACCACAAGGACAAAGCGCACAAGATGCGGCTGCTGTTTTCTGCGGAAATCAATGGAAAACAACTTACTCGAATTTCATCCATTGCGCTGTAGATCATTTGCTTCTGCTCGAAACCTATTCAATTCAAAATTGGTTCAGCGCGAACAGAAATACCAAAGACCTGAGAAAATATTAATATGCCAGCCAAAATAAATGGGCCTCGACTTATTTAAAGAAAGATTCAAAACAACACAGTTATTACGCTTAAGTGTTTTGCAAAATAAAATTACAGTTCTTAAAGATAACAAATTCAAAACATGAACAGAAAGCTGGCATCGTTGCCGAAACTCACTGTAATATGGGTCAATCGTATAGGGCACCACTCCTTTCGTCCATTTCCGGTAGTCAGCATTGGTTACCGCTCGAACCTGTCGTTCGAAGCCGCCAGGCAGCACAATGTCGCCTTCATGGTGCGCTAAATACAGTCCACGGTTATTTAAATCAGCCTTACTGTATAACATATTCGCAGCGAAACCGGCAGCGTACCTCCCACTTCATCTGCATTGGGTTGCCACAAAAATTCCTCAGAAGCACTTTCTTCGGGAGTTTCAGCCACTGCAAGATAAGTTGGTTGAAATGCAAAACGCTGCAAACCACATTGCGCACATTTCATAAAAAAAATCTTCTCCGCACCGTAAAACGCTTAAGTGAAAAGGAAAAATTACACTTAAATTACCTACACCGGAAAAAAATAAATTTTATTTTGATAAAAGATTCGGAGTGCAAAAATGCGGCTTAATTGATTAATAGCGTAGGGCGGATACACCGCAGCCGGCTGCTGATCGCCATCCTTCGATGACGTCGAAAGTAAACAAAAGTAAACAACAACAACAACAACAAAATATCTTCTGATTCAGAACCACCCAACAAATTGTTGGTTTAAATAAACGAAAGATGACCAGTGCTTCTAACAAAAACCTCCACCTCGGGATAACCGTTACATAAAGGACGCATTAACTGTCCAGAGCCAATGTACTACTTTATAGTCATTCATATGACTGCAACATACACAGGATATCGTCCACCGAAAGCCGTTTAGAAATATAATAATCCGGGATGATAGATGCACCGTTAGTTCTCCACAATACCGTCATCCACAGGCACAATAACTGTATCCCGTTGGAATGCATTACAACGAATTGTGGGAAACGAGAGCCGCCGCTCACCAGACACCGGTCTCGTGTTGTGCGTGTGTTGTCGCAACACGTGTGCCTCTGACGAACATGAACAGCGATACACATTGACGACTGCCATTTCACAGTGGATGGTGTTTTATATACGTACGGAACAGATCGGCGACAACACTTCCGCAAGGAAATCTACCTTAATTACCGTACCACTACCGCGCTGTCTACACTGGCTACTCGCGTCCAAATATTTGTTTACCGACCCACTTGACATTTGTCGTCTTAAAACAGATTCCATCGCCAACTAGACCATCGATATCATTCCCAGATTATGATGTTGCAGTATATTTGAAACAAATTGCAAATACAAAAAACTATACAGAACGTAACTTTTTATAACAAAACAACCCGTTGACCTATCAACAGGAAGCTACACAAAATTAGAAAGCAGCAACTACACCATATTAATTAGCCACCACAAACAAGTCGGATGTCCAATCAAAGCTTATTATTATGAATTTGTTTTACCACTTAATCAATATTACGCAAAATACAGTTTCTCAGGAATTTTAATTTTGTGATTAAATTAATTTTATTCAGGAGAAAGAGCAGTACTTCTTCAGAAATCAGAATCCCAGAGTTTATTTTTAACCAACAAATCTTTGAGTTTTCTTCCGCATAGTCACCAGGTACACTGTAAAAAATTTCACCGAAGATGTGATAACAAACACCAAAAAGATCATCCACCTTTCTTAAATTTACCAAACTCAACGAATCATTCCACCCATCTATCACTGTGCAAACAATGTGGACCACCCACATTTCCACTAACTTGTAATCCGCTCCCCTATCACATCACCACATTGACAGCTTCCTCGGAAGTTGTCGACACCGGCGGCGGCCGGCGCTTAGCAATGCGCAACAGACGAATGAGCGCATCGGGCGTGATGCCCTCGATGCGGCTGCAAGCCGCCAAGGAAGCGGGTCGCAGGCGTTTCAGCTTCTCCCTCACTTCCCCAGACAGATTGAGGCCGCGCTCATCGTAGTCAATGTCCACCGGCAGCAATACTGACTCGTCGGCCTGAACACGGGCCATGTCCAACTGCAGGTCTCGAGTCGCTTCCGCGTAGGTGGCGCTGATTTTTATACGTCGTCCCAACCAGTCCATCTCCAATAACTCCTTTAATTCCGGCTAGAAAAGTACCCCATCAATCAAGTGTACGTACTGTTTTTAGCTTTGTAAATGCTACAGCAGCTAACGCTTATTTTTCTTCCAATCAGTCAATTGTTTCCCATTGTTTCGTTACAACTACGGTGCATCAAAGCGTTTGAAACGCTAAAAAAGTAAAATACATACCACCTATGCATTTAATGTGAATGAATACTTCAGTCAACCTTGAAAATCATAAGAGGCTTCAAAAATAAAAATAAAACTTTGCCCAATAATTTAAGCGAAATTCTCAAGCAAAAATAACTTGTAATCAGTAGATTAGCCTGATAATGACAACATGCTTGAAACCGAACAGATTCTTGCAAAACAAGCATGGCTTTAATTGTACGTACATAACCCCATAACTCTGGTAATTATAATTGATAATTCAGCGTACAGGAAGCGTCTAAGCAAAACTAAAAACCGTTACTCAACCACCTAAATTAAGTAACCTACATGTTCACCGCCAACGCCATTCAGCAGCGTCTGCACCGAGATGTCGGGATGGTTAAGGACCTGATACGCATTTCGCGCATCCGGCTTCGTCAAGTTGAAATCAACGTTCAACTTGGAAGCCCATTTGTGGGACGACATTCGCAGGGATCGCAGCAACTCCATTGCCCGGGCTAACTGCGCTTTCTGTGTGGCATAACGCTGCTGGCGGGCTTCTCCGATGCAACCCACGCTGATTCCTTTCTCCGTCAATCGCGCATCTTCGATTTAGAACACAGCTTACTGGTTAGGAAATTGTACGAAACAGCAATCAAACGATGCCGCTTAAGCACAACGTACCGGCGTTGTCCGGTCGCAGCTTTAAGCGGTACTCGGCGCGCGAAGTAAACATGCGGTAGGGTTCTGTGGCTCCCAGCCGAGTGAGATCGTCGATGAGGACGCCAATGTAGCCTTCGGTGCGGCTGATGACAAAAGGAGGCCGGTACAGGGCGTTGCAGCCGGCATTGATTCCGGCGACTATGCCCTGTGCAGCGGCCTCTTCATAACCTATTCAATTTCAATACCCATTTTCTGCACAAACAGGCAAACATTTTCACGTTCTTCATAATATGCGATCCTGACATGAGTTCAGTATTTACAGCATCCCCATTTTGTTACCAGCTTTTTTTTGTAACAGTATCACTTTTAACTACATCTAGTTAGTGCTGGTTACGATATCCTACCTGTCGTGCCGTTTATCTGGCCAGCCAGAAACAAGCCCGGCATGCGGTGCGTTTCTAGAGTTTGCTTCAACTGCCGCGGATCGATGAAATCGTACATGACACCGTAACCAGACCGAAACATCTCCACGTTCTCCATTCCAGGAATTAATCGTAATATCTTAATCTGCGACCACAAAAATTCCAATAAAGGCGTGTTTATCAGTTTGATGATATGGGCAGTTCACCTGGTATTCCACCGGCATTGTCATAGACAGCCCATTCGGATAGATTACCTCCGAATCAAAGCCTTCCGGTTCCAGCCAGACTCGATGCGGTAAGTGTCCGAATCGAATGGATTTGGACTCAAAGGAAGGACAGTATCTAACATCGAAATACAAATAAGCAAACCTTATTGACACAAAGTAAGTGCGCAGGAGGCAGTATAGTTTTAAAAATGTTATCGCAGTATTCACATTAACGGTACGCCAGTTACAGAAAAATACCAACAAGACGGGAAAATTTCCCAATACAAAAAGCAATCAATAACGTCAAACGCTGCAACGGAATTCTCTTAAACAGATAGGTCGAACACATTAAAAATAAGTTAAAATAAATGAGAAATATCTATAAAAAAATATGATTAGACTATTCTTAGAAAAAAAATGAAAACCCGCTGCAGATCAAAACTGCTTCCGCTACGAAAGTGTTTCGAGCACAGAACAGCCAGAGTCGAAGTACGTAACTGTCTAAGCAAAACCAAGTTATCACATCTCACACACCTAAAAACCGTAAAAAGAAAAAATAAAACTGCTTTCAAATACCTCGGCCCGCGCGTTTCTTCCTTCACATGCCGATTCAGATGCAGCGTGTCCAGCACAATCTTACTGCACTCCGCAGGCGTGTATGTGATGTGGCACAGCATCTGCTGGTCCGCCGCAATCCACGGCCGATCATTCATAAAGGAGAAAGGCAAAGGGGGATCGTCACCATAAAACACGCCGGTCTTGGTGAAATCAATGGTCTTCTTATCCAACCGCGGCGGCGTGCCCGTTCGCAGGCGGGCCATAGTGAAACCGGCCTTCTCAATCGTCTGCGCAAGTGCAACCGCCGGGGCGTCGCCAATCCTCCCCGCCGGCCGTGTCTCCAGTCCGATATTGATTTCCCCCCGCAGAAAAGTCCCGGTGGTCAGGACAACCGATTTGGCGTGATAGGTGGTGCCGTCGGAAGTGACAACGCCGCGGCAAGTCGTCTGAGAGGGATCAATCTCGGAGGGCTGGGTAAGGAGATCGTCCGCAGAGGCGGCGTGGATGGTGAGGTTCTGGTAGGCTTTCAATTCCGCTTGCATATTGGATTTGTACAGCTTCCTGCAAATTATCACAAATCTGTTCGAGTTGCGATCATTTCTGCATTCGAAACAAAATAGCGCTTGAGCGATCCTTGTAATGAGTGCACATGCAGTCCACTGTCCACAGATAAAGCAACGCGCAAAAATAATTTTTAGGACTGTCCAGGGAAAAAAGGAAATTCGATCGAAATAAGCCAATGGGTAATCATAAAACAGCTTCGCGGAGCAATTGCCAGCACTCATTTGCGTCATTACAGAAATTAATACAGTATTAATGAGTTAAGAACGCTACTCATCGAATTACGTTTCATCTGCTGAGTGCATACAGTACCGTCCAGTACCTGTCGATCTGAGCGCGATATCCCCAGACGGCCGGTCCCTTCTTGCGGTTGAGTACTTTGTACTGCACGCCCGAGATATCACAGATCCGTCCGCACACCCCGTCCAGCGCGTCCACCTCCTTCATCAGGTGGCCCTTGCCGATCCCCCCGAAGGAGGGATTGCAGGACATTTCGCCCAGGGTGTCCAGTTTGTGAGTAACCAAAAGTGTTCGCGCGCCCATCCGCGCCGCCGCACACGCCGCCTCTGTGCCCGCATGGCCGCCGCCCACCACAATCACGTCGAAGTCACGGCCACCTGCATAAGACGTTCCCATTGCTGACTGCCGGCTGTGATCGACAGTAATCGTCGTACCTGCTGTGCTCGACGAATTCGACAATGTTCGGTGGAATATTCCCAGCAGATTCCGGACCAGTTGATGCCGCGAGAAGAGCACTGACTCGCATTCTGCCAGCAGTCGACTGGTTAACATTTCTGCTATTTCACGAGAGCTCTCTCAAGAATGATTTGGAACAAGCAGTTCGGATCACAGAAAGAGTACCACTGAAGGAAAGAAACCATCCTACGCTTTTGCAAATTCAGCCAGCAAAGCTGCAAAGACAAAAGTGAAAACTGAAAAGTCCTCACTTTATAGTTTATACTTTTCCCTAACGGAGGCGATTTCCTCACTATTACAAAATTAACGATAATTCACGGATAACAGATGTGAAAATGATAAGCCAAATGTTTGATGCAGCTAACTTTTATCCAAAAATCAAAATTCAAAAATGACAATTTTTGCTGTTCGATCGCACATCGACGATCCTAAAAATCAGCGCTAAAATTTTTTTAAGTGTTGCGAGGCCTACGCGTTGTAGCTGTGGTACTAGCGCTGAAGCCGTCCGTATCTCTAGGTACTAATTAAGAGTACGTATGTTGCGAGGCTTCCTTAGCACTAAGGCGTCGGCGACGTCTGTAGTACAGACTCTGTACTCTTACCGCTTATGCGCTCATGCCTCCCTATCCGTTAGCCCATTCGGTAACAAATTTTAAATAAGGATAAATAATCAGTTTTAAATTTTCTGTTTTTGGGAGAAGGAAAGAACCTAGCAGCTGCAGTTCCTTGATTTTTTCGCTAAACCGAGGGTAAGGGTTGCTGAGTTTAACGAATGTAATGGGCACAGAAACGCTTTAAAACATGTGTAACTGTAATGTAAGTTTGTAACAGAGTGGCTGCAGCTTGCGCATGCGTTACATAACGGATAATCTCAGCTGTTCGTCTACAAGATATTCTTCTTTCACGATTTCAGTGTGACAGTATTCTGAGTGATACTGGGATCTTCGGCGTGCAGCATGGCGGACCGTCGCCTGCTGGCCTACGGACTGCTCGTCAACGTCTTCTTTTTGCTGTCCATTCGCGATCTGTTGGCGCATTCCAAGCCTGACAATCCCGAACCCACAGCCAAAGACGTCCCGCAGCCCAAAATCATGCAAATGCGCAGTGGACCCGCGCTGAAGTTTTTGTATTGGTAAGCGCCCTTCTTAAAACCAACCAGAATGACTGCGCGTATTGGCAGAGCGAGCGAAGAAGTAGTATAACAGAATTCACGTCTGTTGTTGGGAATGAAATTGCTGCTCTTAAAATACCGCTATGATGCTCTCCATTTGAATTTTTTGTTCTGTTGATTTGTTAGTCTCGCTTCTTTGGCTGTAATATCAAGTCGTCGCTTTGATTTAATTTGCCATTCCACGAAAATTGCTCTTGTTCGTCGTAGCGATACGGTTTGCATGTTCAGCTTACTTTGCGGAATCGATTTATTGATCGGTCTGTTAGTAGCAATTATTAAGTTTTGCATTCTGTCCTTGTAATATTTCTGAAATTCTGCACGACTTAATATCGCTGTGTGGGATACTTAGCCGGTTTGTTCAAACTTCAGACATATTGCTCAGTAATATACTTATTGTTAGTCAGATATCATTTATTATAAAATTACAGGTGAAGTTGTTTATGCATTTATTAGTGAAATTTATGCCTTTGTAGTTACTCGTGAGGGTACCGGAAAGTGTACGAGCAGTACCGCTCGGCACTCGCTGAACGTTATCCGGATTTGAACATCGAAGGAGCCAACTACGATCCCGCACTGTGGCGCGTCCAACTGGCCACCGTGTTAAGCTATGCTAAACTGGCCTTTATTCTGATTGTCGCTCTCGGCTATAATCCATTCACTGGCTTCGGCACGCAAACTCCCAGATTTTTCCAGTGGGCCATGTCCAATAAGGTATGAACTGTGTGTGCGGTACTGAAGCACTCGTCTTACTGTAATTATTTGAGTAGCGATTCAGAATTTTTGATGTAGACATGTAGTTATCCAGTGCTGCACTGTAACTAAAGAAGAAATATGTACGAAGTAATTCATTCATAAGATGGATCAAATAGTCATTTTTTAGTTTACTTGAGCTGCCCTGATGTGCCCTTACTGCATAAAACGGCATTACGCCCTGTTTGGCTTATGATGATTTTGAAGGCTTTGTTGGTTCCTGAATACATAGCACATTACTACATACTGCTGTAATTTCTCCTGTATGAGTTGGATGTGACGCATTTACTGACACCGTGAACCGACTTAAAAGGAAACCGTCAATCGCGACGAGTGTTACAATCAGCTAAAACGATTATTTCTCGAAAATGAACTGCGATTGTGTGATTACAAATATGCCTTGATTTCAGGTTTACGCGTGCCTTATGGCTTGGTTTTTGACCGGAATGTTTGAGAATTCTCTGCTAAGCACCGGTGCATTCGAAATTTCTTTTAATGGTAACCAAAGCCTGAAGAATATTTTGTCCTCGTGTATAAGCTGATACACAGAGAACATTGCAGATGTGCCGATCTGGTCCAAGCTGGAGAGCGGTCGTGTGCCGGAATTCCACGAAGTCTTGGGCATGGTGTCGCAGCAATTAAGTCCGTCGTTTAACAAATAAGCTCCTCCGATTACAACCGGGATTATCCGTCTTTGATGCTCCTCACTCTAGTCCACAAGATTCGGGATAGCTGTGTATGAAGGCGAGGGCTAAAAGCGCTCAGCGCACGCCCCTGCTGGATGATAATGCTCTCCTGGAAATATGGATCTAGATACATAATACGTTACGTGGGTCACATCAGAAGTAGGGTATTCTCTTGTTTTAATTTTATTTTGGCCGTCGCTGGATTTTTGATTTTCCCCACAAGTTTTTCTCGTCTGCGTTCCACTCAGCTTCAGTTTTGGCTGCTTTTTGATGTTGTTTCGTCGGAATAGTTAATGCTGGTCAATAAACTTGTTGTATGTCTACGGTAGTAGTTGTTGGGATATGCAAACGCATGGCAAAGCAGCAGGTGATATGGCCGATAACGAAATGACTTGCAAGATCGGCTAGCATGCATTAAAAGTTTTTCCAAATTTACAAGAAAACCAAATTTTTTCCATCAAGCAAGTGGACGATTTTTTCGTTGGCATTTTTCGAGTTACGTTGGAACCGTTTATCATCGACTGTACTGTACCGGATACATGTGTGCGAAATCTCCATACTCTCCCGGGATGGTGACGGAAATCCACCAAGAATCGGAAATCGATCCTAAAGCTTCTTGAGAACGATAAGAATTAAACTGATTGCAAAAATTAAAACTTCGCCCGCTTATTATGGGCGGAACTTTCAAGCCGTCTGTAAACATATTGTACAAAGGTAAATGCCTTATTGTTGGCTTGTAGTCTTGAGAAATGCTATGCTGAAAACTGGATATGTCGCAAAGCAGCCCATGTGGTACTGCAGGCACACCGGCACGATTTCCACCATCTATTTATATAATATGTACAATAACAATACCTTATTACTTATTTCAAAGAAATTGCAAAATTGTATGGTAACCACGACCTGAACTCAAAACGGAGGCCTTTACTAGCTAACAGATGTGGGTCTTACCATTGGATGTGAATTACAGAATTTTCGTTAATAAAGCCCTTACCTCTATGCAGCGCAAAGAAACAATATGTGCATAGTTATAATACATGTACTTGTACAGTTGTACCTAACTTACATCCGCATCGCGAATGGATCATCAAAAGCTCCTGTTAAACCATGGTTTGAAGTCCGGCAATAAAATACAAAGGTGTGTTCGCCGTCCACCTTGTTTATATTATGTATACGACGCATAATAATAACCCACAAAATATTTTTCGAGACAGTAAAAGCGGCACCTGTGCACGTATGCAGCTACAGAGTATGATCGTCATTTTTGTCGTCATGGCCGTGGAAATAAAACGTTTTACCAATTTTGCAAACAGGCTGCACAAAATCCACCGCCCTGTCGTCAAACAGGAGTAAAGATTTTACTATTACAGGCACGCAGGATTTTACTATTACATGTATATGCATCATTTTCCTGTTCCTAGAAACAATACATCTGCCATCATGTTACTGTTATTGGACCAATATATAAAGCATATGCGTGCTGCGAAATTCGGCAGTTGCAGTAAACGTACGTGCTCCTTGTAGCCATTTAGATACACAAGTAGTCAAATTTCTGCACACCATGGCAATGCAGTCTTGCGTTTTGCTGATGATTGGTCTGGGGGCGATACTGACGGCAACGACCACTTCCGTTAACGGAGACCGAGGGGCCTTAGCGACGGAGAACGGTCTCTTGTCGCTTGGCCCCTGTGCCGACGGCAAGGTCATCCAGATCCAGGAAGCGCGCTACGGGAACGGGTGCAACTGCAGTTGCGATGCTGGCTTCACTAATTTGGCTGTTAGATCAAAGTGCCAAGGTAAGACTGTCATATCACAGAACGACCCCGCGCATTGCATGCGTTGGTCTGGTGTTGCAATTCGTCGCAGTTCACAACACTGGCAGCGGCGCAGTTCGTAAGAATCACTAATTCGAATATTTTGGTTTTATGTCTATCTTATACATGCAGTCGTTTACTTAAATTATCATGACGTCTGTGGCCGGTATGCATGTACTGGTGTTTCCCACAGATAGCGAATTTGTTGTTTGTTCACGCGGAGCATAAGAGAGACATGGTACATACAAGAGCCAAAGCTACCGTTATATATATAAAACGGCGCCAATGCTCGAAACACCTATTTACGACATTTTTTTTTGTGTAAAAAAGTATTGCAATTTGTATGAACTGAAGTCATTGTCACTTGTCGGGTGCAAGGTCTTCGCCAATACACTGGGCGATGGCGATAGATGACGATTTGTTCAGATCTTCTTACAGCATAAATCTGCGTCGAATACCATTTTTGATATATTGCATACAAGTTACAACCACTTTCCTTTTAACTGCAGGTGAACAAACGTGCAGTTTCACCGTGACTAGTGCCCTTTTGGGCGATCCGGGATGTGGCGGCAAACCGAAAGCTCCTAACACCCTCCTCGTGACGTATGCATGTGTCCCGGACTATGAAAATTCCTCTTACTAAATCAAAATCTACACTTGGGAGCTGATTTTCATGTACGTAGTCGTTGACTTAAACTTTGAAACACAACTGAGTTTTTGGCTGTTAATTTACAACCGCTGGCTAACTTGTCAAATGCAGCTCACATTGAATTCCGGCTGTCGATGGCAGCTCGAGCTTCGCGAAACCAGTAAAACTAACACTTTATTTTATGATAAAATAAAGTGTTACGAAAAGTATTACGACGAGCATGCAGCACACGCTTGTAATTAATTACACCAGAAAATTAGCGTATATTATATAGTTTTTATTATAAACATAGGAATATGTGTTGGATATTTTGATAACTGCTACAGTCTAGCCCGTGGTTTCACCATTGTTACTTACCATATGTTGTTGAGAGTACGTGAAAATAAAGCTACTACTGTATGTCGATATTAAAATTGCTGCAGCAACTACTTAGAATACTTGTAATTCCTATTTTTTTTAATTGAAAGCATCGACAAGCAAGTAATCAAGGGTCCGAAATCGAAACCTTGGCGGCAGATCGTTTGATTAGTACACAACAGTTGCATCAAAGGTCACTTATAATATCTGTGATCCATTAAGCGTACAGCGTCGAATACTAGATTACTGTAATACTGAACACGATGTTATCGCCGATTGACACAACCTGAACGCCCAGAACATGTACATGTCAACATTCTGTAGCAGGAAGTTGGAACCATCAGTTTCAGCAGAACAAGAGTGATAATCATTCATACACTGCAAACTCCTGACTGCAGCATTTTGCACTTGTTTTTGCACTTATTAACTGACTTAATTGGCACGTGCTGATCGCACCTGCCGTTTTTCTTCAACGACAATGTGGCGTGTGAGAGCATTTAGTATTCTCTGCGTTCTGCTCGTGGAAGCTGTCAAAGACATTCGGGCGTACAAAGGCTCTTTCGCTGTGGAAAGCTCCACGTTCTCCGTATCATGTGCGGACAGTGGACAGGTCCTCCATATCATCGAAGCCGTGTACGGCAACGGCTGCAATTGCAGTTGCGATTGGCACTACACGGCACTTGTCGTCCGAGCCAAATGTCAGGGTATGTAGTGCGACACCTTTGCACAAGCCTGGTTTTTTTAAAGCGTAGCTGTTCCCCTAAATGCTGTTCTATCTTAACTGCAGGGCAGAAATCGTGCCGTTTCAGCGTGGACCGAGATGTGCTGGGTGATCCAGAGTGCAACACTGACAGTACGTCGTCTTTCTCTCGCACCCCCAAAAAGCTTCTGGTGACGTACGATTGTGTGCCGGAACGCAACTCGCCTTAATCGACTTTAATCCCAGCCAATGACAGACGTACTAGGAATTGTTATGTAACACAGGTGTGGACTTGCTGATACTTTATAACTTGTGTAAGCATAAATGTACCATTGTGTTTGAGAAATAGAAATCATATAGTATAGGTAAAACGATTACGATTTAAGGAGCTACAAATGCCGGATGCCGCACTGGTGCTGTTATATATGCGTTTGACGACAAGTCTGGTGATCTTTTGGTTACATTTAGCAGTACCAGTAGACTGGTAATCAACAGCTAACTGTCCTTTTTACCCGGCGCATGGTCAAACCGCAAACGTTTCATGAAAGTCCGCGAAAGCGGCGTCTTGCTAAATCTGTTATTGGACCTCCTCAGAATTATATGCGTTCCTGTAGTCAATTAGAACGCAAGCATTGTAAAGGTCACCTTTTCCAGTAAAAGTGAGGCCTAGGTGATTATTAATCACCTAGGCCTTTATTAATCACTGATTAATCACTGATTAATAAAGGTTCTCTGTAGATACTCCGTTGATCAAAACTTCGTTTTTTTATATTCTTCTACATACACACATATATAAATGCATGTAATTTGATATGTTCTGGAGTAAAATGTTCCCGAGATTTACGACCGGACGCTGCTAAAATCCTTTTCCTTAAACCTTTTCTTGAAGAGATCTTGAGAGATTTATCATCCAAATCCATCCAAATGCAGCAGCGAATGGCTATATCCATTCAAATTCAACGAGGAAATGCCAGATTTGTATAATTATGTCTGGTGGGTACTATCCTTGATCAGGATAGCATAGAAAAAGTACTTACTGTACCATATTACTGTAAATCTGATATGAATTTTATTTTAGTACTGTTTTTGCTTATGTGTTTCCCTGAAATTTCTGACGGACGATGCGATGTCGGCTAATTTGCTGAATCGCTAAATCTCTAGGGTACTCTGACCTTTGCAAAAGTTTTATAGCAGTTCAAAAAGAGAAAAGGTGTGTTTTGCGTCGCTACGTGCGCGAATGCCCTAATTTCCGATCATCTAACAACTGGCACTCAGTAAAGCTTTGAATTTTTAGTTGAGGCGCACAGACCGGCCTCCCGTTTGCTGATTCCGACTGAAATGACGTTTTTCTATCTGCGCTCGACGTGTGATAAGCATTTAATACATACAGTTTTAATACGCCATAAATTCCCTGAACACCTGACTACTAAAACCACTAAAAATCTACTATTATACTCGTACATTTTCACGGTAAAAACCTCTTTGACCTTTGGAGAAGACTGAGGAAATTCAAAAAAAAACAACCATCGCACAACAGTTCACCGCAGACACAAATCAGCAACACAAATAACATCACCTCGTATAAGTTTCCCAAAAATACCACGAAAATTCTCAGTTTTGAATATGTACAATGTTGCATTTATCACAGGGAAGTGAAACACCACGCAGAAATTAACTTCATCATTACCATCAACACTGTTGCCAGACTTAATGTTCTCAAGGCTCCGGACTGGAAGGCGGTGTGTAAAACTCATTACTGCTGCTTTTCTCCTCTAGTGGGGATTTCAGCAGGCTTTCTTCGCGCTCTTCTATCATTTCGATGGTGGCTCCGATACGGAGCTCCACTTTCGCTTGGAGGAAATAATTTTTGAATTCCCTATAACAAAAGCAAGTGGTTTCCCAATCCGAATGTAAAACATTAACCGTAAACTATGAGATACATAACGTATAAAGAACGATGAAAAGTGCGCGTAAGTAAAGTGATGGACATCTTAACTGCTTCTAAGGCTGTTTCGTTTACTGTAACTAGAAATTTAGAAGTACACAACCACTTCTCTAAATTTTAACACATAATGATTAAATGTTTACCGCCTCCTATGGCTAATGGCAGGTAGGTGAACGGTGACAATTTTACCCACACACCGGCAAAAGCGAAAAAAGCGAAGAACCACAGAACGCAAAATGGATACGTACATCGCACGATTGGCATAGCGGAGAGCCTTATCGAGATCATCCATGCGCAGGAACATCTGCGCCAGTTCTACCGACGCATACGGACACAGGAATTTGTCTTCGCTGATGTGCTGCTCCCTGCAACGACAATCATACCACCTTGAAATATCTGAGAACTGTCACGTAACGCATGCGCAGTGTAATAAGCAGTACCATTGCACCGTAAAATAAATCGCATCCATTTACAGCAATAAAAACGCTCAGGTTAGCGGTAAACAACAGGTAAAATGAACGAAAATTTCCTAAATTAAATTTTGTAACTAACTTTAATGAATAGTTATTAAGAACTAGTTATTTTACGTTTTTATGCATAGATACCAGCGCGATCGTCTTCCCTTCCTACCCCACAGTTATTTTATCATATATTCTTGTACATTTTATAACCGCACGCCAGTGCGCCGGCAATTTCAGCGTAAAATGTAACAGCGAACAAAGACCCATAAAGGCCGTGTTATTACTAGGGTAGCATAGAGCTAGTAAGTTTTCTTACGTGCTCCACCACCCATACAACGCAATAAATAGCAATGGATACAAATTTCCGAAAGAGAAGTAGTTGTTGGGCATTGAAAAAATTTTAGCTAACGGAAAAATATTTAAAAAATACGTATAACAGGCAGTATCAGCATACGATGCACCTACGCGTTAACAATCTCATCGAGGACCCCCGTGGCTTCCTCCACCCGGTTGAGATAAGCCAAACACACGCCGCGGAAGAACTTGAGGGTAAAAATGCTGTCTGAATGAATGCGACTGCTCCCCTTTCCTTTCTTCGCTCCCGCGCCACCCGGTCCAATCTCCGCAATCTTCCCATCGACAATGGCCAGAATATCCTGGACAATGTCCGGACGTTGGTGCAGAGCAGACATGCCGCCCCACACGTACGACATCTCCTGCACAAATAATATCCACAATCAACCACACACAAATCGATATACTGTCAACAAACTGAATAAACCCAGCGGCAACCCAAAATAACCAAGGTCAATGGATATGTGTACATTCCGCGGCTCACGCGGCCTCTTAATGCTACTCCGCCATGCCAACTGGGACCGGAAGGAAACGCACAAATCCATTATTGTATTGACAATTAGGTAAATATTGCCGCTAGAGTATATAGTGGATTTGGATGGAGTTATGTAAACAGTTACGGGAGCAAATATTACGACGGGTAACGATAAGGATTCGGTATTGTAAACTCATTCCGCTTATTGTTAGCAAATGTATTAATTACTGTACTCTTGGACACCACGCTGCAGTACATTTAGAGAAAGCGTAGAAATTAATACAAATTACATCTTAGGACTCTGAAAGTCCTAAGATCTGTAATTTGTATTAATTTCTACATAGAACTGAATACAGAGTCCGACTCGGTACAATCACACAGCTTTTTTTCAGAGTAAAAGTGATATAAATTTGTGAGCAACAAAAAAGTAACGTACACGCTGAATTCAGTTCTATGTACAATACGATTATGCGGTTTATCTCTGGTACACGTACGGTATCGGCATATACTTATTAAGTGAGTGAAGTGACACAAACCAAAACACAACATGTATTCGAACAATATACTCCAACTGTGGCAAATTACGTACAAATTTGTAATGAAATAATTCAGTGCCCTAGAATAATAACACCGATTGTTGGAAACCGTAGATACTATTATACTACACATTCTGTAAACAAAAAATGTAACGCAGGAATGCACGCACATTTTACTAGAATTCAAACTTAATAAAAACGAGAATCTGATGAAAAATTCAATACTCACAAAGGCGGGAAATACAAGATCCTTTTCCTGTTCGATGTAGCGTTTGTAACGCTTTTCGGCCAGTTTTTCCGGAGGGATCGTGTGTCCCGCGATCTTTTGCTTTCGAGCAATGACTTCTCTGTAATAACGACCAATAACGTAAGCAATTCCCTTTTCCCGCACGCAACAACAGATGTATCCAAAGGTGAGTAATACAAAGCAAAAATCTGTAATACTAATTAAACGCAAGTAACCGAATCAACGAGGAACCGTGCACTTACTTCAGCATCTCGTTAATCGTAACTGTCTCGCCGTTGAGTTTTGCTTCCTGCTGATTAAGCATCAGGAGGAAACAGGCCTACAACCCAGGATAATACGCGATACCCCAAGGAATTCCCGTGTAAATTAGCAGAGCAATTTTGAACACGCACCGTCAGATACGCGTAGGTTGTTTTACTCCACTGGTTCTCTTTGTACAAAGCATGCGCCAATTCTGCTGCTGGTAGATAGTTTAATGTGAAACAATGGCACCTGCAAAATATTTCAGTGCACTTTCCGAAACATTATTTTTAAGGAAAATATTATCATCAAACTGATCGTATCGGTTTTAATTAAAGTAAGTAAGTGCAATCTGGATTCTGCGATTCGCTACGCTAATTCGTTGTGGTTCACAACACACAGCACTTTATATGCAAGACAAGCCTCTGAGATGGAGGCCTTCTTCGATCTTGAAAAATAACTGGGCAGATACCAAAAGAGTAAAAAACAATAATTAAAATCAAAAATTAAAAAAAAAACAATTAAAGATAGTAATTAAATTCGGCTGTCGAACTAATCATCCCTAATATATGAAACGGATTGAAAATTACTTGTACTAGAATTTGCTATGCAAACGAAAAAACCTCTAATATGGGTCTGTATTACTAGATTAAAAATAAACAATAAGCAAAACACATCAATAAATGGAGACACAACCACGGAAACAAACAACCTAAAAACTACTATCCAGTTCGATTTTATGACACATGATTCTTCTTCTGGCTGTTTACGGAATTACGATCCAACACATCCATAAACCCGTCCATTTCCTCACCAGTACTTCTATACCTAATCGCTGTTCATATCCGCTGTAGTCGGTTACAACACAGGCCATAAAAACCTTGTAGATTGTTTAACTTACCACATGCTTTCCCACATGCAGAGATGCTGATACTGCTTCCATTCGCTCTGCGCCCGCATCGACCGATTGAAGTAGTCGAGGGCCTCGGTAAACTGGCCGCGCAGCTGCGCCACCCGACCGGCGAGGAATAGCGTCACCGCGCCGCTAGGGTACTGCCGCATCAGCGGACTCAGCACTTCCCCGGCAAAATCCACGTCACAGATGCCGCTGCCTGCATGTACAGCATCGAAAATTATTATACAGTATACATGTGGAGTAGATCATCATGAAGGCAATTTACAATCGGGAATGTCACGGCCCAGACAAATCAAATATTATCCAATCAGCCTGTCTAACACAGTCAAGATCAGCTGATATATACGCAGCGTAATGGGACGCAGGAGATTTTTCATGGTTTTTCTTTTCTCGGAAAGCCAGTTATTCAAAAAAACAAGGAGAAATCTTAGTTAGGGAAGATTCTATCATTGACCTGTGTTGAGTTATTATACAATAAAAAATGTCAAATACAAATAACGATTTCGATCCACGAAACCAAGCGAAAAAATATCACCGGATAACTCAGTTGACCAGAAAGAGCTCCATATCGAAATTTTCACTACTTACTTTGGCATTACGCGTTACTCAAAAATTAGCGCCAGTAACTAGAATTAACTATCGAAAAACATAATTTGGGGAATGATAGTGAGTAATCAGAAGCATATAACATTATTTTAGAAACCTGCACTTCATGTTATTCAAAAAATGCCGAAAAGACTTAACAATAAGCCAACAGAATGAAACAGCAAAATATCTAGATATAAAAAATAACTCTGATGATCCGTGTACATCAGCCAACTGCAAAATGTGAACACGTTCTGTAATTGTACGGTCGATAAATTACAAAAAGCAACTTGAATCACATCAAAAGGTACCACGTGTAAAATCAATCAATCAAAATCTCGTTCTGAAATAACAATTATCAAATTACAATAAGTCGTAAAGGCCAAGAATATCTTATCGTAAGCGTACAGTTTATAAACAAGGCGTTTTACCATCAATGATTGTAGCCAAACAACAACATCCGGATGGCGATAATCACATCACCAGCACACTCCGATTTGTACCCGATAAACCGTTCAAGTGAGTCAGGCCGCAAGAAAACTATGAATTCCTTACCGAGCATAATCTTTCCGTAGGTTTCCCATCCAATCAGTGTCAGGGCGCACATAGCACCGCGTAGCGCTCCGGGGTCGGCGCCGCTCTTCAACTCGGCGTTACCCACCTTCGCTTGACCGCTGAAGCCCACCATGCTGAGATATTTGGCATGTTTAGAAGGGACACAGCTGAAGATCAGGTTGAAGGAGCCAGTGCCCAGTCGGACACCACTCTCAAAGTGCCGCCGTAATTCCTGGTTGTGCCAGGCTCGTTCCCGCAGGATATTTGCACATGTCCTGTCAAAGACATTATTATTACAGTTAATTCTATGCCACGCCCTACGCAGCACCGCTGCTAAAATGCTGCTCACAGTTTGTATTTAATTTCACTTTTTCGGTAAATATTATATTATACTAGCACCATTATTGTTATTACCATTGACAAGCAGATTTACACCGAAATGAATTTTCGTTAGCGGGATACAATATCTCACTGTAAGTGCGTTAATCATTAATTAGACGTTTTCTAAGCTAAAAAATCCACCTGCAGTTTATCAGCCCAAGTACTTAACAAAACAAATGTGTCTACAGTAAGTACCGAATCTGAGAATTTCAGTAAGTCAGTACTGACTCAGTAGAAATAATTAAACAAAACGAACAACGATAACACAAAAAGGTAAGTAAAAACAGGTCGAAAACCGGTAATCGGCACAATCTATATCCTTTCCGATTCCCTACTCGGGCGATTTCCATTTTTTCCGTAATCACGCCGGCATTTTCGTTCTACATGCACATACACAAAAGGCTTTTCCATCACAAAGCATGTCCTTACTGATAAGTGGAATGGGAGCTCTTGAAGCGTATCCCCGACTTAACGAGCGCTGTCAGGCCAGGATCCTCAGATAACACCAGCGCCGAAAGCATCAAACCGCATTCGGCATGGCACAACTCGGCATGCACCTGTTCTGCAAGATTGCACAAGTGTACTTATATTTACTGTACGTCACAATGGTGGCTAACCGCACGGTGACAAACCTTCCGTCCGCTTCGACCGGCTGAAACGACCCCGACATCGTTTAGCGCAGAGGGCCTGCGTATCGCGGAGAGCTTTTGAGGCGGCTTTGGCGTCCTCCTATGGAGACAATGGTTATTAAACAACAGGAACTGATCAAAGATGGAGTGGCCCCAATCAAAGATACTCACCGCGCTGACGGTCATGATCGCTTGCAAATATAACAGCACACTGTGAGCCGTCGCGGCGTACATGCTGGTGTCGATGCTGCGAAGCAAAATCCCATCAATAAATAACCAAAAGTAAAAACAAAAACCGATAAGAGCTTCATCATCAATGCGTTATGGAAATAAATTTAAACGACAACTTCATGCCATAAGAATCTTGACAAAACAAAGGTTCCACGAGCGTAAATATCATTCCGCTCTAGTGAAATTATCAAAAACGACAAAACTAAAATGTATGCAACACTAGTAACATAAACAAGGAAGGAAACATATGCTGCTTACAAAATTACTACAATCAACCAAACCAGGTTAATACTGTACACCTTTGGCTTTATCACAAGAAAAATCGTATATGTGTTATTTGATTAAACTAACCTTTCAAATTATTAATTACTCGGTGCTAATCGTAACCTAATTGTTTGAAATCTGTTTTCTGAAATTTTAAATAACCGAATACCGCGGATCACTCGGTTAATAATCTTCGAAATTTCTACATATAACGATATCTTGCATAAGTCTGCTTTTAACACTTTATTAACGTTCACGCTGCCTGTCTACACGAGACTGCCATGCAGTAACCTGCGCTGTAACTTCCGTGCCTACCAGCCAAACATCACACAACTAACCAGTAACACTAGTAACAATTAACCTCCTATTGAAGCGTTTACTGAGTCGGCAGAATGCCAAAAACGTGAAAGCTCTAACCTTTCCAAGCATGTGATCAAAGAGATATCTTTAAAATGTTATATAAACGGCAACAGCAATGTATTAATTGAATGGTTTCTTCCGTTGGACGAAAATAAATGGATTACCCCGGCGTTTCCGGCGACATCCCGGTGTGTAAAAAAATGCGCAGCGGTATGAAACCAGCTTATTCATGCACGAGAAAACCGATTAACAGGCCGAAGATCGAAACCTGTTTGGTTATGCTCTAATTCTAAACATTCCGTTTACCACAATAATGGTGCAAAACGTCTCGACTTTGGCGAGTGTATCGGTGCAGGAAAAGCAAACAGACTAAACAAACAATCCGGAAACGTAAGGTGCTCTTACAGACCGATAAGGAATACCACTGCGACATCACGATACACATGTAACCTCACAATTCATTAATTGTTAAAATTAACAAATATCGATATTGTGTCCCTGGTGTACTTATTGCACTAACAAGTGCATTCTAGCACTACGGTAGAATTTTACAGCCAATGCCAGCGACTAAATTACTTAATTTAATGTACTGTACTTCTTACACGTGCCACCTGAATTATTAAGTGCAATTTTAGAATAATGCACTCACTTAGGCTCCAGTAGGCGGCGGGCCTCCGTAATCCGGTTATTCAAAAATAAATCCAGAGCACGCTGAGCCATATGGATTTCCTCCACAAGCGCATATTCGGCCAGACTGCAAACGGAAAGCAAAGATGATGGAGATAATTAACACGCGATTTACGGTTGTTGCTTGCGCAACACCAATTTTCTGCACAGGAATTCGATAAACATCATAAAGTTACGACAACACTGACATGCGAGGAATTCTGATAACGCCAATATAAAAAAACGCAAATAATGCCCATAAAAAGCACATAAGAAGTAAGTAAACTCGAATAGCAAATAGATTCTTTAAAATACAACAACAAAATCCTGCCCGTAGGTAAGTAAATAATCTCAGGAATTTGATAAATGCATTTCGGGTGCTATAAATGATACGAGTAAACAAAATTAACAAAAGCAAAAGCGAATATTATCAATGAAAACAACTGACCGAAAAAATGAATCATAGATTATAAATACTGCAAATCATTCAAGCGATCCAACCAGGTTTTGTTTGACCACGATCAACCGTTTCATTTATTAATAAATTTATTATCAATCATTGATTATGACTTCTGTTTAGAACTAACAACAAATCACTCGGCATTTAATAAAGACTAATTTCATTAAAGTCACAAAACTTCTGAAATCGGTTTTATTTGCAATTTGTTGGTGGAAAATTCCGTAACTATGTAATGATTTCAGCGAGGAGGCTTACGCTCTTTCGGCGGATGTCTGCGTCAGACTGGGACTGCAAGAATTGGTGCTGACCGTTGACTGTGTATCCTCCGGACACAGTCCCTCCTCGAATTCGTACGACATCCCGATACCTTGCAGCGGAGATTTATCAAATAAATTGGGCGAAGCAGATCGGCCGTTGTTTTGGTCGCAGTTGGCTGCTGCTGGCAGGCTCAACGTTGGCACCGTTCGTCGACAGCTGTTCTGATCGTTCCATTCCTGCGGATTGCTGATCACCAGTTTCAATCCACGGGCTGCTGCAGGACGCGCCATGATAAGATAAGAAAAATAATTGATACTCCACAATATTATCACACAACGGGCTCTATCAGCGTGAGCGGGGTCACACGAGGTTGCGCCAATTAAAGTGATTAGCGCGCTGACGGCATTATTTCGACGGCGTCTCGATGCGCGCGGTTCTCACGGCATGTTCCCATCAAAAACCAACTATTGTTGGAATGTTTTCGCATCACACTGCGCTGCCTCGTATTCATGCAGAATCAACACTCTTTCAATTCGGAGCGCGAGCTGGCAGGAGTGGGTGCGTGTGTAGTGTGCGTCTATTCTCCCTATCGATTTCCACTAGAGCGCGCCGATCCCGAGCGTAGAAAACTAACCAACGTATCGGTGTCTTCCAGTCCGGCCAAGGCCACGTACAGTATGACGTCAACTCTTCTCGTTCACAGAGCAAATTTTACAAGAATAAGACACACATATTTAAATTATTTAGATGCTACACTGCAGCTGCAGAGTATCGAATAGGGAACGTACATGCGGTGCAGATCTTCGATAAAGTAATCAGTAATGACTGTAATGTCTTTGTTTTGTAGGCCATAAACAAAACATTGGCTGCTGACTGCTGTGCTTAGCGTGCTAATGAAGTTTTTTTCTTTAAGCACTTTTCAACGACTTTCAAAAAAGAGTACGCCCTTTCGCTATGAGTCACCCAATCGTATTAAGGCGTTCTAGTATGTGTGGGTGGGGCTAATTCGCATACGTCAACTGTTCAGTTTTTGATTAAGTATTTGTGTATGCATAATGCAATTACTAATTAGGCTTAACAATAATAATAAAGAAGCACATCGTAGTACATTATAAAAAATACTCCATAAAATGGGCGTACTCATTCAAACAATAAGATCATGTATCGCAAAATATCGGTTACCATTAATAAAACTTCCAATTTTTACCAGTGTCATGCCCTTTGCCACAGGTTTTCCCCAATGCAGATGCTCGCCTCGTGCTGCCACCCAGGCCACACGCATGTACTACATAGCTGATGGGATGCGTGTTGTGGTTCGCTCCAGACTCTGCGCAAAAAGATTTTTGTTACCTACTTTCCTTCTGTTAGTGTTGTTCAAAAATAAAATTTTTTGTTGATTTGCAACACAGTGGTTTGATTAAAACTATAAAACTATTTGATCAGCAGTTGTTTGCCGTTGTTGCAAGATACATGATCTTTTTCTTGAGAGGTTTGTACCCTCAAAGATTGCGTTGATTATTTAGCAGAAGTTTTGGACGTTTTTTATCCGGTACCTTTGAACCATGGGCAACATCGCGTACAGTTCCTGGGGCCAGTACTGGGAAGCATTCGTTTACGAGCGGAAGGCCGCTCCCGATGTGATGCGCGATCCGACGTTCGACCCCAATTTCGGATTCGCTGAGCCGCGTAAAGAACGAGGTGTGTCTGAACGGCAGCTGCACGCTAGAGCAGCGTGAAATTTAATACTCAGAACGCAGGTGGCTGAAACTGAGTGCTTTGCAGTGATGGTGGCCACGGAAGCCGAGATGGAAGCTGCCAACCTTACTTTAGCTGAACGGGACTTCTGTGCTCATCTGCTAATCGACTGGAAGAAGTGCATGCGCTCCAACTTTCCCTGCTATTGGCGTTGCTACGACCAGAAGCACCACTACCACGAATGCGAAGCTCACGAGTAAGCTGTGTGAGATAGAACGACCAGGTTAAGTTTTTTAGGTTATTCAGTTAGTTATTAAATGCCTAACTCATTGCGTCGGTCAGTTTTTAGTGCTAACAAATGCTAAATGCATCTGCTGAATTCTGCTCTTAATGATCGCTTCCGTACTCGTATTTTTCATTGTTGGGGTCTTTGTGTTTGGCTTAAAGCTTAAGAAATTCTTTCAAGTTGTGAGGGATCATCGTATTGTGTCTTTTGTTAAATAATTACTGTATTAGAAATTTAAGCGAGTTATTGACTTTTTTGGGCGATGCTGCTGCTAAATACGCATAAGGTGCGGTACGCGCGGGAACAGGGACATGCAGTTACATTTTATCATAATTATTTAATATGTAACTTTTGCGTGATTTTTCAGTTCGACACTGCGCTACAAGGAGTACGAAAGGGAACGCCGTCTGAAACTTCGCTGGCTAGAAGTCCGAGGCCTCGACCCCAACGGTAATCCGCTTCCACAGAAAAAGGTTCACGCCTGATCGTCTTGGACTGTGGTTTTGCGTGTACATGGGAAATTTAGACCTGTTCGCCTTATTTGCATTTGAAGGGTCACTAGGGTAAAATACAGACTATAGAAATATACCAGTTTTGCGTTTTTGCGCAGTTTTGTGTGTGCTGTGAATACGTAGAAGCAACGGTTGGGACCGAACCAATGAAATGAAAACTTAGTACAGTACTTCTACTAGGGTAGAAATTTTGGCAATTAATGCGTAACATTGGGAGTTTCTGTGATTGAGCGTAAAACAGAAGCTTTGACCCTTGTCTTTCCGAATACGGTAACCGCGGACTGATAAAACAGCGCATCATTCATCCGCGGCGGCGTAGGAACCTGTCATAAACTAACCAAGGCAAGCAGTGCTTGCCAGGCACTAATTGTAAGCACTAACCGTGGTAAGCAGCGAGCACTACCTATCGGTAGTACTGTCTGCACAAACATTGGAAAACAACAATCCCACATCGCCCACGACATTGTCATTCCTTTATCCAAATGGCTTGATAGAAAAAACCGCATACCCTCGTGATTCACTTCCAACATTATCCAGATTCTCGATGTGCATCTTTTAGCAGCATACAAACATAAATAATTTAGCATGACCTATAAATTACTGCTTGCCTGCATTCACGGGCAAAAAAGCATTAAAACGGACAGCAGTACAATCATCCGCCGCTCATAAAACAATGAAAAAACACATATAAAAATGAAGGAAAGAGAACCAGAACGCATTCGTCTAGTCATGAAAGAGTCCCGCTTAACAGCAACACCTCCCCTGCCCCGCCGTCTACATACACGCGGTCAATCGTCCCAGGCATAAACAAATAAACTACAAAACGGCCCTGCCGGCATACAAAAAGGCTGGGCGGAGAAGAACGCCAATAATCAGCGTCGAGTGGTCATCATCGACTGGCGCTGTGGGCTATCGTCTTCTTCCGTCCCTTTCCCCCTTCATGCAGGTGGCTGTAGCCGTTAGTGGGGTAGATCCGATGGAGTTTCTCATCCGCCGGGAGTTTATCAAAAAAGCCATGCTCCATGGCAGCCCTGAGGGTGATCCGCCGTTCGGGATCATACTCCAGCATGCTCTCAATTAAATCGAATAGTTCCACGGTCTCCTCCTCAGTATCGCGCATATATTTCTACAAACAGAAATCCGCGGAATGTTTTAATATATTCTCTTGTGCTACAGATACTTCTCTCAAAAAAACTTATTCACACTTAACCAAATTTAAACTGTTTTGGAAAACGCCGTGAATATTTTGGAATTGTTTTGATTCCCGAAAGAGATGTTTTAGTCAACGCGCAAGCAGATTTCGGTCACCTTTAGAGGTTTACAATGTGTTTGGACATATTGTCCATTCTGTGAACGCTTGTCCCATTCCAATTTGCCATTGCGGAAATAGCTGGTCTTGGTTTTGCGGATTAGTCGTGAAGGCATAGGCCCTAATATCCTACAGACATTTTCAAAATGAGGCCCAGACTTTGAAAAACATTTGTGTGATATATACCTCTCCATCATGGCAAGATGTTCCGTATTGTCATGCGTCTGGAACAGCGTCACACCCGAGTACAACTCGAAGATTATACAACCGATGGACCATACATCACACGGCTGCGCCCATGATAACTCTGAAACAACATTCCGTTGTAATTTGTAATCCATGAAGTAATTCGCATCGGGATATCAGTCAATCCAAAGGGTCAGCAAAGACAAAATTAATACGAGTACTGCGGCTTACAATTAGTTCATACTAATTATCTCGTTCTATACTTCTATAAAAAAGAAACGAAAATATTGTTACAATTATTATCAACAAGTACGATGATAATAGTGCTGGTCTCTAATAATGGATAGATCTGGCGGTCATTGCGCATCGCCTCAAGTATTAAAAAAACTTGAAATTTAAAATAATAAATCAACAACTGCATTAAAATTAGATACCGTTCTTGAAATTTTAACATTAAATTTAAACAATTCAGATTCATTTGAACAGTTAAAGCATCAATAACACAAAAGCGACAACGTCAGTACGATCAGAAAGTTGTCCACAATATTATTCACCCACCCAATATCACTTCCGGTGCCCGGTAGTGCCGCGTCGTCACCGTTGTACTGTGGTGTTCATGGTCGAATGTAGCCGAGCCAAAGTCAATCAGCCGGATCTCCGCGCTCTTCATCACGCGGATCTGGGTGCCGGGTTTTAATTTAATGTTGCGGGCCTTCTCCTGAGCGTGCACTTTTGTGTAATCGTTAGTCAAGAATAACATGTTTTCCGGCTTCAAATCCGTATGCGTAAGATTATTATCGTGAAGATATTTGACTGAGAAGACCAGTTGATAGGCGATGTGGCGCACCTGCGCCATCGGGTACGGATGGTAGCTGTTTTCTTTGAGGAAATCGTACACACTCTTGCCTAGCATCTCAAAAAGGATGCAAATGTGTCCATGGTAGTTGAAATGATCCACCATTTTAACGCAGAGAAAGCGGCCCTCCGGGTCCTTGCTGTTCAGTTGGCTTAACACGTTAATCTCCAGCTGGGCCGCGTGCCGGTACTTCTCCACGTTGCGGATGATCTTCAGGGCGCCCGGCGGGTGTTTGGGACGTTTCAGATCGATTACGCTCACCTACAAAAAACAAAATTCCACTTAGTAAACTCATGTGGTTATTTGCTTCTGTTCTGGACAAACTGCCACTGGCCAAGTGCGCCATCACTCTACGCCTGTCTCTAATATCCAGAACTTTTATCTTCGAGGAATGCAAGATTGCAAGTAAATACAGTAATAATACCAGTGCACCGTAATATCACACAGTTTATGTGTACCTGTAACCTTATTTGATAAATTTGTCAACACAACATATACTATATAAATAGATAAGTACATACCCGACATGAAAACATAAATACTCGTATAAAATTAACAAAATACCGTATTGAGTGCAGCAATAAACTGCACGTATCTTATGACCTAGCATTGCCCTCTAAGAATTCTGCATTCAAGCTTTTTCCACTCACCACGCGTCCGAATGTTCCCTCGCCGAGGGTTTTCAGAATCCGATAGCGATGCTTTATCACATCTTCATTCTCGTACACGAGATGGCCGTCCTTATCGTTGACCACCCGATCCGGGCTTAGGAAGCGCAGCTCCGGCGACGGACTGCGGGATTTCTTGCGACTGGTTGTATCGCGGTCGCGCCGATTGCTGCGACTGCGCAACTGTATATCCCGGCTCGGCGAATGATGCCGATGCCGGCCGCGACTGCGGGTATTATAACGGGAGCGGGACGGCTCACGCACCGCCACCCCATGGGTCAGACGGGGTTTCTTGGACCGCGGCGCTTTCACCACACTGGGACTACGAGATCGGGTTAAGGAGCGCTCATCGTCGCTGGACGGCGACGGAATGGGCCGCTTGCGGGCGGCGGTATTGCGCGGCATCCTGTTTTCAGTGGCGGCTAGTGCGGGGGGCAGGGAGGACGCCTCCAGGGATTGCGAGAGATAGGAAGTGAGGCCTGAAAGGGAACACGACACGTTACCCACCAGACGCAGCAGGAACTTGTCCATATCTGGATGATGCGCATGCTAACGTCACCATCGAGCAGCGGTAGAAAAAATCACCAACAATCATCAAAAAGAACAAATGCAATAAATACAACAGTACGCACAACACCAACAATTCGCAATGGTTCGATTTAGAGCGCGACAGAATGAGTTCTGCACGCAAGAATAGTTAGTGTTATAGCGAATTTCGCTGAATGCAAAGTGAAAGTTGAAAAGCTAAAAATGGTCCTCCATGGAAACCTCGCGAACCTTTGAGGTTCGTTTTCGAGGTCGCAGAGAATTTTGGAGGAAATAACACGTACTGATAACAATTTCTTCACTCAAGGCCAAAAATAAATTGCTGCAGACTGCCAGCAGTCAGCACAAACGAATGCCATTCGAATACATTTTAATAAAGTCAGACTATAGATATACTTACAGGTTGAGAGTACATACCGTACAGTAATACCGACAGAAGTCAATACACTCGAAACTAGGGCATGAGGCAGACGCCCATTCACTGCACAAACCACAATCTTTTTTACATAAATATGTAACGTGGAAATTTTTATTTTAATAATTTAATTTAGAGTTATTGCACTACCCGTAGAGCGTCTTCTAAAATTTGATTAAGTAACTATGTCATTTTTGAGAGAAGGATCATCTGTGCCACCTAACGAAAACGCTGAACAACCTGAACCATAATGTCCTTAAAGCAAGTATCACTTACTTTGATTTTTTTTATATTATATAAATATTATATAAATATAGATATTATATAAAATAAATATTTTATATTATATAAATTTTATAATTTATATATGACGTAAATCACACTATCACATTAATAAACCCAGATATCTACTGAAAACACTTATTGAACTACTGAATTGCTCACTGTTATGAAAATTAAAAAACTAAATACTTTAAACTAATGCAACATGAATCTAATGGTAAGTAAATCACGGTCCCCCGCTCACAGCAGTTTGATACTAGCGGAATACGAACCGGAAATTCAAACAGGTTGACAATTGTCACTGCTGGCTTTATGTCACTGAGTTGGGGTGGAACGTTAAACTCAGAATTTTCGTATTATAATCTGAATGTTGCAATGGTACGCGTAGTTCAGGAATATATAGTGCATAACTAAATAGCTGAATATAGATAATAATTAGATATTAATTACTAAATTTTCAGTCACAATTCCGCTAAATCTACCCTAATACAAGTCCTTGTTCAATGGATTCGTTTCGTTGTTACTTGTCAGTACTGTACTGTGATGGTAACTGTAAGTTGTAACCGGTACACTTTTCTCAACTTCCGGTTGGTGCCCACTTGCAGAACGGGTGGCAGTTGCAGTACTTTGCTCACCATTAGAAAAGTAACCCCCGTCTTCGAGGGAAGCTACGACAACGCGAGGACGTTGCCGTCGTTGCTTAAAATGCCAAACGGAAAATGATAAGTAACGAATCATTAAAGAATTTACTGTTTGCATTGCATTCACAATTTCAGAACATCGAAAAATTTTCAATGAGCTTCACTGAAATTAAAAGGATAACAGTTATGATTTCGGTGCAGTGGAACCGATTATAATACAAGCCCAGACCAGATTTATCGCAGTGCCTAACTGTGAGTTTTTCGTTCACGTTCCAACGGTGAGATCAGTAGGTTTTTGTATTATTAAAACTCCTTACATAAATAATAAATTTCAGGCAATATTTTTTAGTGACAGATTGAGACTCCAACCCAGAAAAGACACAACTTTATTAGATTCATCATTCTTCCCATTCTAGCCGATCACCCATGCACCAGCTCACCTTAATACAAACCAGAGTTTTAACTTTTGTCGCACAGAAACGGTAAATTGTATGATAAAAACCACGACTTTCAATCATTAAAACAAACTATCCGACTACCAATACACACGCTGCTCCGACAGTAGATATTAATATTGTAAAATGCTAAAAAATACGCTCAATTATGCGATCGCCTTTTCAGCTTTCTGCGGACAGAAACGGTTACAATTACCTTAATAAAATTCTCAAAAAGGATTAATCATGAAGAAAGACGCAGAACTGCGGCCGTATCCGTGGCTAGATCCACTTGGCGACCGCTCTCTTCCATCTGGAATCCCATTCCATAGTGGTTAATCCGAACAAACGACGGCCGCTTTAAAATACTCAAATTTACGAAATGACCTTGAACAATCCGGAGACAAAAAATTCTGTCTGGTGTATACGTTTCACAGGAATTTGAATTCAAGAAACAGATCTGCAGTTCGCGTTTGTCCGACTGCGCAGCAGCCAGCAGCATCCAAGCGGCCAGGTGGCGCTGCTGTGCAGTGATCGCTATCGCCGGTTTGAAGGCAAAGCGGATGCGTCATCCTCTGCCGGTAACGGGTCTGACATCCTGAGGGGTGACTTCGCTGCCCTTCTGTTAATCCTGCCCACTGCCCGGTGAATGGCGCAGATTGATCCCCAGAATACAGAATTCGCACTTACAGAATTCTGTACGTGCGAATTTTTTTAAGTTCTTCAAATTTTTTTTCTTTCTTGGCGTGTATTGACTGTTGTACATCACGGACGTAAGGTAATTTTAATAATTTAACAAAAACTTTAATGAGAAATCCAGCTGACATGGAATTAATTTTACAAGAAAACTTTGAAGTCTTGAACAAATGATTTAAATTTTAAACACCAGAACTGGTCTACAGCTGCGCTAGCAAAGCACAACTGGTACCAGAGATTATAGTGTGGTGCTGTACCTTCCTTCAAAGTATGTACTTATAGATATCTATATAATATATTATAATTTTGATTTTTGAGTACGGGTTCTTTATTTATACTATAGTATTATTAAACTGTTTGTACTAAAAGAAACAGGGTGTTCAACTTCGTGTTTGCGCACTTTCTTTGATGTCTGTAATCTGTAAATCGTTCAATACTCCTGATTAACGTAAGCAGATCTGTAGATGTGAAGAAAACAATCAGATTTCAGAAACTCTGAGAATCCCTAACAAGTTTTGAGAAACATTTGTAAAACGTCACATATAGTACTTGAAGTATGCAAAGTTGCTAACTGTACAGTGTACGCAACGTTAAAACTTGTGAACGGAATGTAGTGGCTGCCACCTGGCACAGGGTCTCTGCTTTTAAGACTTTCGTACTGATTTAATTTAAACGAGGTTTTATATATCTATATATATATACGATTTACAATTAGTAGTACACAGATCAAATCAAACATAAAAAGGATAAAACGAATGTAGGCAAAATCAAAAACAGTCAAATCACAGTCTACTTCGCATTTTGTAAGTACTGCAGACTGCAGAGTAAGTTGCAGAAAGGAATAAAACACACTGCAATTTCAAAAATCACCTAAAACTCCGTCGATCAAGGACGAGTACCAGTGTGGTTGTGGTCAGGCAGGCTCTTTCTTTATTTGACCAGTAACCACCCGCTAATGTAAACTTGCCACCGTTCCGCAAACTTGTTAGAATACAGTCGGTACAAAAGACACCGTTTGAAGTTGTCGAAAACACATCGACTGTGCAAAATTACTCAAATAAACATCAAAACTCTTAAAACACTGAATCATCTACTTCCGCTCGGCATACGCAGTTATCTCATAAAAGGCCTGCATGCTGCTGCCTTCCGCCCTGGGAAATCGTTCGTAGCCGCCGACATGGAATGAAGTAGCATCCACAGATAAAAACACAAGCCTTTGGTACACACAGCGACTGATTTTGTTTTTTGAGGTAAGACTGCAACCGTGGTTCAGGGAAGACGTTTATCATCGTCATCCAGTAGGATTGTCTTCTCGCCGTGCACCGGCAACTTCGCTACTGGCCGCACCGTCCCATTGGGGCTAATGGTGTTAGCCGTGACCGGCGGGGCTGGCACCGGTGGTGGGTTCTGTTGATAGCCGGCGGTGGCGTCAGGAGCGGTTTCGCTGTAGAACTGTTGTCGAGGCATCTCTTCGAACTTCGTCACGGTGTTGGCTGGTTCGTGCTGGTACTGAACATACTGCTGATACTGCGGGCTGCAACGATGAAGAAACGTCAGCAATACAAACTAATGTATATTTCTTCTAATCAGAACCTTGTCGGCAAAATTTCAAGCGCTACAAATAACAACTTTTTACGTGTTGAAATGTGGTTCGTATTCGTAATACTGATGGACATAATCATGTCGCTGGCTGTAATATATATTATCGTTGTGTATCTTATTAAAAATAAATTTCATTCCAAACCAAGAAACTCAAAGAAATAAGCACAAATTGTAGAACTATAAACTACGAAGAAACTGGAAACTGGACCAACAAAACCCCAATAAAAACAACAACAAGCACACCTCCAGGAAAAAAAAGAAGCACCACAAAAGCTAAATTCGAGACACAGCGTGGTGTACTTGTACCTGAAATTATGTACAGCATCCCGCATAATATCCCGTGGATTCATTGTCTCCTTCAGACTACTGGAGATGCTGTGCAGTCCAATGGCCCGACCACCGCTTGCACTCTAAAGTACGGCACGAATGTTAATTCAGTTACCAAGCCGAAGAAAGGAAAGCCAGTTCGAGTGATTTACTTTACACACCTGAGTATAGATATCATAAGGGAATGCGAACCACAGCGCAATGGAGGCAAATAACATTTCAATGCAGATGAGGAAGTTTTGGTATCCGGCCGACACCGTACCCGGACCGACATGGTTGTTGCCCTGACCGAAACCGCTGATCACTTCCGCCTTCTCCAGTATGGCCAACACTACCCCTGCACCCGAACACACATCGCACCACTGACAAGAAAAAGGCAAACACAGCAACGTACCTTGCCAGAAAGACAGGAAAATCACCGACTTCACCGTGACGAATTTGGCCAGTGGTTTGTAGGGCCGGAGTAGGTCATGGGTGGCGGAATAGAAGAGGAACAAACCGTACAGCGCCAATGTGATGGAGAAGTTGTAGATTATCGTAATATAGAGGTAACCGCGGGTCGGACTGAAAAACAAACAAACATTAGTTTTCATCTAACGAATGCCGGAGAACAGTTATTAGAATGCCGGAGAACAGTTATTAAAAGTTAAACTAATCCCAAATTCGGGATACGAATATTCTGCAAACAGTGTGCGAACAAAATGTAAACGTATTCTTGGCTTTTTTATCGTGAGCTCATTTAACTGTTACGTATACAAACGTCCATGCAAGATTCTCACTATGAATGTACGACTTTCAGACCAAAATGAACAATAACTACTAACAGGCAGTCAACAATTATGAACAAATAGGACTACATTCTAATAAACGAACTTACAAAGCATTAGTGCTGCGGTACTACAATCTGCGTTATGTAATTACGATGTACACCAAAAATAACCAAATGTACATCAACTTTGAATTTTTATGGTTCCTATTTTATGTTACATATCATATTTTATTTCTGCATTGTTTGCATCACCTCCAGTCGCCATCGGAATATTTTCCAAATCCCTGTAGTATCAGCGTGACAATGGCCATCACCGGCTTGACGAAACAGAACTGAATAGTGGCCTAATCAAACAAATTACCCGATCTGAACAACTGCTTCATGTCGACAAGCCATTAGGATACAAGTAAAGTACAAAACCACGTCGATTACTCCATGAATGTAAACAGTTTAAGCACAACGGATCCAGTATACCATACCTGTTTGCAGAAACGCAGAAAGCCAATGGTGTAGCTCTGGTTTTTCAAACAGCAAGTGCCCCCCAGCCAACTTGACCTAGCAAAGGACAAGCGTGTTCAAGCGACATGTGATCAGCATGAAACAACAACCACGACCGTCAACGAATGTCGCTTTCACGCTTTGTATCGTACTTGATCGGCTTTCCGCGGATTTCGGCCATGATATTACTCTCGCCGCCGATGTATTCGTAGCACAGACACAAGAAGTTGTATATTACAAATGCTGCAAAACCAAATTCACGTGTCACCTCCGTTGTTCGTACAATGAACATAAAAAAATAGTAAAATAACGATACTTCCATGCATTCAACGCTATATTTCCCTCTCGAAAAAAGATTTCGCGGTTATTAAAACGTATTAGGTTGTGATTATCGCTTAGCTGCGTAGGACGCAGGCTTTTCCTTTTACCTTCGTAGCAATCCCGGACCGCATTAAAATAGACATAATATCCTTCTTTATCGATAAACAGTAAACTTATCCATGAATCAAACGCATAAATGGGCACGATAAAAAGTATTCGTATTATCCATCGCTGATGATTAGGATTATTGTAGAATCTGAGATGCTTGTAGATCTGAAACAAGAACATAACTAACGCTGTGAAAAGTCACTAGGATCCTACGAGTATCTTGTCTCACCATAAAAAGACAACGAACACAAGAACAAGACTATGCGATTATTACTATCAAAAAGCCAATACCGCAATCAATCCTTAATATTAGGAACATTCACCAGCGTTACTGTGCAGTTCAGTGACGCAAGACCAGTTTGAATTTAAAACATCGAAGAGTACGTTGCTGTTACAGCACACTCTCAGAAGCATTTGTCCAATAAAAACGCACTTATTTAACATGTTCTGGCGCTGTCACACGCGACATTTTCTTCATAAACAAAAGGAGACACCTCATTCTGGCGGGGTGCTGCTATGGTAAGCTCAAAATAGAGTAATTCCCCCACCAATTTTGATAGTACAGTATGCCAATTTACGGCATAATTAATGATTCATCCTGCAACTTAACTTACAACAATATCACCCGAACTTCACCTGAAAGCAAGTGATGATAAGAGCCGCAAAGGTGCATGCTCCGGTGATGCCGCGTGCACTGATGCCGGTTAGGAAGTGATAATGGTGACTAGCAGCTGCCTGTTCGGCCGTGGTGGAGTTCTGGATGAGCCCCGATGCATCCGTGAAGGCTGTTGGGTCAATCGTGGTGGTGATGGTGGTTGCCGGCGCCACCGTCCCGGCCGTTTGCTGCTGCGCCACACTGGCTGTGAGCAGGTCCGTCACGGTGTTGACTAGCGACTGCAGCGTCGAGGTCTCCGACATGGTCACTCGTCACTCTAAAATCCAAAAACTTTAATAACCACTGCACTCGCGGCATAGCACTCAAATAAAGAGAAGAGGATAAACATAAAACACCTTTTTTGGACCGAAAAAATGAATACCGCAAATCAGAAAACAAAGCATGAAATCACAAACGGCAAAACCACACTTACAACTTACTAGTACTGTAGTACACTACAAAACTATTCTGGCTAAAATTTTTCAGGCCGGAATAACAGGTATAATGTCACATAAAATAAACAACGCATTCCATTAACATTCACATGTTTGAATTCCAAAAATAATCGACATGGTGACTGACATCACTAAGTCCGGGTCGTTTTGCATGTTGTCCTTCTACCGGAAAAATGTGTTCAATGCATTCAAAATTAAACGGACTCCAGCCGAAACAATAACAAATTTAATTGCTAGTGATAATTATCAAAATGTCATTTTTCTTCTCATGGGTTGCTGGTAAAACACAATGCAACTGTGATATTCTGATTAAAACTCGCCGAAGCTTACGACGCTGCGCACTTGAATTTATTTTAATGAGCATTCAGATTTTCAAAACTAATAAATCTTTCCTAGCTGCGTCACATGGTTTACACGAAACGGGTTAAATCCCTGCCAGTTGGGTATGCCCTATGCGGATGTCCCGCCTTGTAAAAAAGGGAAGGAGCGACAAAGCGATAAACGCGATTAGTGGTAATATGGCGCCGATCAATAAGGCCGTCTCATTCCGCAAACTACATCTAACGTCACATGCGCATATATACTCTCCTAGCTTGCCACTCAAGGATCTCGCTAACGACCTCGGGAGCCTATCTTCATATGAGATCTACCACCATAAGCTACCACATACATATACAGCTAAAATCACCACACTTATTTTTATTGATTACCACAATATAAATGTGTACACTGTAAGTCTGTAACTAGAAAAAATCTGAATTTTTTAAAAAACATAATACATACAAGGACAATGTACCAATAATAATTTTCAAAGTTTAGGTGTCTTTACGAATTTACCAAATAGCAAAACAAATAACTATTATACAATTAATATATTCGTTCTTGCACCATCATAAGAGTTGGCTACCTGTAACCGTGCAGTCCAAATAAAAATTGATATCGGCTTATCCAAGCAGTAATCCGGAATAAATGTTTCGCATCAGAGATCCCAGCTGAAAAATCCAACAACTTCTGTCGATGTTAATCAACGTCAAATCAGGTGCAGGTGGCACGATCGATCGATGTCCGATGATATCCACAAATTCACGAATTATGATTCAGTGGCTTGCTAGTTCAGCTTATACAGGTATCAAACATGGCGCAGATTGTGAAAATACAGATAAACCCAATATAATATCCATTGATAACGCATTCAGCAGCCCTGAACTTTGAGATCTGTCCAGCGGAATGTGCGCAGTGCGACCACGTCGAAGCATTAGCCAACAAATGACGTTTTTGAAAACCGTGGCCTCTGCGTCATCCCTGTTTCCTTGTTACACCATAAAGCTAACAGTTTCTCACCCAAATGCAGAAATACCGCACGTAGCACACATCCGTGTGGTTTCGATAGTAAAAAGGATAAAATAAAGCAGCAAATGCTTCGACGGAATGGAAGAACACACAAAGCATAGCATATGTTGGCGTCGACTCCACTGCTACAATCCGTGCTACAGTACTCAGAGTACTGTACTCTGTAGAAGTCACGAATCGTTGTCATTTTTGGCTGGATCTCCTTTTCTGTCGTGGTGTACCGAGACGAGCTCTGCAATTAGTGTCAATTGTTTTCCAAAGGGGACAGCCTAGTTTTTAATTGGAAAACCACCATTTTTTTATTTGAATTAATTGTTTATGACGTATAGAACTCCATAGGGCACTGTGCGCTAACGAAAAGTTGATAAAAGACAGAATTAAGTTAATCTACGTAAAGTTTTAACAGCGAGCGGAAGCAGCATCTTGGCGTGCGGCCAAGAACATCGGAAGTGCGACTTGCCCTGAGTAACTTTAAGTACTTCTGGGCGGACCGTATGCGACACGATATCGAGTCGTCAATCCCTGGGGCCTGAATCGTGCTTTCTGCTCACGTTCAACTGGCTCAAAAGTCAATCATTTCAAAAGTACCCGTATTTTTTGTGATTCAGTTAAGTGGTGCCAAATTATCACGAACCCCCTTAGCTTTCCTAAATCCAACCTGTTAGTCTGGGCCTGTCTGGCCGTTCTCATATATCCATCAGTTAATAAGAGTCCTATCGATTGAATCTGCACTGAACGGGATAACTGATAACAGGTTATGTGTGCTAAGAGCGTCTACAAACGGACACAAAAGGCAGAGTGTTACTGAAACGGATTCCATTTGCAGATTTGCTTTCTTTGAAAATTTTGAGAAGCGCAGGAATCCGCATCGTATTTCATCCGTGTCCTTCATTTCCTTTGCCCAGGTAGACATTGTACAGCGACTGTCGAAAGCATGCACATGTGAAATGTAAATTTTGTGATGGTTGGATGGTGAGAGTGAGACCATTCCATTTCCTTGTTGAGCAAGCATGATCCCAAAGCATGAAAAATTAATTCTTCTGGCTTTTTTATAGCAGCTGCAGATTTCAGAGATCTGCTGGTTCGAATTGATTTGAGTAATTTTTCACTCTATTGATTTGCCAGTTTGTACGAGTACAACCGTAGTGAATTGTTCATTATTGGCTTGCTGTTGTTAGTGGGAGATTTCGTGATGGCCCAGAAAATGCAGGCCCCGGAGGAGCCGTCGGTGCTGGCCCATGTTGGCGTTTCTCCCGTGCGCGCTGAAGGCGATGGTGATCAGTCGGTGGATGGCAATACTCCGGTCGTGAATCCGGCCGAATTCCTGAGCATCGTACGTCACAGTCAGTTCATTCCAGGATCTGTTCGTTTTCTTCCTTTTCTTCCTAGCTTAGTTTTTTAGTTTTTACCCAATTTTTCTGAAATATGACATTGCATTTTGCGGTGCAGACTACTTGCATTAAACCAATGGTTTAACGCAAATATTCTGCACTGCAAAATGCAATGTAAACATCAACATCTAATTAACATCCGACTTATATCATCCTTAATGATACGGCCGTTTTTATGTCAGCGTACAGAACTTTATGGTTTAACTTATGAGCAATGCAACGGAATTTCGCTGAAAATCTGGGCTTATCGAAAATCGCACAAGTCTTCCCTGGATGATTTAAAATTCTGGTTGTCGGAGCAGTGCCGATAGTGAACAAATATTTCTAGGTGAACTGATTACTTCGCAAATTTTCGCGGGTTAGCAGTTAACACGCAAAACATGAGTCCACCTGGATAAATTTTTTTTTCTTGTTTTAATCGTCCGCTAATATCGCAACTGACATCGGCTTCGTTAATGAGACTTCCATCCAATAGTACTTTAGCACTTCTAGCGTTTTGGAATTAGGCACTTCAAGTTTTCATACCAGTTTCACTTCTTTGTCAGTTCCGTCTTCGTTCCCAATTTAATTACACTGTCTTGTTAGTTGTTATCCTTGACCGTTTTGTTTGTAGCTGCAAACAACCTTCCAGCAGATGCAAGATCGTTTTACGCAAATGATGGACACTGTTATGGACCGAAGTATGTCTCCACGCTTCACCATTTTAAAATAGCTGATTGAAATACATATGTCGTATTTTCAAGCTAGCCACTTCTGATAATTTAAAATTTTCTCCAAATGCAAACTTATTTAAGAAATGGCTTGTGGCATGTTTATGGTATTTTTTGTTAAGTAAGTGATACTAATAGCTTGTTCCATCAGAAAATACAGTACCACGAAGCACGTTAATCGATCTGAAAAATTGTAATACGTATTCAAAATGAAATGCAAGGAAGGTGTTCATAGTGAAGTTAGTTCAGTCCGTAGTATTTTCCTCGTAGAACGTTCAACAAGCATAGTGAAGGTGGTGCGGTATTGCCGTATTGGCTTGTTAGCAGTTGCGGTAGTTAATAATTGGAGAAATTGTTTTCCTCATTTGTTTAAGTTTTTTTTCTTACTATAGTGGATGAGATGTCGGATCGTCTGAATGATCTGGAGAAGGAGGTGACGGACCTGGTTAATTATGCCGGTGGAATCGGCGAGCAGCAGACCAGCAAGGACACCGAGAATATTCCTCCAGACTCTGGATCGCAGCAGTAAAATATACTTAACGTGTAAATTACTGTAGACGCGTGCCACTGATGCGAGCGCTATCTGTCCAAATGTGTTTTGAGTCGGTTCCTGGTAAAGTTTTGAGTTGTGTCGTTGCATGTGGATTCGTCAACGAAACTATCAAAGATGACATATGTGTACAGCCAGTGTTATTACTTAATCCTCTTTCATTTCCTTAGTTTGATCTGCATTTCTGCACTATTGTACGGTGTCTGCTTGAAAATTAAGAGGGAAAGTTTTTGTCCTTCCACGAAATTTCGAATCATTCACAGTGTATTCTTCGTCCTTTTTACGTTAGAAGTCTTGTAGTAAAGTATTTTTTAGAAAGCGGTGTTTCAGTGTCCAGTGAATCAGTGATATATTGTGCTATTTTGGTGGAATGAACGAAATGACGAGTAAGGAATAGTGCGAACAGGAGTGAATGTTAAGTGCTTGTGCGTTTAAGTCATTGCTGGATGGACTAAGTCACTAACAGTATCGGCAGTTGTCGAGTACTTGTACTGTAACTCTGCAAGTACAAGTAGTTACTTATGCCTTCGAAGCTTATAAAACTTCAAAATTTTGTAATACATAATTATTATTTATCATCAAGATCGCAAAAGAGTGTCGTGTCGTGTTTTCGTCCTGGGTCGAAACTCGAAAGCGCCGATAATGCACATTGCACAAGCGCCGCCTGTCGTGCTTTGGAGTGTCCAACAGTTTACGCTCTCCCTCTCGGGACTGCATTACCATTACCGTTGTTTAGTTGCCGTATGTGCTTCTGTTGTCTATTCAGCTGTCACTTTTGACAACCGCACTTCGAAATTTAAAGCTCGTTTTGATTTTGATTACGGCATTTTGGATTTAATGATTTTTGTTTTGAATATGTATCTTGATTATCCATTTTTGACTCATGTTCGAACACTTAAGGTAAACCGTTTTTCATGCTGTGTCTCCTGCAATTAAACTGGATTTTGTAAGTGATAATGGACAACGGCCACGGCAACCATGCAACGTCGACTCCGCGAACTCTGCGGAACGTCACCAATAAATCGAGCCAGATGAAACTGACGGATTTCTCCTGTGTGAATTATGTTCCCAATTTGAGAAAGATGGTAGGAGACAGTGTGTCTGCGGGGGATTTTAGAGTGATGCCGCAGTCAGCTGGGAAGAAACGCCAGAAGATGGAACAGTCGACGAACTCCGCACAGAAACGTTATTACCAGCCAGTTATTGTACGCCGTTTCATTGACCGATATTCCTAAAGTATCAACGAGAAAAAGATTTACAGTTAGTTACTGAATATTCATAATATCATACACAGTAGTTCGTTTATAATTTACACTACACATAGATTAGATATACCTCTTATAATAAGAAATTCGAAATACGAATTCGAAATTCGAAATACAGCTGGTAATGATTTATTCTGCAAAACTTTTAATAAATTCGATTATTGCATCAATTTTCCGGCCAACAATGCGCAGTTTTTGGCCAATAAGAGTCTTATTGGCCAAAAACTGCGCATTGTTGGCCGGAAAATTGATGCAATAATCGAATTTATTAAAAGTTTTGCAGAATAAATCATTACCAGCTGTATTTCGAATATTGGAATTCATCGCTCAAAGAAAGGATGTAAACTAATCACTCAGAAATGAAAGTAAGCTGTTATCTCACAATCTATAACTTTAAAATTATTATAGGATGCGAATCAGCGAGAAATTGGGGCGCGATTGTGTAAAATGTGTGGATTTGTTGGGGATCTGGACGATGAGGAAGACCGGCGCATCCACGACATCCAGCATGGACGAGTGCAGAATGGGCGCATTGATGGGGATCAGGCGTTGAAATACACAGTGCGTTGCGAATTTGCGATGATTATTCAGATATACAGACAACGTCAGCGGACTGCCGATTGCAGCACCATGCAAATGTTGTCTTACCGATAGGAATTTAAAAATGAAGTCCTCTTACGCTGTGGCATGTACGGATACAAGGTTGTCCTCATTAAGACATCAAGCGGTAATTCTCTCGTTAACAAGGTAAATAACTCCGGCTTTTATGGTGGAGCGCCCAAGTTATTTTTGAGTATTCAGTTCTAAAGTAAGTTTATTAATAATACCGTTGAGAAACGTTCATACTCGTAAATGAATTAGTTAACAGAAGTACTGCGTGTATGCGCATTACGGTTTTGTGAAGGCATGCAGTGCTAATGATGTTTTGTAGTTTGAGTCTCGGTTGGCGGAAGGAGAGAACAGTGTGATGTTCACCGCTAATACAGCTTTTATTTGAACTCGGACATGCATCCTAAAATAATTGTTTTAAGCTTAAGGTTTCCGTAGTATTTGGGTGTCCAGTAATCGACCTTAAAAAGGGTTCTAAACATTAGAAGTGCTTTAAGAAGCATGAGTTTAACCGTACACAACCAAAATCAGAATTTCCTGTGCACGCAGTAATAATGCAATAAAAATAGGAGGCAGCGCATAAATTTAATAGCTTATTTATTTAATTTTATTGCTTATGAACAAAAATTTAAACACATCTTTCCAGGCCCGATCGGTGGTTCGCTTAGTGTCGCTGACGATGGACGGCATCCTGGTGGAGCGTCTGGAAGACAAGCGCGACATGGTCGTGCTGTTGGTTGATGTGCGGCGCCGATTTGTTGTCGGCTGCGTGTGTGCGGACGTTGTTGCCGCTGACCCAGAGCGTTGTTCTTCTTTTAGTCCAGAGCGTAAGCCATTCGCCATTTATGATGGTTTAGAACTTTTCCTGTCGCTTAGTTTTGTAACTGGTACTAACTACAGTATGGGAGTATTCCGGTTTATTGTTATCCCTTTTTTGAGTGCCTAAAGAAAAATAAAACTAATCCGGTTATGCTTCGAAGTCCGAACAACCCGTCGCAGTCGGTGTAAACATTCGTAAAAGTTGTGGCACTACTTCGGAACATTGCAGGAGTGTTTTTTCAGCAGCTGACCGGGAGCGTATATTATGCGGAGTGGATTTGATCTGGATAGACGCACAGCACCGGCGGAAAGGTTTAGCCAGCCTGCTGCTCGACGCTCTGTGGGATCATTTCGCCGACACTCATCTGGGCGTGGGAGCGTCCTCCGCGCTTACCACTGACCTTAAGAAGTCCCACCTGGCCTTCTCCGAGCCGACGGAGAATGGGCGGCGGTTTATTGTGGCGTTTATCGGAGCAGAGGATTTTCTTTTGTGTAATCCGCGTAAAAGAAGGCATTTGGAGTGATCTGTCGGTGAGAATAACTAACTTAAATAAGGAATTTGTTGAAGCTCTTTTGGATCTCTGTAGCTTTGTACCTGCTTTACTGGTTTTGTTGTTGTTGTTTATCTATTCAGGCGAGTGGTGTTATGTGAATCTTTGCATAAATATTTTTGAATGTGCGCTTGTATTGTACAAGTACCTTCATATAACAAAGTATACAATATTAAAAAAGTATTCAAGGGATTTTGTATTGCTGTTCGACGTCAGATTAGGATCGTTTTTAGTCATAATTTTTGTTGTCTCATCCATATTATCGAAACTACCGTTAAATAATTCGAGTACAAAATTAATTAAATTGCACTTTTCGTGCTTTTTATAAAGAAAAGATGTTTACAGTTTTCCCCTTCTTTGCCTTTAACGGCATTGCTATTATTATACTTCTCCATTTGTGAATGGTTTGGTGTAAATTTATTGGGTGCAGTAAATAAAATTATAAATGTACCCTTCGTCTGGTAATGCGCAAAATCAGAATAATTTAATTTAGCTGGAGTACTCAGTTCATTCGTGAAAAGAAAATTTTTTATTAAATACAACTCAGAAATCGAGATCCTTGAGGATGGCGTGCATCTGGCGGGCGCTGCTCTGTAGTTGCTCGCGTTCGCCAGGACTCAGCGGCTGATTGACGACGGCATTGACGCCGTTCTCGGCCAAAACGCAGGGCAGACTAAGGAAGACGTCCTCGATAATGCCATGAAAGCCCTTGGCGAAAGTGGACAGGGCGTAGACGCTGCGCTTGTTCTTCAGGACGGCGCTGGCCAGCTCCGACACGCACATGCCGATGGCCCACGATGTGTAGCCTTTAAGCCGCACGATCTCATCGGAACTGTCACAACCAATTCAGAAATGACATTTATTATTTGTTTGCTTTATAATCTGTAATAAGTATATGCCTTCTTAGTCAACTTCGCAGAACTGTTAATTTTCCATTAAGTGTGTGAGACACATATACGCGAGAGTCCGTGAAAGAATAATATGAAAGAATCATCTTCTCTTGATCATATGGTCTGACCGGACATCTAACTCGAAATTATAAATCAAAACAAAATCATTATGTGTAGTGCATGAAGCAAGCAAACACAATTTGTTGTGCATAATTATAATTATGTTATATCATAATTCATACCCACCGGTCTACTCCTGCGTCCTTCAGGGGCGACCTAATATGTATTACGTGGATGAATATTACGCACCTTTGCACCACTTTAGTATGAAGCTCCCTCCAATTCTCCGGATCATCGGCGCTCCCAGCGGCGGGACTGAGTTCAGCCAGACGCACACCGGCAACATTCACCCCACTCCACACCACCACTTTGGCCAAAACAAACACCAATATACTCTTACATAACCGGCATTCCCGTTATACAACGCTCCGGTGTTAAGTAATCTTAGACATTTACATTCTCTTTTGCTCCTCGCAATATTACTGCACGTACCACTGCGATCGCCGTGCTCCCCAATTACAAAGCCATGACAGTTGCCCACGTCAATTCCGAGTCTATCGCTCATGAAGTAACGGAAACGGCTGGAGTCTAATAACACAACGCAATGAAGGCATCCGCCGGATCTCTCTACTTGCCTCTGTTTGCTGTGTTGAATGCGAAAGAGACCAATTTTCTCGGGTAAATGGATATTGATAGGCCCACAATGCCGGTTGTACATATCGTATTATGTTCTGGTTGGATATAATGCAATGTAATGCCTACCGAGGGATGTGCCGGAACCGAAGACCCGGTGCGACGGCAGTCCGCTTAGCTTCCAGGCCACAAAGGTCATCAGATCCACCGGGTTAGAGACGACGCACAGAACGCAGTCCGGGCTGTAGCGGATCAAATGCGGGATGATGCCTGTGGAGATTCATAATTATAAATAAATTACAGTACCATAACTTCTTATTATAAAGAGATTATAAAGAGCTTAACATAAGACAAGAATCAATTTTCCGTATCTTCTATCAACTTTCTAAGATTTTTGTTGTAATTGCTGGGCATCGACATCGCTTTGGCGGTAATTATGCATGGAATTTCTCAAAGTGCTGTTACGGAATGCTTGTTTTCTTATATGCATTAAATGGTAAGACTAAAGGTTCTCTCATATCCATTAAATGACTAAAGGTTCTTTCATATGCATTAAATACAAAGTAGTAATACTAAATGTGATTGCCAGTTACGCCTGTGATATTTACAAAACTGACATGTACATACCATTTTTAAAATATTTTATTAGCTTTTCCTTACTTGCAAAAACCGGACAAAGATCGATTTAGTAGAATTAATGCAAAAGTAATACCGCGAAAATTAATTAGGCACTAAAAAATTATTATAGTCGAAATATTTATTGCTCACACTTCACAGCTATTGCTCGCACAAGATATTTGCAACACGTCTGATTGTGAAATAAAGTTACAATCTGCATACATGATAAGTCTATGCTGCAACCAGGGTACGATGCAATGTTTTCACAAGAATATCACTGACAATGAATTATTAATGACATGTTACACAATCGTTGTTTAATTTCCTGTTGTATCAGCTGTACACCGCCACTGGAAAAAATTAATCCGGCTTTCGGGCTGTCGCATCTGTCGCGGCACTTGGTAAAGATGATTACATATTGCTATACCTATTCAAGATTAGTTATTTCACCGTGCAAAATAATTGCAGCAATTGCAGAATCATCAGCAATCATGTCAAATTTTGTTTTAAAAAATTAAGCTGATTAATTATCCAGCTAGTGTAAAATACGCGACATTATACGGGAGCGAGGCGTCATAATTACGGGCAGATGGCGTATAAACTCAGGCGGTATATGTACAGCCGGTGACCTTTGAAAATGGCAATGTTCCGCTTGAGCAGCGACGATCGGTCTTCATCGGAGCGCTGGCGCGCTCCTGCCGTAATTATGCACAGTTTTGAATGCTTGGAGATGGCGTAATCGGTGCTGGCTGCGATCTTGACAAAGGGCACAAACTGTAGTCCATGCTGCAAAGGTGAAAACAACCAAAAGTTAACTGCAGCGCATGACATGAAAATACCGGCTGGTCTACTAACAGTCTGTCTACGCTGCTTGTTATATTATTAATCAAATTGCTTGTTCTTGCTATTCTACTGATATGTTTAAAACAGGGATTCGGACTACTGTTCTTTATGTTCCTTAAATTCACCTGTAAATCCATAAGCTCTCCTTTTAATTTCCGTTCGTCGATGTCGATCATGGCTAGTTCACCAATATTCTGCTGCATATAAGTACATCAACACCTTTATAATCCTGATTAATTCTGAAAAAACTTATTGTACAGAGCACCTACTCGTACTAGGTCGACACAACAAAAATTAATCTGCACTCACGCGATTGATCATACTGTACGCCACAGCCATGCCCACCTGCATACAATAAAACAATTTATTTATCTAAGTATTACAAAAGTAAATTAGATAAGGTCATAAGGGTATTCTGTAGTTAATTAATTCTATTGTACCCGTATTGGTGTTATTAATTGTGCCTGCAAACTAAGTACACAGCCGGTTACATCCGTACACGAGTAACACGATGTTCGATAAACCAAGGTTTTTGCAAGTGTTTGTAGCTTATTCCATCGTGTGTTAAAAACGGACAGTAAACAGGCCTAACGATTACTTTTGGAAAAGTCGAAGATACCGTACCCGTTTTTGTGATACTTTTAAAAGGTAAACTGGGTTACTGGGGGATCATATTGCATGTTATAATCCAGACATGGTTATAATCTAGACATATTTACGTATTATGTTTATTAAGTAAATTTTTAAACAAGTAAAGCAGTAAACATTTCTAAAATGATTTGCTTGCAGATTGGAAGAAACATGCAAGTTTCAAAATTCAAAATGGATTAGTACTCGGGTTCTGTTAATTCCATTTGAATGGTAAAACAATCCGTAAGTGATACCGGATAAACGCCGGTAAGCAAAAGAAAAATTTTGTGCATATTGCGGCAACGACGAGCAGTGAGATGTCAGTAGTCACATACCTGACCGACACCGACGATGGTCACTTTGGACAACGCATGGGTCGGTGGTGCATGAACATCTTTGAGGAGCCGCGAGCGAAGCGTCATTTCCTCCAGTTTCACAGAGGCAAAATTAGCCGATGGACTAGGCAATTTCGCCATGTTCTTATATGCACTGCGATAATTCACACTTTGCAGTCACTGATGCTCCGGACTTCCGGAAAAGAAAGCGAAGTCTCTGGGTACAAACGCTGAATAAACAGTAAAAATAAAACTGATAAAGATATCACGGTCGGCGTTTCATGTGGGGCAGTCCACAAACAAAAACGAGGATACGCTGCAGTAAACGAGGATACTCTGTAGGGAGTACAGATGCATCCAGCGGGAATGTGGATTTCCGCTGGATGCCGACAGATGAAAGAACCGGTATTTTGGTTACGCAATGATTTGCACTGGCGTACGTATTTGTTGTTCGTCGCCAACGTGCGCCATGTATGTTTTGTGTCGGCGGGGATTTTCGCCCCCTCTCCGCAATTACCTTGCACCATGATAATAACAACAAAAATTAACTTTATGTAAATCAGGAAGATGCGCCAGTGTAGCAGTTTCTCACAATAAACCAAATAGAGCCACTATGAAAAATGTTTCTTGAGAATTTCCATGCAATAATGGTTCATGATGCCGTACATAGCATAAACCGGAAGTTTATAGTTCATTCTAAATTGTGCGCTCATGTTCTTTATAAATTCTGTCAAGTTTGCAATATTTTGCAATTAAATCAAGCAAAATAAGTACTCATCTCTAAGTACTCATCTCTAATCTCAAATCACAATTCCTTTCAAATCAGTCTCTTGCTACTCATGCACAAGTCCAAAACCAATTAAAGCACAGTACTGCTCGTGCACAAAATACAAGCACTACAAATTCAGTGTAAAACATGCCGATGAGCAAAAACTATTTCATATCAAAATAATGTCAACGGAAAACGGCTCAGACATAATGAGTCAAGAAAAAACCGAAACGGCTCGTCAAGATGGGAAGATCCGATCAAATGTAACTAGAATGCCCCAGTGATCAGAAGGGAATTTCTGAGAACTGGGCGCTTTACGCAGTCCCACCAGGTTGAAATGCAGCGGCAACAATGCGCATCTGGTCTCGCTGGGCCGGAAATACAAGCGATCGAAGCGACAGATGATTTTTTTAACCGATCGACCGACTTTTTGCATGGCGTTGACGTTGCGCTGGGTGTCCCAGGTGTTCTCGCATTCCTTCCGCGACCCGGTCACCGTGTACAGATCTACGATGCGCGAAGGAATGCCGCCGATGGCTCGCAACTGCAAGATAACGCTTTGACCATGCTGTCAGTTACTTCGCGTTGTATTTACTTGGTGCACTCAAAAGGTACGCCCGCTGATTTTGCATGTTACTTCCGCTTTCGGCAACGTTTATGTTTAACTGATGTTTCCATCGCAGTATACCGAATGAACGTCGCTATGCCAAATTTATGCAGTTTTTTTGGTTAAAAAAAAAATTAAGGAGAATCGAAATTGGCATCATCTGAACCTCTCCTTTGAGTAATTGCTTCACTCGTGCGTACTACATATTGAATGTTACCAAATCGTCAAGTGGGGCCTAAATGTTGCAGATATTAATCACGGACAAAATCAAAAGGGAGAACCGCTTGATCATAATGGATCGCTTTCAAAAAGCGCCAACAAAACAGCAGTGTCCCGAATGCCCCTGAAATTTCCTTCAGGTTGAATGTAATTGGGGCCCACACCCCAGAGCATAAAAGCAATTTTTCCTGTTTCTCATCGCTAACACTATTCAAAAAGCGCTTAACTAAAGTAAGCAGCTGTTCATTATACCGTTTTTACTGACGCGCTTACTATTGTATATTTCTAACCATGTCATGGTAAGCCCGGTTTCGGTCCTACTTTTTAAGAATATCTGATAAATGCATGCTGATGTGCTAGCTTCTTTTTCCTTAAAATATCGGTACGCTTTGATAGATTTACTGAAGAGGGTTATTTCGTGAACTGCAGTTGTTATACGAAGTCGAAGAACTGCTGTAATCAGTACCTCAGAATCACGCAGATTGAGATCTCCGCCAAAAATTACCGTCCGCTCCACCGGCGCCTCGCGCATTCGGACAAAAGCGTCGGCCAACTGGTGCTTACGCTCCTCCGCCGCATCCTTTGTTGACTCCAAGTGCGAATTGATCAGACACAGGGGGATACCATCAAAGAGCGCCTATTAACAATCTTCTTCATTCTCTCCACTGACGGTAACTTTCAAGGATATCAGTATTTAGTAATTTACATTAACAATGAGGAGATTGCGACCCATGCGAGTGTTGGGAAAGGGCACAATGTTGTCGTCTTCCAGCTGCATCGTCTCGCGCGACAACAGAGTGGCGGTGAAGTATCCCTCTGATCCACCAGTGCGTAACAGGTAAGCAGTGCCCAGTTGGGATTGGAGTATTGCCAAGTTCGTATCGACGATTTCCTGTCATCGAAGCAATAAGACACCATATATCAATTCTAAAAATAATTATTTTTACATCACGTAAACGATTTACGCTTTTCAAAATCTCCGCAAGCGCATTTCATGCAACCAGTAATTTTACGGCTTCAATACCTGGAGGAATACCACGTCCGGTTTCTTCAACTGAATCTCACTTATCACACCGCAAGTGCGCGCCATCAAGCTTTCATCATCCAGTCCTGCCAAGCAAAACATTCATCATAGGGGCAACTTTAAAAACTAAAAACTGCATATCAAATTATGAAAAAATCCATATAATGATCCATATTAATTTTTCCAAATATGTTCATTCCTATTAATTCTATCGAAAACAGTTCCAGAAGAAGCATTATCGATTCAGCAGAAACTTTTGCATGTGCACTTTTGCATTTCAGATAAGTACTTGTTTTAATGAACCAATACATAATGTAAATGTAATAACACGGAATGTAATCTGGCAAATTTTATATGGATAATATCCTAATACTACAATATCAGCTTTTCTTCGCTTTTTAATTTTGGAACAGAATCTAAAAAAATACAAAACGAAGGCTGACGAAGCAACACTGAGAACAAAATGCTTTAAAAATGAGGCCAAATGGCAACTGATTCGCAAAAACATAAAAATCCATTACAACGTTTTGCTATACCATCAACATTCCATGACACAATGCGGAACACATCCGGACGCTCCTTGCCGTTGGCCAGATCCAGTGGCATCGCGGTGAGGCCGACGGTGGACCCACCGACGCCACCGTTGGCACTGATGCCGGCCGTCGACGTCGACGGCGCATCCGGCGACAAATCAATCACAGGCACCGCGCTTTCACAGGGCGCTCGTGGTCGTTTCCGAGGTGGAGAACTTAAACCATAATCCCAATCAGTCGACAGTCTCCTCGCTACACACACACAATAAATTCTACCCGGAAAGAACAGCAATGTTGGCTGGCGTGGCATCCGAAGTGCTGAAGAACTCGTCAAGACTCGCCTGCAAACACCACAGATTATGGTCCAGAAGGCGAACATGCATTTCGCGGGCAGCAGCTAAATCTGACCTCCAGATTCCACTCATGCTTGCGTAGCGTGCGCTCCGCTAGGGAGAAGTCACTGTTGGTAATGGAGCAGAATTCGATGCACAGCTCGGCGCTGGATTTTTTCTCCATTTGCTGCGAATGATTTGCAGTTGTGCCAACGAGCACCAACTGATTAGCAGAAGTCAGGCTTGGCAGATCAAACTAATAAAGGTCAACAGAGAAAAATGTCTGTTTATCAGCGAAACACGAGGAAATGGTAAAGCAATCAAAAGATTCCTGCAGGAAATTTCACGTTAGATTGTTTAAACGAGAAAAGTGTCTTTGGTTTTTGTTGTGCTTTCATCCACCGAGCTGAGCCTGTTTGTTAACTATTAACCGCGACCCCGTACGGGTGCCTACTGCTTCGTGTCTAGCGATTACTAGCACCAGTAGAAGAAGCAGTTTGCAGAAATGCTGCGAGAACTTGTCCAAAAATGTATAAGTATAACTATCGTTTTATTTAAATGTTTTGCGTTAGCAATCGTTTCCGCTTTCCAGGTGATTTTGATTGCAAAATCGTTTATTGTAAAGAATTTTGCGATGCATTTAACCGTCTGCCGGCGCCTTAAGTTGTTTGCCGACGTACGTGGTGAGTTCTTAGCTCGTCTTGACTGAGATTTTGGTCTGTGGACAATTTACGGAAAGGTTTTGATGTGTGCACCGTGCACGATACGATAAGTATTATTTTGTAAGTACATGTAAGTTGTACATAACTTTATAAGCACTTTTCATAATACAGTACTTAATTCATGTAGGTAGGTTGCTATGCTCGCAGTGCACAAATTTAATATTTTTTGTTTTATTATTTGTAATAATACGCTACTGGTTCCCGTACAGGCTAAACGAGATTCATAGTCGTACTTCGCACTGCTCAGCTTACTCATGATCACATCATTTCCGCTTTATTAAGCTAATAATAATACTAAAGTCAAAATAAAATTTTGCAGTGACTTACAATACAGTACCTCTTCCGTCTGTAGTATTATTTCTGAAGTATTTCGTGAATGGTTTTCTCACTTTTGTGATACGTATTTTGTGCATTTACTCAAGCTTTTTCCTTTTTAGATGATGCGATAAATGATAAATCAGTGACGTTAATCTACTGCAGTTGTGATTGGAGTTAGAATTTAAATGAATATTGCCACCTTCTAGCTGATTGGCCGGCGCCCCATGAGCCACACCCCGACGGCCCCCGTTGCTGCCCCCCTGGGCGACTTCCCCTGGGGACAGGTGCAGCAAGTGGAATACCAGGCGGCCAATAGTGGACCCATTGTCCAAGCTTGCCATGCCATGCTGTACGCCCGCACCGAGGCGCGGTTTGTGCGAGAACTGCCCTGCCGCGCCTGGGTGATGATGCAGATGCGCTTCGACGGGAAGCTGGGCTTCCCCGGCGGGATTGTCTCCGATCTGGCCGTGCCCGATGCCAGTCTGGAAGATGGCCTGAACCGGGAGCTGCAGGAAGAGATCCGGCTGGATGTGGCACGCTTCGGCTTCACACGGCAGCACTATGTCATCTCGCACTTCTGTCCACGGGTCAATTTGATCCTGAATTTATACGCACAGGTTTGTAGCGAGCGTGCAAAAATACTGCTTGCAAAGTCTAGCGTCACTGATTTATTTTAAAGACTCTAGTTTCTCCAGCCACTCTATGCTTTTTCAGTTACTGGTATCTATGAATACTGAGCGGATTGATTGCTGCTGTTAATGTGCAATTTTCATAAAAATTCGGAGGTTTTTAGTTTTTATATGTCGAAGGATGAAATAAACGTCGCAGTATTTTTGGTGACTTTGACAGGAAGTAACGGAAGCCGAGTTCCGGGAGATTGAGCGGCAGGCTTTGACGGCGGACGAGTACGGTCACGAGTGTCTGGGCGTGCTGCGCATCCCTCTCTACACCATGCACGACGGCCTGAACGGCTTCCCCGCCTTCCTGCAGAACCAATTCGCCGGCACCTCGGTACTCCAGGTGATGGTGGGACTGGTGACGCAGGACATTGTCACCGAAGAGGAGGCGCACGCGTACATGAACGTCCTGCCGCGGCATCACGGATATCGGAAGCTGTTCGGCGACGCGTTGGTCTCCTACCGGCAGCGGCGCTTACCTGCTGAGCCGCCGCTGTCCTAGTGGTTTTCGATCTGATTATAATTTATGACTGGAATTTGTTCTTTGTTTTTCACCAAAGAGCGACTGTTTTTTTGTGTCGGAGATTACGCTAAATTTTGTCCTACCTTGACATGCGTATATTTGAATTTTTGCTTTCTTTGTGAAGCGTTCTCATGATATACTGGCAAAATATAGCATTGATGTAGACAAGAGCTATTATCTGGGTAAATACGCGTATTTGCACTATTTTGCAGTGTCACCTTAACAACTAAATAAATATACACAAAATATAAAATTGCATGTATTGTACATAAGTCTGTAACACAATCTCGATTTACGAATACATACTGTATATACGTTATTTTAAACAGTAGATGCATAAATGGCGGGAAAAAACAGATTAACAACAGAGTACTTATGTAATTTAATGCCGTATCTATACATCCAGGTCTGTGTGCACTGTGCAACTGGCTACACATTGCACTGGCTAAGTCGCACACCATTGATTCATCCATTTTAAACACCGCTGACACCAGTACTGAGTAGTGATTATTTTCAATAAAGAAAACAACAGGTAAAAAATTAATCTCACCGCAAAATACGAGTGCAGTATCGTTAATTCGTTGTCGTTAAAAAAAACATGAAATCACTATTGACAACCCACAAAACCCTAACTGAGATCACCGTTGTCCGCATCCAAAGTGCAGTGGACGGAAGGTTGACAAACAGTCTTCCTCACGATTCTTTTGGGGATTCATGCGTCTCTCGATCCAGCATTTCCACCTCTGCGGCATCGCTCCTGAAAAAGCATGATGAAATTACGTACCTCATACGGGTATACCCCGTAGTAGTGACCGTACTACCAAACAGAAAGAAACACATCAATCTGGCAACAAATCCCAAAGATAAGTGGCATTTCTATTTCTTCAACATACCGCAGAGCCTGCACTTCTTCCGGTGCAGCGTGCTCCTGTGGCGCTGCAGCCGTGGCCTGATGTCGATTGCGCTTGGCCAACCGTGTAACCCAAGCGTAGAATTCTTTGTCGATATGCGCCGGAAGTGTCACCATAATGACAAAGGCCGCAATAATGAGCAACGTGCCGGCAATTTTAAGAGCGTCGAATTTGTTGGAGCGGAATAACCAATCGGCCACTACAAACATTTCAATTCTTTAATGTACGCTAAAACTCTCACGTTTTGCGCACGATGAATGCAAACGAGGGAAACGGGAAAACCAGTATCCGAAATATCTAGACAGTATGTAATATTATTATTTACTATTTGTGTGTAAATTGATATGGAACTACATGCAGTATTTTTCCAGTGTCCAAACGATTCTCGAGTTACATATTTAATCAGCCAAAGTGATTTAAAATTTTAACTATCCGGAACCCACGTGCGCAGTTACTCGTACTGATTCGCAATACACTGCAGTAGTCTCACCGTGATTGAGCGGAACACCCACAATCCCGCCAAACGCAATAAACAGCGGATACGTGTACGCCGTCCCATAATTAATCAAAAAGTTGAACACTGCAAATACAACGATACTGTCACGTTGTCAACATCCGGCCAGCATTCGCGTTATTCATTGTGACAAATGACAATATAGCACAATTACCGATGCTCAGCGCACAGGAACCACCGATAAACTTCCACGGAACATCTCCGCTGATAATCTCCGTGTCAGAATAGTGCAGAATGAGCAGCATGGGCCAATACATCAGCAAGGTAAAAGAGGCCACGGTGCTCAGGAAGAGCGACACCTGATGGGGTTTGGCATTGCCTACCACTTTCTTAAACAGCACCTACAACAACAACGCCCCAATGTACAGTGCCACTACTTACCCGTATATCAGCGTGCTACAATTGTATTCTATATTAATAAAACGCTATCGAAAAGCGTCTACAAAATTCGTGTATAAACTATAGTAGCGCTCAGGCAAACAGTGAACGAAGGTTTCGATGTCATAAATTCGCAAAAAATTTCTAACGCATAATTACGATGTAGAGAGCCGCTCCAAAGGCAGCCAAAACCGCCAAACCGACACTGGTAAACGTCATCACCGAGAATCCATCAGAGTACGAGAACAAGACAATTCCCACGATGGCCAAGATAACCGCGATAATCTGCCAAACCATACTCGTTAATCACTAAACACTAGATTTTACTAGCGGTCAACAAGTCAGTCGATATGATAAACAGATTTATAGTTCATTTGTGGTTTCACCTTCAGAGACACGATCTGTGCGCCGAGAATAAGACAGCTGAGCAGGAATACAAAGGCGGAATTGGATGCGAAGATGGCTGTCACATCCGAAGGATTGGCGAAGTTTAAGGCGCGGAGGTAGGAATAATTCGTGCCCACCGCCAAAAACGAAAATAATCCCGCTAGCTTCACCCATTTCGCCAATGTTAGACCACCTTCCCCAAATACATCCAGAGAACCCCTATAAATTAAACATAAAATAAAAGAAAAATTACCCACTTTTCCGGGTTTTTGAACATGTTCAAATCGTGGACACAACGTGTTCTTAAATTTTCTTTACCTGAAAAAACGAAGACATTAGTGCAACTTTTTATAGGTATTACCAGAAGTTCTAGAAACTAGAACAATGTTAAAAAATTTAGGATTACATTGCACATCTCCCTGAAGGAATGTGTGTAAAATCGAAAATAATCAAAAGACTAAAGTGCAAAATAAAGTTTGCGAATAAGCAGAGTTTTTCGCTTTAATTACGGCTTAGCAAGCCAAAATTTTTAAATATAATTCAAACGTATAGGTAGTGCGTCAAAAATACTTTTGTAACGGAAGTCAATGCCAGGAAAGAAACAACTCGTGCACCAACCGGTGACGAGAATTATCAAGAAAACGAGTGTATGCTCCGAAGAAAACAAGAGAAGAGAACAAAACAAGAGTAATAACAGTATAGGTAATAAAGAAAGAAATAAAGCGGGGATATTGGATCAATTTAGTTCTATTCAGATGGTACAAAACCAGCGGACGGGACAGCGCCTGCTTTAGCCTACAAGCTTACTTGTAGATAGTCGCCAGCGTCTCTTTGCGTGTGCAGCTAACCGCGGCGCATAGAAAGTACAGCGGATAGCAGATGATCATCCAAACCGCGTTAAACCAGGTGATGAAGAAGGGAGCATGGAAACCGGGCTGGTACGTGGATTTGGCGAACTGGCTGGCGCCCACCTGCGACAGCGCGATTAGGAACACCAGAATGATTCCCACCGTCAGCTTCTTGGCTTTCTGTGCGCCCGTGTTCTCTTTGGGCGGAATGGGCACGGCTGGCGCTTCACCATCACGGTTTTCCATGGTGCAGGATAGGTGCGAACGCTGCTGCGCAAGTTTCGAAGAAAGAAAGAGAGATCTCGTGTTGCAACCGCGGTGCACTCGCAACTCGCAACAATGCAGTCGTGCACCGTCACGGTGCACGGGGAAAACTAAGTTCTCCTGATAAATACGTAGCTTATGCGAGACAAATTTGCAGCACAAACACCCAAACTTCCGCGGTCGACTAATCTCCAGATAAAACGATTAGTGCCTTAGATAACTTTTTCAACCATAGTTACGAAATTCCAAACTCACTGCTGAGTAAAAGTGGATTGCCATTTGTGTGCAGATGCGCTCTCGTTCATAGTAGTCGCATGACACTGATGACAGCACTTATGACTTACAACAGAAAACAAGGCTGCTACAGCGTTATACGAGTAAAGGTCAAACTAGCCCCGCAGGCGGATGCAATTGCAACACGAACATATAACGAAACCGCCCTCTTTGGAAATCTTAAATTCTGTGCATCTTTACAGCACATAGCTTTATTTTGCCGGTTATTCCTAACGTTTCAATTCCGCGGTTCAGTTTTGACCAATGAGTTTAACCGATCTTGCAAGTTCATATCGAGGTGTGCATAAAAAGAAAGATATCGCATGTCTTTTTCGATATAGGTAAATAGTAAAAATCATACGATAACGTATAAAACTAAACGAAAATATCTTATATAAAACTGTAGACTGCTAAAAAGTCAAGAACAGTTCATTACGATTTCGGCTGCAATCAATGATGCCGAAAACGAAAACACTAGCAGCAATGCCACTCTGTATTGTGTTTGATTAGTTACCCAAACGAGTATTGTTGTGGACTTATGCCCACTTGAAATTTCTTGACCTTGGTTATTATGCCTTTTAATTTGCAAGTTAAATTAACGAAATAACCCTTTTGCGGCAATGGCAACTCAGAAATTTGACACAGTTAATTAGTAAGTAAACTTATCTCAATGATGGTACAAGTACGAATAGACAACAGCATAAAGATAAGCAATTAGTGATAATCTTGATACAGAACTGCAATTAAATGTTGCATGCCTCTTAGATTTTGTAATTATCTTCCATAAAATGCGTTCGGTTTTCTGATTCTTGATTACTCGTACTACTGTAGATCGCATGCGTCCATCGCCGTTCCTTCGTCGAGTTGTTTCGGAGTATCGATAACTTACAAATTCCGTTTCCCATTTTACTTCATGACGTCGATTAGTGTGCGTAGAAATCTGCATCACGGAATGAACTGTAATCTTTTCAGTTGTGACTTGTGAGCTATTAAGCGTAAGGCGAGTTTCGCATTTCCTCGATTTTTTCTCATTTGACTAACAGCAATATACATCAGTTTTGGCAACGCCGGGATTACTTCATAATTATTAATTTACCCTCACGTACACCATTTATCGAATCATGTGCTCCTTAACTACGACCTTAAGTTTTCATGGTTTCGTTTTGAGCATACGCCCGCTGTTTTATAATGCAAAACATCTTTATGTATGAATCTTCCGACTTGTGACCTATAAATGCAATGCCGACTTATGCTTGTTTGAACTTGTATTGAATCTATCGATTACACTTCCCATTTTATACATTTCTGGAATCCTTTTGTTCTATTGGAAATAATAATTTGGAAAGTGTGTACGTAAAAAATATACGATAGCAAAACACTATAAATTACATGATACAAACGTTTGATAATTTGTTATTTGTTCGCTATAAGACTAATGTCGACGATGGAGCAAATGGACTGCGACAACAAGAGAAACAGCTACAGTTTGCATTTAGCCGACGAAAGCTCTTCTGCAAAAGGTATAAAAAAACTCCTAAAATGTGTCATAATATCGATAGTTGTAATGCTGTAATAGTTTTACTGTGTTATAAAATACGTACGAGTACTTCTTACATAATAGTGATAATACTATAATTCTATAATACTGTAATACTACTATAATTATATTATACTCATTAAAAGCAGTAATTTTTTTGACGCAGTATAATAAGTGCAGATGTATGGTCAAGTCAATGTTAATGCGAGATTACGAGTAATCGAAATGTTGATGAGCACTTAATAAATGAACTGGAAAGAAAAAACAATTGTTGTGCTAAATTTACAATAACTAAACTCTTTATACGCTCTTGACTTATGTCAGCTGAAAACTTTTTATCGTTTCTATAATCGGTACTCGTAGATCGGAGTTGTGGGCTCGGACAGCGGCACTTTGTGGCGATTATGGGATTGTTGGGGATTTTCAACATTTACACGATGCGCATCAACCTTTCCATGGCCATTGTAGCAATGGTTTCCACAAACACACCGGTGCTGCCAACATCAAGCAGCTTGAACTTGCTGGATAACCTTAACAACACCTTTCACCATAATCAAACCATCTTGAATTCGACGTCGTCGGTAGTTGATCTGGATGTTTGTCCGTATCCGGAATCACTCATCGCCGATGATCCGCAAAAGCAGAATTCAAGTTCGTCCACTCACACAGTAATTTTATGTGGCAATTATACGCAGCGCATTTTATTTTTAGTGGCAATATTTTTGTTGCTTATTTACGTTAATAATTAATATACTTCCATACCTCAGGAATCAAGACAATCTGAATGTATTGTAAAAATCTTCCGTTTTTCAGCTGCCGTATCAGCGAATCCAAGGCTGATCTGTCATTTCAAATAAACCTAACTGATTATCCTATATTTTAATGCGCAACATATTTTTGCATAATTATATGGGTAACTCTATTAAAAAGCGGCATCGACAATAATTATTACTGTACAGAAAGCGATACAGCTTGTGTATATAGATGGCTTCAAGTGAATAAGAAAAGGACTGATACTGTAGGGTGCAGAGTTTGATTGGGATTCGGGGACACAAGGCCAGCTGCTGGGATCGTACTTTTACGGCTACATCGCCACGCAGCTGCTGGGCGGCTGGCTGGCCAAGCAGTACGGCGGAAAAATGCAGTTCGGCGTGGGTATCCTCCTCTGCAGCGTCCTAGCGCTGCTCTCACCTGTCGCCGCCCACGTTCACTACGGCCTTCTCATGGCCATCCGCATCGGCCAAGGATTAACCACTGTAAGCACACGACGTATGTCGTATATGTTATGGAGAATACTTGCCAGAGTCCCAAAGGTCACTTGTTTTGTCCACTGACGCAGTAAACTTCCGGTGGGTATTTAGGGATTCTGCTATCCTGCGCTGCAGCAAATGTTGGCGCACTGGAGTCCGGCGTACGAGCGGACGAAGCTTTCTACGTGGGCTAATGCCGGAGCTCCCATTGGAAACGTCGTAGGTAAGTACGTTTACAGTAAGTAATTACAATTTTACAGTCACTTATACAATACATACTCGTAGTTATAAGTGTACCTACATACATACTCGTAGTAGTAAATAAATACATACTCGTAGTAAATAAATACATGAATTAAATACTTAATAAATAAATTATTAGTAAATAAATATATAAATTAAATAATTTTTTTATAAATACATACTCGTAGTACTAAGTGTAGTAGAAAATGTAGTAGTAAAATTTTAAAATTAATCAAATCTGTACCAATTAGCCCCGGCTGATACAATGCAAGCAATTTCGATTTAGTAGAAAAAATGTTTATTTTTATAACGATCATATACATTGTACAGTGTTCCTGGCATCGGGTTTCCTGGCGCACAATTTCGGCTGGGAGAGCGTCTTCTACGTTTTCGGAGGGATCGGCGCTGTGTGGTGGGTCTTCTGGCAGTTCCTGATTTACGACAGTCCCTTCAAGCATCCGCGCATCTCCCGCCACGAACTAAGCCTCATCAGCGGCTCCAAGGAGAAAATAGACCCCGCCCAGCACTCCCAAGCCATCCGACAGCGGCGGGTGCCATGGGTGCAGCTGGTGACCTCCCTGCCGGTGTGGGCCATGATGCTGTCGCATTTTGGACAAAACTGGGGCAACTACACCCTTTTAACTAACCTGCCGACGTACATGAAGAATATTCTGCATTTCAATTTGTCTGCCAATGGACTCTTTTCGGCACTGCCCTATGTGGCGCTCTGGCTGGTGTCCATATCATCCGGATACTGCGCAGGTATTATCTTTGTTTTAATCATCATAAAATAATGCCTACTCGGATATACATAATTGTATACAGTATCTGTAGCTAGAGCTGTATACAAGTATTGTACTTACGTCCTCTGTACAGTTTTAAGCCTACGAGTACTCCCAGGTAAATAGCCATTTTTCACAATACTAGTCACTTGTACTGTTGTACATAATTACGGTCACCTGAACTTTCAGTTTGAAATACAAACAATTATTATTGTGGAGTAAAAATAATTTTTCTTCTATAGAAGTGTATGAACTGCAACCGCAAAATGTCTGACGATGTACGCGTGGTTAATTCAGCTCGCCTATAAGTTAAATTTTTACTTTAAGTTTTTTAATCAATATTGCAAATTAAATTTGGAACACGTTCTGATATCAAATTGATTTTATGAATGCCATGAACAGTACAGTAAATGAAACTGGCATTTAATTCGACTTTCTACGAAAGCTTACTACTAATTATGTCACATTAATCGCCGGTAGATCTGCTGCGCGAGAACCACTACATGTCGACGACGAACGTGCGGAAACTGTTCAACACCATCGGAAATTTGATCCCGGCGGTGGCGCTGGTGGCTGTCGGTTACGTGGGTTGCGATTCGCTGACGGTGGTGGTTCTGCTGACACTGTCCACCGGCATGAGCGGATGCACGCAGTGCAGCTACCAGGTCAACAGCATCGATTTGTCCCCGATATTCGCCTCCATGATCTTCGGTATCTCCAACACGCTGGCTAATGTGCCGGGAATCATCTCTCCCTACACTGTGGGACTGATCACCAGCGGCGAGGATGGACATACGATTTCGAATTGGCGTTTGATCTTCTATATTTCCGGTGTGATCCGCTTGGGAACGATGCTGTTTTATTTGATCTTCGCGTCCGGCGAGACGCAGGCGTGGAATGCCGAGAGCGATGAACCTGTCGGGCATCAATGATGCGATTTGCTGAATTTTAATTATTTTTTAAAACTCTAGTTGAGATAATTGTGATGGATGCATCATGTTGCACTATATAAAATCGCGGTAAATTAAATAAAACTACTTAGCTTACAAGAAAAGGAAACAAAAAACATTCGGGTCATTGCTGAATTCACTTGTACAGAGTACTTATTAGTAGAGTTTGCTTTACTTCCTTTCGAGACTCGCAGTACTATAGTCTAAATCTTTAGATGATTAGATCGAACTGCAAAATGGCGGTTTCAAAAAGGATGACAGTCATGAGACCCATGCACTAGAGAAAGGGAGCTAAAAATGGAAGAAAGCAAAAAACTGAAAGCAAAGTTCTGCCACCCCCGACCGGAGTGCATCCGCATTTAACACTTTCAAACGATTTCTGACCATTTTAAATTTTGCACTGCTGCACTACTAACTGGCAACTGCAGGTCTGCAGCCATAAGAAACAGACAAAACAGACAAAACGGTGCCGGTGGTTTCCCTGTACGATAATCGAAACACAATGGCGAACAGCCTCGGCACGCTACGCTAGCCGCGCTAATCTAAACCGTCGTTTCTTTCGAAAGCGACAAACAGGAGAAAGCTCCAAAGTCCTAACACAGAAATGCGGTAACGGTTATCGGACCGACTTCCGTGATTTCGATAGTGTTTTCGTGATACTTCGCTTCACTTTCCTACCGCTTTGCCAACATGCACCCGATGCGCGTGGATGCCAACTACAACGCGCATTTTCCGTCGCGCGGCCTGAGCGGACCGCTGGATGCGTACAGTGATGGCCGCGGCGACGGCGGCGATGCAGATGCGTCGCATCAGATCCGCACCCTGGCGCCCCCCTTCACCGACCTCTCCATCGTCAGCCACGAGATCTACTTCCCCCTGAGTAAAAAACAAGCGACAGAGACGGCCCTGTCCAGTTTCTTGCGCGGTCCGTCGACCATTCTGATCGATGCAGGGACGCCCAAGGTGATGAGTCGCTTATACGGCGGCGTGTTTCCTGGTAAGTTTCGGTTTGCATCAGTGCATTAAACCGTGTAGAAGCATGGGTTGACCATCGTAGATTGGACGGCCGGGGGATTGTGGCGCAATTCCAGTGATTTCATCCAGAGTCTCAATGGCTTCGCCAAGGCCCGTGAGAACAATCACAAACTGGTGGTGGCCTTCGATGCGTCCATCGATATCCATAATATCAGCGCCTGGCTGGCTAAAATGGAGTTCGACTATGAGAACATTCGGGAGGTCTTCGTGCAGGTGCAGCGTTCGAATCGACCGCCCATTGGCAAAGGCAGTTTTAAATTATGGTCAGTTCCACAATTTATTTCTTCGTATTTTGGGTTGAATTTTACTCTTTATTAATGGTTAAAGTGCCGAAAGCTCTTCAAGTTTTTGTTGATTCATTTTTGGTGGATTTTTTAGGTGTTCTGTGTTCATATGTTGCGACAGTAATACGATGTTTATAATGATTTTGTGCCATATTTTCTTCTGTTTTCTTTTATTCTGGAAATTATTTCTGAAAAATTCCTTAACGAGTTTGGTTTAGTTTATTTAATGAATAGACAAACCCAGAGGCACTTCAAAGTCTGGTCAGACTCATGTCGTTCTTCTGTTATTAGAAGTTGGCTGGAAGATACTTTTTGAACCGTTTGAGTTTTTTAATGCCGAAAACATTTTCTTATGTTTTCTCGCTTCCCTACAACAACTGATTCGGTAACCTTCTTTAACAGGTTCCCTCCTACCTGTCTGCAGACCGGCCTGCGCCTCATCTGTCTCTCCCAGCAAATCGAAGTGGTGTGCACTCTGTACGAGCACGAACCGGAACTGGTGATGAACCAACCACCCATCACCACGCCCACCAGCGTCCGGCGGCAGAGCTGGCTGGACAAGGCCGGCGCCTTCTTCACCAATTCCCTCGAGTACTTCTGTTACAGCGACGGCGATTTCCAGGCCAAGGCCTTCTGGGGCGAGAGTCTGAAGCTGAACATGCGCGGCGATCGCATGACGGGGAAGCGGATTATCAAAACGGAGGTGGCCAAGGAGCTGGGCATTCGCGAGCAGTCGCTTGACGCCGGTCTGCTGTATTATGGTACGTCAAACTTTGCTGAATGCCAGAATTTTTAATTACATTTGAGACGCAGTTTTAACACAACGTCGCAGGTTATTTTTTAAAAATCAGTTGGCTCCAGTGTTCATTTAAATTAAGTATTTAAATATGTGGACTACATTTACCGGTTTTTATATTAACGTTTTTTGGCTTTGCAGGGACAAGGTACTTTTTGGATGCTAAGGGTTTCGATCCCGTTCCCGATCTCCATCACGAAATGCAAAGTCGCTTGGCGCAGTGCGACTATGAGCCAGTACGGTTTTGTTTATAGCTTTGCCGATTGTCGAATCCCTTGTGTCGTAAAATTATGTTTTATTACTGTGATCGATAATTTAGTGTCGTTGTACCATAGAATAACCGGCTGAAGCGCGCGCTAGAAGAACTGCGCAAAGTGCACACGCGTGGTGTTAACTGCGAAGACACTTCGGGCATCGGTAATTCCCTTATCCCCAGCGTGTCTTATATCAGCGGCCGCCTGCGGAAAAAGGATAGCTTGCCACCGCACTTTGAACATCTGGCCATGAGCGTCGACGTTCCGGAAGCCCAAGTGGAGGCTGAAGTGAATAAACTGAAGGATAAATCAGCGGAGGTGTTTCTGGAAGTGGGATTCCGTTTGCTGGATGGCGCCAACGCTGTGGTACGGTCATGTTTGCGTAGAAGCTTGGTTTGATTCTGCCCGTAATAGTTCTTGTTTTATCAGCTTTAGTGCGTGATTTTATGCTTTTGAATGACTTTTATTAAATAAGCAAGCCAGAGCTTTAGTCACTGCGAAAGTGGTCGATGGTTACTGGTCAGTGTCGGGTTTATATCTGACTAGAGCGTAGTCATGCCGCTTTGTTGGCAGCCTGTTTTTATGAGTCTTTTTTCAGCTTGCTAGAGTATTGTTGTTCTTATTTGTTCTAGCCACCGGCGCCGTATTTCAAGGCCGGACAGCGTGTCACCTTCCCACACCAACGCCTGTGCTCGGAGAAGTTTTTGACTGAAGTGGAGACCACCCATCGGAAAGGCCTGCAGCATGAATGGTTTGCGCAGTTATTGCTCGCCGAGGTTTGTATTTAATGACTTAGCCGTCTTTACTCTCAAGAAATATTTATTTAGTTCTCGTTAGATACCAACTATTCGAATTCCGTACACAATCGGAGATCGCGGCAAGCTCGTGATGAAACTGCGAGATGATCCGAAAGAGTTTTTCCGACCCATTCGTCGGCGAGCGTACGGGCTGATTTTTGGATTAAGTATGCTCTGGTTGTCTGTTATTATTTGAATGTGACGAATAGTACTTAAAATGAATTATTCCCTGTGTGTAAAAGTTGTTAGATAAGTAAATCGTACTCCAAATTGGCCTTATGAGAGATTGAAGTCGTTTCGAATCCGTTATCGATATTTCCTTTTATGACGAATGTTTATTATTTTGCTTCTTTGTAGCGTCGGAAGTGGATCAGTCAACGTTCCCGACCGTGCACGAAGTGTATTACGGCGGTGTCGACGCCGTGACCCCACTGCCCCTGTCCAGTCAGATTTCTGCTCATTTCCGCTCGTGCGCTGATCTGTGGAACAAGCGCAGTCCGCACGGTTTACTGGCGCTACTGAAGCTGGTGCTGGGCGAGCGGATGCCGGCACGCTGGGAGGCCGGCTTTGTGTCCATTCCGGAGTGGACGTGGGTGCCGGTCATTGCGTTGCGCTACATGTTACACTGCGAGCCGCGTTTACTAACGGACGGCTACCTGGATGCCATTTTGGCCACGGTGGCCGCTCTGGGGTCGCTGCGGCTGCGGGCTGGCGTGGCGGGACGAAGGATCGACGAGAATGACCGCACGCAGAGTGATGTAAGTCCAAACATTCAGACCGCTCTTTCTATGCAGCTGTCTAACATCCATTTTTTTGTTATACTTCAAGTATTTGAAAAGTGCTAAGATTTCATTATTTTCTAGCGTTTCATATCTCCTTTGTGCTTTGTTTAAGAGATAAGTGCCCCGAATATTTTCAATGATATAATTGAGCTAGTTTGACCATTTCATGAACAGATTATGTATGAACCTGTTATTTGGCACTGGCACTGGGAACAATTTACCACTTTTTTGGTCAATTTATCACTGTACTTATTGTAGCAAAATCGTAGCCTGAATAACGTGCACGCGGGATATTTTTGTTGCTGTTTGTTTGTTATTACCGTTTTGTTGCAGGGAGTTGACTTTACAGTTGACACTGTATGTGTGATGTTCTTTCTGCTCGCTTGGGGCTTGGGTTTGCTTGCTTTTATGTGCTGTTCTTCATTTTATGTGGCACGACAACAATTTTGGCAGTTTTATCGCTGGTTGATTTCAAGTATTAATCTGGTGATGCAGGGTAATCTGGTGGCCACCGAGCGCTCCATTACCTTCGCGTCGTATTTCATGACGGCGGTGGACCACGTCATCTTTGTCAACGACATTGTTGGTGGGCTCATCTCACCCGTGGAGCTCAACCCCTGCAATTACTTCGACGGTAACGTTTTCCATACCAAACTGGCGGTCCGCTCTTCGCCGCGCTATCAGGACGCACGATGTCGCTATCGGCTTGAAGACCTCCTGGGCAGAGAGGTGAGTTACGTCACAGACTTTTCACCTGTCTTTGACTCCGAATGCGATTTTTTACTAAGGTTTCCTCGTACGTTTTTTTCTTCTTTTTCATTAAAGGTTTAAATTTGTTTTGGCTTTCGAATTAATAACTAAAAATCTAGATTAAAATTAATGATGATTTTTCGGGCTGTTTGCTTCTCATGTGCTGTGTACGAGTACTTGGCGTAAGCAGCCTTCTTAATCTACTCAGTAGAAGATGGTGAACGTTTTTCACTTCCTTGTGAAACATTGGTAAGTTGGTGTTGTAGGATCAGAAAGTGGCCCTGTTTTTGAAATTACGGTCGGTGGCCTTGGCGGGAATTAGCGAAAGTGATTTGGCGATGGAGCTGCTGGACGCCGAAATGGACACTGTGCGAGATCTGCTGACCAAGAGACTCATCACCGAAACACCGGCCGTGTAAGAGCCGCGTTTATTCAACAAAAGCTGTTAAAATAATAAGGTTTCACTTGACTACTCGTTTTGATACGCATTTGTGTGCTGCAATTTCGTCATGTGTTATTTATGTTTACCTGGTTACAGGCTGCCAGGCGGTCATTCCATTGCACGTCCGTTTACCGATTTCCGCCGCTGAGTCTGGTTTGGACTTTGATTCATCTGTTCCTGTTTGCACATCAAGGAAAATTTCGGGTTTCATGGTTTTCCGTCTTTGAATAAATGGTCGCCTAGCTCCTTGACCGACGCGATTTTCATTTGGATAATCTTGTTCGGATTAACTATTTCAGTTATTTGAAGTTTAGTTTTGCTGAAATCGTAGAAGGATTGTAATGCAGGCTTCTTTCGTTTCCTGCACACATGTATCTCAGTTTATTTCGCTGGTTCGCGTAGAATTATTGTGACCTTTGAATATTGTGCAAGCAAATGTCGGAGTATTATAGCTGAGTTTTGCAAATTGTTGTTGTATTGTTGATTGGTTGTACTAATGTTGTAAATTACAATAATAAACTGAATATAATCGTGATATAATCCGTTAAATTGCCCTGTACTGATGGAAATGTTGAGTTTCTTGCATGTTCGGATTCAGCTTACGGTATCTGTACAGTACAGTAGTTAATTCGTTCATTAATGCATGGCCCGTTTAGATTCCTAAAGCACGAAAAGACAGAAAACTGAAATGTTTTGGGAGTGCTAATTGTAATGCCGGGATGCTACACGATGCAGCTGTGCGTAATACGTCATGTTTCGGCACTTTTCCAGTATTCTACTACGTAGTACGTACTTAATTTCGTTAGCTGGCTTAATAGTTTTAGCTGCAAGTGCATATCGTAAGCCATAATGAGTTCCTTTTCCCTATTTTCGTTTGTTTTCGAAACCAGTCTAAGGTACGGTAATCAACCCGAGTTTCTGTGTTTAAGCTTGAGAGCAACGACAAGCGAATGCAGCAAAGCTGAAAACCGCTTTTTTATTGTATTTTTCTCATACAGTGGAAGTGACGCAGAAAACAGAACAGAAAAGCATCAATAAAGTATCATTTACTCTTCGTCCTCTCCGGCATCATCGCCGCCGGCTCCCTCATCCTTGCCCTTCTTGGCGTTGCGGCGCTTGACGCGTCCTGCTCGACCACCGCCGAAGGGCGAACGCAGCGAGAAGTCGATGTGCTTCTGTGAGTCCAAACGGACGATGAACGAAGGGATGTTCACCATTTGTTTGCGCACCCTGCATCAGTCATGACATGTTGCAAAATTCCACGTTACACACTAATCAAACTGATCTGTCCAGAATGCAGCCGCAAAGTGTACATAAAAGCAAAACAATCATTTGCAGAGAAAAAAGTAACAGTTATTGTTTATTACAACTAATACCGATCACAAAATTTAGTTTTAACAAAAATAAAAAGACACCTAAGCCAAATGAGAAGTAAGAGTTTTAAGAAAGTCATTCAACCTTTGAAAAGATAAAAAGAAATAGTAAAAACAAAACCCAAGAAGTGTCACAATCGATCATTCCGACCATGATTAAAACCGGATGAATCAATGATGATGATTAAAACGATTAAAACCGGATGAAACAGAATGGAACTCACACCGCGTAGTATTTGATCAGGGTAAATTAAACAAGAGCAATTTTTAGACTAATCATAAAATATGCCGTACCGAATGTGGCGCTGGCGGATGAGGACGCGCGCGTGATGGATGCTCTTCGCTAAACCTAATTTGAAAACCTGCGTCTGAAGGCGGCGCTCCAAAAAGTCCTCCAGCCGCAGACCCAACACGTAATCCAGCTTCATCTTTCCCTCGTCCAACACACCGATGCGCACCAGACGACGCAATAGAGCGTTACCTACAAAAAACATACGAAATCCTATGATTTATATTATACAAGTTGATACACTCAAAAGTAAAACAGCTCCAAACACCCAATCAGGTCTTTCTGCAACATTCATCACTGTATCATGTCATCAGCTCTTTCTTGATTGTTCGCAACTTTCTAAAGAAACCCAGAGACCCGATCTGAAACCCAGAGCCAACCACATCTCATTACCTTCGAACAGACGTCGCGGATCTTTCTCCTCAAGCGTCAGGAGTTCTCGAGCAGCCTTACGGATTCTGGCCAGGGTGTAACGGACGCGCCAGACTTCCCGCTTGTTCCGCAGACCGTATTCGCCGATCAGCTTCAGCTCCTGGTCGAGACGCTCCTTCTCGAAGGGTCGCCGCGGCGTCGAGTAGGTCTTGGAGTTAACAATCGGCACACGCACCATGGTGCAGCGTCAATAATGTCTATATTTATATAATTACACCGAAAAGAAGCGATCTGAAGATGGTTTTGGATGTTCAAGGAACCCTACATCGCTTACGCTAAGACCGCACAGAAAAATTTTTCACGCTGCCAGTTGGCGACTAAAAGATTTCGGGATCGGAAGCGACACATTGAACATGGTAAATGCTGCTTTTCAAACATTCAGCTGAATCCCAGTTACATATGGTGCATGAAGCCTAAATTGAACAGAGAGACATGGCGTGCGTATCGTTTCCTTCCAGTGCGCATCAGTGAGTGCACATACTCTGTATCTCGAGCAGAGTAGTAAGTACTGTATAGTGTATACACACTGACACAGTACGATTAACAGTACAGTATTTTGTATTTCGAGCGAAATTTTGTTGCATTTTTAAAATTTTGCCTATGTTTCTCGAATTCAAAAGTTTTATTTCTAATTACTTTCTACGATATTCGGAATTTCTTTGGTTTTTGCATTGCTGTCGTATATATAATAATTCTGCAGCAAATCAGAATGTGAACACTCGCTGATTTCCAGTCGGCTCTGACTTATGCCAGAGTTCTCAGTTGCTCGGAATTCTGTTTAAAAAAATTAATAATAATTATAAATTGTCGAATTTGCTCTTTGTCGACTTTTTGATCGCTCTGTTTATGGTCTCGTGTGGTTAACGTTTTGGTTAATTCTTTTGCCAGTTGGTTGCATGTGAATACTTGGTGTATACTTTAAATAATATGCCTGCACTCGAATCAGGATCACAGATCAGCGGAATGAGTTTTCCTGCTACGGACGGCACAGCAGACTTTCCCATGGTGCCAGCTCAGTCGGAGAAATCTCAGGTTTTCACTAAAGCCCTATTCCTTGGTGGTGTAGCCTCACTAGGTGTGCTGGCCGGATTCGGATCCGCCTTGACCATGGCCAAGAAGCGCGACCCTACCTCCTTCGACAAGGGCCTGTTGGCAGGAGCAGAGCGCCTGGAGAGCGGAGGTGCCCTAGCAATGAGGGCGCTGGGCTGGGGCACGCTATGGGCGGTCGGCGGAGTGGGCCTGCTATGTTTGACCGTGTACAAAATTCTGGATGTGCAAAGTGCCGGCGATTTCCGCCGGAAGATGGCCGCACTGATGCCCCGGGTGCCAAAAAAATCCGGTGACTCCAGTCAGCGGACGGAATTTGCCAGTATTCGCGAATTTTTCGAGTATATCAGCCAGGAAACAAAGTCCAAATAGAATAATAGATTATTGTAATTACGAAAAAAATGTTTTCTTAATGATTGGCATTTGCCAGTTTGTGATATTTATTTTGTTTGCCATAAAAAGGGAAATCAAGACAAACGAGAACTTACCAGAACTGCGCATTTTATACAGTGATTTTCATACTGCAATACCGCTTGACTCGCGGCTTGAGTGGTATACAATTAATATCTATCTAATATCTATATAAATAAATTATATATCGGTATAGTACAAGAAGGGTATAAGCCATAAGGAAATTTAACCATGTTTAAATTTTGATATACGAGTGCTGTACCGCCTGTACCCAAGTACTTTGCGAGTAGTCTCTGATCGCTGACGACAGCATCTCGGAAAAACTAAGACTCAAAAAATTCAGCAATCCATACAGCTCCGAAGCTTCCTCGTAGTCTAAGAATACAACTGCGAAAAATAACAAAAAAATATTTTTCAACTGAATTTTATAAATTCATTCATTATTAGCGCAGTACTCGTACAGTAACTAGTAAGTACGGAACGGTAGAAGCACGGTACTCAATGATACTGTGCCGTGGTGCAGCGCGATCCAGAGGAGGATTTATCACCATTAAGTTTTATCAAGGGAAACTTGCACGTTGCAACAATTTTACTTATGCTAGGCATCCGCGATACTCAAATTAGTGATAGATGAACAATGCACACACATACGATGATATGCGTTCTATATAATCGTATTACTTCGTAGTTGTTACAGTTATCTTCAAACTTAGTCACTCCATAAAACATTCAATTTGTGTTTATGACTCACATTTCTTTTGTACATTCGCAAGCAGTACTGCTAGATGTAAGTTATCAATTGTAATTTTTAGGGAAACTCATAGCCAAACGATGTCGAGGATTGGCACCCGTCATTCCAGGAATCTGCTGGCCAGGTTCGTCCGGAATCACGTCCAAACCCTGAAAAATATACTAATGCAGTACGAGGACATTTGGGTACTGAACTATTTCTAGAGTCAAAAATCACATTTATGACCATAATTACAGTCAAGTATAAAAAGATCAGAAATATAATGATCTCTGCAACAATTTTTATAATGCAATACCGGTATTATTGACAATCAAATTATTAGTTTATTGATTTTAAAATTAATTCAATTCAAACTGCCTACACTCTACTAGTTCCAAATTGCACACCCACAAAACATAAATCCTGCACTTTAATTAAGAATCACGGTAAAGTTGTAAACACAAAAATTAAAGTAAAGCTACTTAGCAAATTTGTTGGGACAACACATAATTTTGTGCATTTTTAGTAATCTTTCAGTTTCACTACATACTGTATGTAGAGTTCAATGCATGTACTTATAGTTTGCATACCCGCGTGCTGTAGGCGAATCCTGTCAAATCCTCATCGCGATCAAACAAATCCTTGTCCTGCATGACAAACATCCGACGCCTTTTGCAGTACTGCAAAGAAACACGGCACAGCTTAACATCGCGGAATTCCACTGGACCGTCAACGACATTGTCCTCACCTTGCCCAGAATGAGTTTATGTGTGTAATAGGTAGCATACACGGGAGTGATCATGGCTACGGTAATAATGCCAAGCGAGGGAAGGATCTCCCACCACATGTCTGCGGATTAGCCACGTGCTGGATATCCAGATAACCTGGTAAGCGACAGTATGCGACTCACAACCGCGAGCTGGTGGCCGGAAGAACAAAAGAACCTTCGAAAATATGTACTGGAAGGATAAGAGTTCATCATAAGACTCAGACCAGTTTTAAGGATAGCCCATCATAACCGTATGTAACTAATGTAAGCACTCGTATGATCGTATCGTATTAGAAATTCCAGAAATGTTACTGATTGTACTGTCTGGCGTAATTTTGTTAAGCACTACTTAGGCTGATAGCCCTTAAGGCTTTAAATTAAATTTTTTCAACGATAACGATAACGCTACTTACCTGTATTTTTTTATGATAAGTATTAACGGTAAACCGTATTCCGTGTTTTAGATTTTTCACGTCGCCTTCAGTAAGCTGTCCTGTGTCGACAGCAAGAACTGTCAAGAAGGCAGCGAGCTGAAGTCTCGTTCAAGTGAGGACACACTTCGGCGAGATAAATACTCGTACGAGTACAGTGAGTGCACACTATGTTATTGTGCAGCAGTGGCGTTTTAAGCAATTTTATTGCTGATTTTACATTTGACGTGCGGTGGCCCATGCCACAGGCTGTTTTAACGTAAATCTTTGAAAATTCATAACTTTGTTCATTCCATTAAATTTTTTATGCATAGTCTTGAAAATGCAGAATACACAGTATCAGGCAAAGAAATGCTTTTTAATTTTTCTTTCAGGATTGTGCGCTGTTAGCCTGCGCGGCTAGCATAGCCGCCTATGGAGGATTTCCCATAGGCGGCTATGTTAACCGCAGAGGCTCATACTGCATTACCCTAAAGAAGAAACAGAAAACATTTATTTTGCCTAATACTGTGTATTATTCTGCATTTTTTAAGACTATACATAAAAATTTAATGCAGGAGTGAACAAAGTTATAAATTTTCAAAGATTTACGTTAAAACAGCCTGTGGCATGGGCCACCGCACGCGTGCTTCTGTTACGTTGTCGCTCGACAACCGGAGGGTCCACAAATGGTGCAATGCCACTTATGCCAGTAAAATCAGCAATAAAATTGCTTAAAACGCCACTGCTGCACAATAACATAGTATTGCACTCGTACAGTACGAGTATTTATTTAAGTTAAGTAAGTATTAAAGTATACGTACGGATTTCGTACGTATTTAAGTTTTAAATACTATCTATATAGTATAATACTCGTATTACAGTAAATAAGTGTCTCGCCGGTCGAATAATAACATTAAGATGACGATCTTCATTACTAACTTTAACGGTTAATTATTTTGTCTGGCAAAAGTGAATAGTAAGTACCTCGTTTATTGTTGCTTGTTATCGGGTGCGTACTGCGTATCCAAGCATCTAAACCATAAAAAACAATGATGACTAATAACAGCTATAAGTACTCGTACAGTTATTATGTTGCCGTATCGCTTGGCGACATTTTTATAGCCAATGTAATGGTACGTTGATGAGAAAATTTAATATTATAAGTAGTATTATGTACAAAACTGCCATCAGTGTTTTTCATATTTCGATCCAGTTTCGCCGCGTTTCCGGGTGAATAATTTGTAGTTGTGTGATTCTCTTAACAGGCGCTGACTAATCTCGGCAGCAATTAACCGAAGCGTGCCGAGCGTCAACAAATTTAATGAAAACTGAACGAAGAATTCCCGGCAGGCGGTTCGTTCGGTACAGTATACGTACGTTTAATGGTAAATACTGTTCGTACAATACGAGTTCGTACTATTTAAACTGTAATTTTTCACAGAGACTACGTACATAGTACATACTATCATGGCAGTACTCTTTTATACCATTAGTGGCCATGTGGTTTGTTGTAATATCCGTATCATGTGTCATATAGATATAATTTTATTTACGCACTACGCAGTACTACGCACCCAATCAAATTTGCGGCATAATTATTATGGAGAGACTGCAGTCGACTTTCGAGGCGACATGACGTTTTTTAGGTATAGTAAAAAAAACGATGTATACTTAAGTAAGTAAAACTTAGTAAATACGCTTTCCTTCCGGCGATTAAAGTCATACGCAGACATCCTAGTACAGTAGTCGTCTCTCAGTCCCCAGCTGGGCGAAGGCAGCCACCGCTTATGGTGTGGCAGTGAGCTTGGCGTTGTTGCCATGCAAAAATGCATTCTAGGACGACTACGCATTACTTATTTAGTGACTGTAATTTTTACGTACTGCACTGTATTACTTATTATTCTTGATTTTTGTGAGTTTTAAAAGTACTTAAGTTACTGTAATCAGTGTAACAACTTACGTATTATTCAAATTTTGCTTGGTATTTTATTTTGTGAGTGCATAATTTTAACAAGTAAGTAGTAAAATATATTAAAATAGTAAATAGTACTAAATACAGTACCATGCGGCATGCGGTTCTGCGGTTAACACGACGCACGCTGCGTACTGCGTAGCGCATCGGCGACTTCCCGTGCGAAAATTTAAACATCGACCGCCTACTGAAGTGTGATTGGCACGTCAGCGTTCAGTGCACCGCTCGTACTGACGTCAGTACTCAGTCGCCGCAACACCGCCCATCTGCAAAGAGCGTTGTACGCACGAAGGGAAAAAGACACAGACTGGCGGACGCTATAAAAGCGGACTCTTCCATCTGTCAGTGCAAAATTCTTTCGAAAGGCAATCTTTTGATCCTCAATGAGATTAGCTAGTTTTTATCTGTACGAAACCTGATTTTCGTAGCTTCCTCGTTGGAAATCTTTCCCCTTCTGTGGATTAACTCGCAAGATGTAAGTGCTTGCCTTAAATTCGTACATATATTCAGCTCGGTGCTGTTGAGCCGTTGTAGTTTGTTTTGACGCCTACATTTTTCAAACGCGGACAGATGGGCTGGCGTCTAGTCCGGTTCGGATCTGACGCTAGCCAACCGAAAACTAGTAGGTCAAGCTAGGCAGAGTAAGAGAGCGGCGAGCAGCTGCGTGCCAGCACTGGTTATTCACCAATGGCAATGGCTGCCATGTAGGAATCATAACCTCTAAAGCGCTATTTGTATGGCAGCTGCTGCTCGCTGAACGTATCGCTCTCTCTCTCGCTGCTCTCGCCATAACAACCGAAATTCGTTCGAAACTTGCACTCGATACGGAGAAATAGCGTACTCACTACTTGTCTGTCTGGGCCGAAATAGTTTGTGTGTTGTCTTCGTCCGAGCTTTCATTTAGACGTTGCAATCAGTTGGAGATTGGTGTCTTGCAGTTTGAACATGGTCTGTGGTGGTATGACAACACGAGCGATGGCCAACGTACAGCCGCGTCCCACGATGGCCAGTATGCCGTTGGAGATGGACTTTGATCATACGGATCAGGATGAGCTGGAGTTGAATGTGCAGCATGCCGTCTTCTACTGCGAATGCGAGGATCCCGCGTGTGCGCCCTTTACGGATGACGCTGATTCCATCGGTTAGTGAAGATAAGCAGAAGCGAGAGAACATTTTCGGTAGAACAGAAGCACCTTACGTAATACGTTTGTGTGTGCGTATTTTATCGAGTGGATCGATTTGAGTAAAGAGAAAAAAGTCGGTTACGTAAAGGTGCTTATGCCGAAGCGGAAGATGTCGCAGTTTCCAGTTGATATTTCTCCAGCTGTAAAGTAATTTGACTTTTTTTGAAATGTCAGTTGTATATAGAATAACCATGTTGATGGGAAAATATTTCAAATCCGGCTGACTTCGTTAAACTAGCAATGTCGCTCTGCATATTACAAATATTTTTTGGTGTGCGTAATCGGTTATTTTAAGTTATGTGGCATCGGAGAAATTTTGAATCCAGTTTGTCTCCGGAAAGCTGAATCCCGCTTAAATCTAGTCCTTCGGAACGACTGACGGGCAATACCAGTTTTCGGCATAATTCGATTTTATTTTGAAATTCCTGACATAGCGTGTGTGCCGCTATTTTTAAAATGTTTAAGGAAATTTCGCTTGTGATACTCACTGCGGAGAAGGAAGAATTTCCTGGTGCAGTATGCAGCACGTGTCCATAAAAGTTCCGTATTGTTCGGGTTGTGAAATGCGTGCTATCACATTTTATCAGTTGACTTCCGGGAAACGGTGAATCGCTAATCAAGTGAGCACAGTGGCACTCGTGTGTGCGGTTATCGTTAACTCTTCGCGACTTGTGTTTACCGTGCCGCGTGCTGTTTCATTTCTTTGTAGAAATCCTTTTTATTTTTCGTAAACGGATGATATCGCAAGAATTTGCATGTTCATTGCGCATCGCGCGCAACATTTCACCGCAACGATTATCAGATTGTGATTACCTGGTATGTGCAGTGATCAGCACTTCTTCACGCTCCATGCTTTCTGAAATCGGTTATATCTTGATAAATTCATTTAAAAGTTTATTTATCGTAACACTTAATCGATGGCTTTTTAACCGAAGCGATTTTTTCCCGAAATTTCATTAGGCTATTTGTGCGTTTGTTTTCACAAAATAATGTGGATGTATATACTTAATAGGTTTGGTTTTACCGTTTACGGAAGGCATGATCAAAAGAATTTTGAATAATTTCGAATTTTGTCTAAATGTTCCGTGAGAAAAGTATGCCAGGCATGTGCGCAGCATTTGGAATGGCAACAGATTCGTCTTTCTTTCCTGCACAGCATTCGATTAAAATGGCGCTAAAAATGGGGTCTCTTGTTATATTTGCGTGATTACGACGGGGCAAAGGCAGCGTTTAGGCTGATGGCACCGGGACAGAGGCTGATAATTCTCGCATTGGGCGTCGTTGACCGCCTAACCGCGTTGCTATTTCAACCACACTCACTGATCACTGCGTATGCCTGTGTATGTGTGCTGGGGCCAGCGAACGGAATGGGACGGGGCCAGTGCACCTCACAGTCAAGCGACGCAATAGATGATCAACAACAATGCCCTGCTGCCATGCTACAGATGCAGTGTGCCGATAGTATGCCGTTCTCTGACCCTGATTTATATGTACTTGCATACATGTAAAATTTGCCGGTTGGGATCGGTGAAGCGGGCAGAATATTGTGTGATGTGCGCGTCCCATTATGGGGTTCCGGTGTTTGTGCAAAATATGCTGGAAAATATGAGCACAGGCGAATGTACTTGCCGACCGTCGTTGTCTGGGTTTGGTCACTCAAGCACCGGCAGCTGCTGGCCGATTCGATGTTGTTTACGTCGGCGAATGGCTTCGCATTCTCATGTGAATTCGGATAGGGCATTGCACCGGCAAATCGATCGTTTCCACTTTCTGTGAGAAAGGGCTGTTTTGCAATGAAAATGGACAGGGCCCGATTAGCATAAATCGGATTTGGGTCAAACCGTCTGCGAGACTGCGCATGTTGTCGTGATGAGGAAACAAGAGAATAATAATTGTGATTTATTACGATTTTGATTATTTCCTGTTTTTAAAATTAACGCGGTGGTTGGACTTCATTTTCCGATGAACAGACTTCTTCTCCTTATGGTTAGTGCTGGAAATAAGCGTCTAGAGTTTCAGTGATATCTTTTTAATTTTTTTCTCAGAGCTTTTGTAATGTAAGCAGCAGTTCAATTATTTTTCTGTTGTTTTTGCGTAAAAAAAACCAGCGACCTTCAGAACGTGTTGGTTTCATAATGAGCTGCACTGACAAGTGAGTAATGCTTTCCGTTTCGATGATTGATAACGTCATAATTAATTTTTCGGGCACGATCCATTTGTAAAGTAACAAATATTCGCGATATCATAACAAAAACATTGTATCGATAAGCGCCCGTGCGTTGCGCTTGTCAGCGGCAACAACGGCCTTTGCATTACCTCAGAATTTAGATGACTGATTCGGGATGTTGACACGGTAGTTGAATATCGAGCGGAACTGACCTTCAGAACCGGGTGGCGCGCTGTGTAAAAAATTGCGCATACAGAAAAGAGTGCAATGGTCCAAGTGCGCTAAATTGAACAGTAGTGTACGCTGATTCGGCACATTCCAACCTATGACCTGTGACGCAGTACGCTTGTGAGCCTTGTTGATAAGTAAAGAAAGACTTCAAGAAAAATTAAAAGTGCCTGAATAAGTAACGTAATATTATGGTAGTTTAAAGATAAAAATTCTTGTTAATCTTGTTATTTTTTTTGGAGGGAATAGAATTGCGATTGAACCATGCGCTTGAACAGACAGGTTTCGTTTGATCGTTGTGCGATGATAGAACGGTTAAAAAGGCGAAAAGAGAGCGAGCGGAAAGTTGATCCGAAGCGTGCTAAGTCCAATGGCACCGGCATAAAGTGCGAACGCGCACTGCTCGCCGCAGTGGAACGCCTTCTCCTTCCGGTCTTCGACCCGTTTCGGCTGTGTCGATGTTATGACTGTCAGCCGGACACTGAACCGCTCTTCAAAGTTTGTTAGTGGAAGTCGGTACCCTTACCGTGTAGGGAATTCGTGTTTTGTTTAGAAAATTACTGCTTAGGACGGTAAAGGCGAAAGGGGTGCAACGCCAGAAGAGGGACCGGGAACAACCCAGGTGGCTTACCTCGTAATATCATGTGCAAGTTAAAGTTAGTCATGAGGGATAATGTAGGGATGGGAAGCCGGTAATTTGGTGCGTGACTATGAGAGACGCAGTTTGCTCGTCAGACGACGACCGCTTTGTCGTCCATAAGAGCCGGCAACGCAATTGCCTTGAGAATTTGAATAATCTTGATCTGTCTGTTATAACTTGTACTGTCTAATGTGGTGCGAGTGATTAATCAAGGTGGTCGGCATTTCGTTGGCCATCGAACGAACAGGCCAGGAAGAGCGCTGGAGCGGTGCTTAATCGGGCGGTGGTGGTGTTTGTGTTGATGGCGGTGTAGCAACAAACACACATCACCTGCGTTGATCACATTTGCTGCCTGGCCGCACGATGCCAGTTACATCGGCGTATGTCGAACGAGGCCGTGCGCGAACTTACTTGAACTACTTTACAAACCCCATTTGATCAGAATGATATTATATATGAGGTAGTTAGATTGGGGCCCTTGCTTATCCGTCAGATAACCTTGCCAGGTAGGATGGCTAACTTTAACTTGTGAAGCGTGATTAGAGAAAAGTGAGCAATCAGGGAAATGGCGGAGGCCGATGTGCGTCTAGACACTTCCGCCTCTTCATGAATAATCAAGCGCATCCATTTTGGCCTCAAATGCAGGGAAGGGGATGAATTAATAGGGAGTTGATTAGGCTGGTCGTGCGTGCTAGCCGGCTTGAACGTCAAGCGACTACGTGGAAAGTGGAAATGCTTTGTAATCGCTTGTTCCGGGGATTGGAAAGAGTTAGGTTGCTTGACGCAGGAGCGCCTTAGCTGGGTTGTAACGGGAAATGGAGCACTCTGGGACATATAGACGATTCTCGTGAGTGCGCGGGTTTTCTCATTAGAATCAGTCACATGTGGAGAGCCAGGCGTTTTCCGGTGTGCGTCAGCCGTTTGGCATCGATTTTTTATTGTTGAGTTTAATTCGGAAATCTGTGTTAAGAGACATTTATTGGTAATACAGGAAACACCACTGGAGATTAATAAGCCACTACATATTGGTTACTGATGACCACTTTTACGGCCGTTCGCCGAATTTCGCATAATGTATTCGTATTTCCATTTTTGTCGTCTAATTTCCCGTTTTTTTGTAGAAATCCGCTTTGCCGAGGAACTGAGTCTATTGAAAATGGCGCCACACAGCTTCCGTTTGCCATCGAAATCCCTGGGCGAGCACGTGCCGGTGGCGTCTGTACGCAGTCAGCTGCAACAGCAGATGTCCTCATTGTCATGCAAGGCGCGTCGTACCTGCTCAGAAGGCAGTCTGGCGCTGGTGCCCAGTGTGGCCGACGCCAGCGGCTGTCCCTGTGAGATGGTACAGGGCATCCATTCCCACCAGAGCTGTCCGCGGATGGATCTGGCCATCCCGGAGACATCTTGCTTTACGTAAGCGCACACACTGATTCATTCAGACACAACGTGGCCGGTGGTCTGCTTATTCACTGGTCCGCTGTGCAGTTGTTGTTTCTTCAGCCTTGTAAGTCTGATCATTGGGCATATGGTGTGTAGACGTATTGTATCCGTTATAAATACGAGTTATAGGTCAAGGCTTGAAAGAATTTGTTCTTCTTTATTTTTTGTAATTTTTGGAAGTTTTTTTTCTTGTGTAGTTACAACTTGATTGCAGATATGTTTTTGCATGGCGTTTGACTGTTTCGGGCCAATTTTCTTGGAAATATAATTATCACCTTTCGGTTATTTTTAAATATGTTTTTTGGAACACAGAATGGCTAAATGCTTCAGCAGAAGTGATGTTAATTGCTGCTGAGAATTTTGAATGGTAATCGATAAATCGAATAGTACAGCTAAATTTAGTATGGTCGCCTTTGCAGTTGCGGATCAGATTGGCTGCTGGATCACACGGCCTTGGCCTGCTTCGAATGCGGAGGCTGGGGCCTAGCGCGTCCTTGCGGGAAATGTCACGGCAAATGCGGCCAAAATTGGCATCGCGACCTCAAATTGGTAAGCGGATCTTCTGATAATTTGTATAATTATTTATTTTTATCATTTAATGAATATAAGTACTTCTATGCTTTTAAATTTGCGGTTGCTAAGAATCAAAAATACTTTTCGCTTATCGAACGTAACGTTTGTTAAACATGATTGTTATGTTGATATTAATTCAGTTTATTCATTTTTCTAGACACACGCGTCGGGCGAGGCCACCTGGGCCGGTAAATGCAGTCTGGAAAAAGACAAACCTCAATAGATCCGACCTCGGGGAACAGGGAACGTTGGGCCGGTGTTGCTGGCGAGGTAATTCGCGCAGCGTGGAACTCGTCCCTGTTTTCCCCTTTCTTGTTGGGGATATTCGCGGGTAGGACGGCGGGGATAATTTGTCACAAGTGACCAATGCAGCCTGAGTGTTTTGAACGTCCATTATTTCTCTCTCGACTCTTGACCTGTCTCTCTCTTATTTTGTGCTTTCCGTGGCAAAACTCCCGTTCCTGCCAGATGTTGGATTTTATAATTGATTATTACTATTTACATTGCATTCATTTGCGTAATAACTACTTCGTACCTGGTTCTGTGGTTATTTTTTTATACTTAACTGTACAGTCTAATAACTAATTATTTATGGCGCTCATTCGTTTTTTGGTGTTCCGGGTTTTTCTATGAAAGACAACCGGCAAAGTGCTTCATTCGTTGCCGTTGACCATTTGTTTCATCGTCGCCCTTGTCAGTGTACAGAAATCTATTCTTTTGTGAACTTCATGGATGGTGCTGCGTAAGGTTTCATTAAAAACGTGTTGATGCGTTGACATTGGATGCATTAGCGTCTGGCTTATGTCATGATGCATTTTTCTATGATGCGAACAATTGTGTTGCGTAATAAATGGAGCGGACGCAGCTATGTTTAGAAAAGCGCTCTCGTGGTCAATTTTTTTCCACGTAACAAGTTATGCTGGCAATAGAGAAAAAGTGAGCGTGAACGATTATTTTCATTATAACCGAAAAGTCAGGGGCATATGAGATTGTGTAAGAGCAGGGCATGCATAACGGCAAAGAATGAAAATATGTAATTGTGACAGGCAAGCACAGAGAGCTCACAGATGACTTTATTGTACAAATAAAGTGGAGCAAATGCCGCGTGAATGCGGGGAAAAACACAACAAAGGCCAGTGTCTGGCAGAAATCAGCAAGTCAAGTTGCTGCGAGCTAGTTCTAGAGCGTAATGAAATGTAGAGAAAGAAATGTGCTGGCGCCTGGCGGCAACGGCGTCACGCTGTCCAGACACATGGAATGTGAGTGCGCAGACTGGACTCGTATCCAACGCGAGCGAATATACGCTGAGTCATACAGCGAGAGAGAGGAGCGAGAGAGCAAGTATGCTCAGTGAGTGCGCCCGCGGTGTATCCGCATAGGCGGAGAGTGCAGTGCAGCCACTCACGTACGTACAAGAGAGGGCGAATCAGCATGTGTGCAGTGATACGCATACGCAAAGTGGCGTATCTATCACGCAGGCTGTCGTGCCTCTAACATGCCTCTGGGCGGGAATCCGAGCTCCTGCGAGGATGCTCAGACTCAGTACCGCACCAGCGTCGCACCTCTCCGGTCGACCCATGTGGGGTCGCCGGTACGCGTCCTCTTCCAGCGGGAGTCCGGTGTCCGTTGACCGTCCCATCCTTCACTTCCAGATCCATGAGAGGCAAGCAACTCACGGCCGCAAATCTGGAAGCCGCTCGGGGTTCGTTGTTGGACCGGTATTGCTTCTGTTGGCCTGGCATCTTGCTTCTGTTGGCTCGCGGAGAAAGTAAAAGAAAAGTAATGACGGTTAAACAGCGCGAAGTAAAGAGTAATAAAGTTTAATCACAATTCCAGTGAGCAAAAAGTAAATGCAAAACAGATCTGGTTAGAGATTCTAAGTAAAATACAATTCCGTTTGTTAGAAAATGTACAAAAATACTAAAAAAAAGATCTGTCCGGGGGCTTATTCCGACTAGGATGACGTCCACGGGTCTTGAGTTTGCACGGGGTCTCCTGTCTAAATGCAGTCCGGTGTGTCAGGTCCGGGGCGTCAGTTCCCGGGTTACCTAACGTAACCGGTAAATCCGTACGAGGTCGGGTAAGCACGGCTGACACTTACATCCGACTCGTGTTCATCCGCTCCGGAGTGAGAGGCACTGTCGCTGTTGCGAATGCCGAAGCATCCTCTCTGATTAGGGGGAATGGACCAAGGTCGTCGGACCAAGGTCGGCCTACCGGCAAGTTAACCGGCGGCAAGGGAATTCGGCGAAGTCCCGAATTCCAAAAGTCAAGTCGGACAAAACCGTACTTGTGTCGTGCAACTTCCGTGGTCGCCAAGTGGTAACGCCGATGGAATGTGGTCGGTTTAAAACCGTTAAATCTGCTACCACGAGCCTGGTTAAGACTTTTCCGAGGCGAACTGGCTCGAAGGTCCGGTCGGAATTTGTTGCTCCTCCATCCAATAGTAGTTCATCCGACCTTCTGTCGGTCGAGGATGGGTATCCGACCTGAGGTCGGTGATAACGCACCTCCATGGTCGACCTCGGTAACTCGTGTTGTTTAGGCCCATGTGGGGCTAAACAAGTCCCGTTAGGTCGAATTCGTCCATTCCGAGGTCGTTTCCAGTTCCGATCTTCAGTTTAGTCGTCTTTCACCGACCTGTTATCGGTGACTCCTGATGTCCGACCTGAGGTCGGGTATGATGTTATCCAACCCGTGGTCGGTGGTAATGTTATACGACCTGAGGTCGGTTACCACGTGACTGGTCCGTTCAAAGGTCGTATCTCGGCTGATCCGCTGGTGTTCCAAGCGAATCGAGCGATCCGGCGTTCCTAACCGACTTCTGTGGTCGGTTGGACCGGTTCTCCGACCCGAGGTCGGTGATAATGTTATCCGACTGGAGGTCGGTTACTCCAAGTCCCAGGTCGATTAAGGTCGATTCCTTCTGTCCGGAAGTCGTTTTCCGTGAACATCCTGGATGGCGTCTCCATCCACCGACCTGTTGTCGGTTACTTCTCATGTCCGACCCGAGGTCGGTTAGAACGTTATCCGACCTGAGGTCGGTGATTCCGTAATTCCGTGTTCAACCGAGGTGAGTTACGGTATAGAGGCTCAAAAGTGGAGCCGTACAAGACTGTTTCGGTGGAATCATCCTCATAACCGACCTGTTGCCGGTTTCCATTTTATCCGACCAGAGGTCGGACGTAATGTTATCCAACCCAAGGTCGGTGATTCTTCTTCCGGGTCGGTTGCGTCCGTCAAGAGGTCGTCTGGGCACTCCTCCGATCTCTGCGAAGTTTGTTTGAAGCGATGGTCTCTTTCATGCCTCTAACATGCCCTGGTTCGGGTCGGTGGTTTTGCCTCTGGACGGGTCCGAGTTCCGTCAAGTTCGGCAGTTCCATGGCGTCTGTTGGCCATTCAGCATGCAATCCAGGTCGCTTGTGGCATCAAGGGACTTCTGTGGTCCCAATCCACAAGACAGACTCTTTGGTTTCAAACCGGCGTAAGGTTCTCGCGCCTCGGCAGCGTTGTGCATCGGGCCCCGACTTATGTCAGACTGCCCATTCCCATCCCCATGCGGCGTGCAGACTGAGGTAAAATCAGATCACTTCACTTCCCTGGTTTGGAGTTCCTCCGTTCGGTTCCGCGAACCTGTGACGCCTTGCCGCTTCTGTTGGGGAAAGACATCACACGTCCGTAGGGATCTGTATGGGGGTGCGAGCCGTGTGTTCTAACACGGTCTGCCTAGGATGTTCCATTTGAGACATGGGGAAGCAGGTCGCGGCGGAGTCGTTGGTACGTCAGTAGCCAAATCACCGTCGCTGTTCCTCTTCAGGTAATGGCAGCACGGTCAAGCCGCGCGTAGTCGTGGTCACCGGTGAATCGGTTGGTTTATCCGATATCCTCCGGGGGGAGACTGCGGTTGGACTCCAGGTACAGGTTCCTGGTTGAGAGCCTGTAGGTCCGGGTTCAAACGGAGAATCCGTCCAGACTAAAATCGTAGTCGGGTGTCGCGGTTTGCGGTCACCATTACCGACTTCTGTGGTCAGTAAAGGCTACGATAAACCATCCCGTCTGTGATTTCCATATGCTTCCGTCAGGTCGACGTCGGTTGGTCGAATGGTGACTTCTGAGGTCGGCTATCGTTGACAAATCGACTTCTGTGGTCGATTCTAGGTAGCGGGTCGTAGTTGACACTGTCCGTTCCGTTGCAGTCCAATTGATTCCGTGTTATTTAGGGACTTGTTATCCTATCGGCCGTCCGTTTCTCGGAGTTAACCGTGGGTGCCTTGGCAAGCATGGTCCTGAACACACCGCAGTGCTGTGTTCCGGGCCATGCTAGCGGAATCCTCGCTGGTTTGTACTCCGGAGTCCGGTTGCCGGAGTGTCTTGATTCCGATCATCTACCTCTGGAATGGATGACTTCCGTGGTAAACTCAGGTAGTAGATCGTGGCTAACCAACACGGTCTGTATTGGATATATCCTTCTGTATGACTTATCCTTCGGATGTAAAGTTGAAACTTCACCGACTTCTGTGGTCGGCTAAGTTATCCGAATCGTGATTGGGGGAGGTCCAAGTTCTACCTCAAAATTGGCTGACTTCCGTGGTCAACGAAGGTAGTGGATCGTGGTTCTGTGACACGGTCTGCGTCACTTCCTTTAGTTACCTCGGGAATGGTCAACTTCTGTGGTTGACTGAGGTAACGGGGCACGGTTAAGGTCGCGGTTTGCGAAGTTAGGTCTCTGGGCGGGAGTCCGGTTCTTCGTTCCTGCCTTCGGTTAATCCAAAGCGTCGTGTCATAACAGGTCGGTTTTGACTTCTGTGGTCAATTCCGAACCATGTGACATTGCGGGCCGATGAGGATACCACTGTCTGCGGTGATGAAAGTTACTGGTCGGTTACCCGGTCCCAAAGTCGGCCACGGTGCTAGGCGAACATGGTGTCGAGAACGTGACAACGTTTTCGACACCATGTTAGCGTAATCCTCTCGGTCTGTTCTCCGGAGTCGGTTAGCCGGAGTAATCTTCTTCGGTAGCAGAACGTGGTTCACGATATGCTATGTTAGCAAGCCGGGGCGTCTGTTGGCTCCGGTGTAGCAGATATGGTTCCGATCTGGTTCGCGATCTGCTAATGCCATGCTGGGGAACTGAGGTCGGTTGCCCAGTTCATTCCAGGGGATTCCTTGGAGGACGTAACGGTACGGTGAGAGAACCGAAATACCCAGGTCTGACCACACATTTCCGGGTCCGACCAAAGAATCCGGCCAACTTATGTGGTTGGCGCTTCTGGCATATTCGTGGTTCACGTCTGCTTTAGGGTCCATAAAAGAAAAGTATCCGTTCCATGTTTTCCATGTCGTTTCTCGACGTGGCTGTTTCTCAGCCGGGCAGGTTCTCCGCCGGGTCGGTTCTCGACTTCGCTGTTTCTCCACTCGATGTCCCTTCCTTACTGTTGAAGTGGGACCACAGGTTCCTTATGTGGGAACCTGTTATCCCAGGGGGACTGAGATCGGCGGGTCTCCGCCGAAGTAATCTTCGTCGTCATCGTCAGATTTAGGTGGTGGTCGACCAAGGCGCCGGAAGACGTCAGGCTTACATGTTGCCGGTGGTTGCCCATCTTGTTGTGGGGTGTCTTCCTGGCCAGGTTGTTCCGCCCGCGCCTTCTTGGCTTTCTGGACCTTCCTACGGAGCTTATGCGCGTTAGGTACTGCGCCGGGTGCCAAGTCGTCCGACATCCCTTCTCCATATGGTCTAGAGGTGAATCCACTAGGTAACGCTTTTTCTTCGCGGTAC